GATCTACTATAATCTAATATATAATTTATAGTTTTAGTATATTATATACTATATTAAGATAATTAGAGTAGAGATAGCTCTTAAAAGTTAATTAAGCTTATATTTTTATTTTTAGTTATCTAGTTTAGATTTAGATCAGGGTATTAAGTTAGATTAGGTTAGACTTAGTATTACTAGTATTAGTATATCAGAGTTTATTTTAATTTAATCTAGAATTATATATATTTAGGAATAAAAAAGTTAGTTATTTTTAAGATTATAAGTTAATTTACCTCTATAAGTATAGTATATATTTACTACTATAGGAAATTTTTATTAAGAATAATACAGATTTAATATTAATCTAATATCTATTTATATATACTTAGTTATACTATATAATAGAAATATTATTATAATTCTTTATAAATATATTAATAATTAGATCTATTTTTATATTATTACTAATTATAAGAAAATAAAATAATAGTTCTAATAAATATAATTATTAAATCTATATAAAAAAAAAATTTATTATTATAAATAAACTTATAATAAATTATAAATTTAAATAATTAATATTTAAAAAGAAATTTTAATAGTTTTTATTAATAATAATTATTATATATATAAAAATCTAGTTATTTATAATAATTAGATTCTAATTATAGAAAATAATAATATTAAAAATATTTATTATTATTATAAAAAGAAATAATTAATAATAATAATAATAAGCTTAAAAAGATATTATAATTAATTATAAATAATAAATATTTCTCTTTAGAATTTATAATTAAATTATATATTTAATAAGCTTTTTTTAGAGTTTTTAAAAAAACTATTATTTTATTTTAATTTATATAAATAAAAAAAAAAAAAAAAAAAAATTAAAGATTAAATATAAATTAAAATTTAATTAAAAATAAATTATATAAATCTAATTATTATTATATAATATAACTAAATATATATAAATAAATATTAAATTAATATTAAATCTATATTATTTCTAATAAAATTTCTTATAATAATAAATATATATTATATTTATTTTTTATTTTTTATTTTTATTAGTTTTACTATAAATAAAAGTATATTCTAAGATTAAATAATATATAATTAGATTATATAATTTTTTAAAGAATATAATTAGTAGTTTATATCTAAATTTTTAATACTATAAAATAAAATTAAAATTAAATACTTTTAGTTTAAATATAGATATTAATATTTTAAAAACTCTAATAATAGGAGCTATTTATATAACTAGATATATAAATAGCCTAGCTATAACTATAGCCCCTAAGGGGAAAAGCTTATTATCTAATAATAATAACTATCTTTTATTTCTATTAGAACTTTAAAGTTTATCTTAGTTAATTAATTAATTAAATTATATTATTAATTAATTATTTAATTAATTAATTATTAAATAACTTAAATAGCTATAATATTTAATATAAATATTTTAATCTCTTAGAATTTAGTTAATATTTCTAATAAGATTCTTAAAGTAATAATAACTATTATCTAAAATAATCTAATATAATTATTTACTAATTATATTTATAATATATTTCTCTAATTAATTAAAAGCTTATTTATAATAATAAAACTACTTTTAATAATATAAATCTAATAATTATATCTACTTAGTTTATTATTTTATTATATAGCTTATTATTTATAATATCTATAATTACTATAAATATTTATAGAGAATTAAAATTAGTTTAAATAAATACTATATTTTAAAAATAGTTACTCTTTTATATAGATTTATTATAGTTTAATATATAACTTATAGTTTTAATATATTATATACTATATTAAATTAATAAGAATAAAAATAACTTTTAAGAATTAATTATTTAAGCTTTATATTATTTTTAATTATATTTAGATTAAAATATTAGTTAGATTAAATCAGGCTTAGTATTAATATATTAGAATTTATTTTAATTTAATCTAGAATTATATATATTTAGAAATAAAAAAGTTAATTATTTTTAAAATTATAAGTTAATTTATCTCTATAAATATAATATATATTTACTATTATAGAAAATTTTTATTAAAAATAATATAGATTTAATATTAATCTAATATCTATTTATATATAGTTATATTATATAATAATATTATATTTATAAAAATAAATTAATTTATAATTTTAAAAGTAATTAATTTTTTATTTTTATTATTTCTAATTAATAATAAATACTTTTTTAATATTTTAATTTAATTTAATTTAATATTTTAATCTAAATTTAAATTAAATAATTAAAAATAATATAAACTTAATTAATTTTTAAAAACTATTTTTATTTTAATTATTTTAATATAGTATATAGTATATTAAAACTATAAATTATATATTAGATTATAATAGATCTATATAAATAGATAATTATTCTTAAAATATAGTTTTTTTTCTAATTAATTTTTATTCTTTATAAATATTTATTATAATTCTAAATAAACTATATAATAAAATAATAGATTAAATAAATATAATTACTTAATTTATATTATTAAAAGTAATTTTATTATTATAAATAGGTTTTTAATTAATTAGAATAATATATAATAAATATAATTAATAAATAACTATTTTATATTATTTCTAATAATAATTATTATTTTTTAAAAAATTTTATTAAAAATATTAATTAAACTTTAAAAGATTAAAATATTTATATTAAATATAACTATTATAGTTATTATTATTTAAAATATCTAATAATTAATTAATAATTAATAAGTTTAGTAAATAAATATAATTATTAAATAATAAATTTTTTTTCTTAGGGATTATAATTATAGCTAAATTATTTATATATTTAGTTATATAAATAGCTCCTATTATTAGAATTTTTAAAATATTAATATCTATATTTAGATTAAAAATATTTAATTTTAACTTTATTTTATAATATTAAAAGTTTAAATATAAATTACTAATTATATTCTTAAAAAATATATATTAAATTATATATTATTTAATCTTAGAATATATTCTTATTTATAATAAAACTAATAAAAAAAAATTAGTAATTAGTAATAATAAGCTTAAAGAGATATTATAATTAATTATAGATAATAAGTATTCTTCCTTAGAGCTTATAGCTAAATTATATATTTAATAAGTTTTTTTTAGAGTTTTTAAAGAAATTATTATTTTATCTTAATTTATATTACTATATAAACTATATTTAGTTTTTATTAGTATATAATAACTTTATAATTAGCTATTATAATTTTCTTTAAATAATCTATAGTAGTATTAGATTAATTAATTTACTATATTCTAAATATTATTATATTAATTTTATTTAATTTAATTTTTCTATTTAATAAACTTTTTAATAATTTAATTTAATTTAATTTAATTTTCTTCTATTTAATATTATTAATTAAAATAAATATTAAATTTAAAGAGCTATTTTAATCTAAATTAATTTAATTTAATATATTATTTATTAGAACTATATATAATAACTTAGATTATAATAATAATTAAATACTAAAGAAATATTATTATAATTCTCTATAAATATATTAATAATTAGATCTATTTTTATATTATTACTAACTATAAGAAAATAGAATAATAATTCTAATAAATATAACTACTAGATCTATATAAAAGAGAATATTTTTATTATTATAAATAAATCTATAATAGATTATAAACTTAAATAATTAATATCTAAAAAGAGATTCTAATAGTTTTTATTAATAATAATTATTATATATATAAAGATCTAATTATTTATAATAATTAAGCTCTAGCTATAAAGAATAATAATATTAAAAATATTTATTATTATTATAAGAAAAAATAATTAGTAATAGTAATAATAAACTTAGAGAGATATTATAATTAATTATAAATAATAAATATTTCTTTTTAGAATTTATAATTAAATTATATATTTAATAAGCTTTTTTTTAGAGTTTTTAAAGATATTATTATCTTACTTTAGCTTATATAAATAAAAAAGTAAAAAAAATAGAATTAAAGATTAGATATAGATTAAAATTTAGTTAAAAATAAATTATATAGAGCTAGTTATATATAATCTAATCTTAAGATATTCTTTATATATAATAAAAATCTTTAAAAAAAAAAAAATCTTAATTTATATAAATAAAAAAGTAAAAAAAATAGAATTAAAGATTAGATATAGATTAAAACTTAAGTTAAAAATAAATTAGATAGATCTAGTTATATATAGTCTAATTTTAGAATATTTTTTATATATAGTAAAAATCTTAAAAAAAAAAATTAATTAAAAATCTAGTTATATATAATAATTAAACTCTAGCTATAGAGAATAATAATATTAAAGATATCTATTATTATTATAAGAAAAGATCTAATTATTAGTAATTAGTAATAATAAACTTAGAGAGATATTATTATTAATTATAAATAATAAATATTTTCTTTTAGAGTTTATAATTAAATTATATATTTAATAAACTCTTTTTAGAGTTTTTAAAAAAACTATTATTTTATTTTAATTTATATAAATAAAAAAATAAAAAAAATAAAATTAAAGATTAAATATAAATTAAAATTTAATTAAAAATAAATTATATAGATTTAATTATATATAATCTAATCTTAAAATATTCTTTATATATAGTAAAAAACTTAAAAAAAAAAAAGTTTAAATATAAACTATTAGTTATATTTTTAAAAAATATATATTAAATTATATATTATTTAATCTTAGAATATATTCTTATTTATAGTAAAACTAATAAAAAAAACTATTAAATCTAGTATTTTTTATAATAATTTTTTTTATCTTTATATTCTTCTCTTTCTATTAGTAGATAAATAATTAGAATAATCTAGGAACTAAAGTTAAGATAAATCATAAAGAGTATTAGGAGATTCAAGGCCCCCTTATCCTAGTTTCAAAAGCCCTGCCAAGGAAAACTAAACTGAAGGTGAAATCAAGTAGCCTACTGGATTACTGTGCTGAGAAGACTTTCTAAGCGATCTAAGCGACATCATACAAGTCCCTCCAGAAGAACATCTGCCTTAAGATATCCTTAAATTCCTCCTTGCTCTCCAAATGGGCGAAGCTCTCCTTCCTTGGACCTCTGATCCGCAAATGCACCTGACGTGCTGTCTCCCATCCAAAATAGCCAGCCATTTCCCAGTCTATCAAGCCGACAATCTTGCCATCATTGACAATCGTGTTCGACTCAGTAAAGTCATTGTGCATAAAGCAAAAGTCTGTGTCCGTGTTGACGTCGGAGAAGATGATTTCCGCCTCCTCTTGCCGGACACGATGGCTCTTGACGGGATCTGGAGCCGGGGCGATGTATGAGCGAGACTTCTGTGCTGAGGGCGGCTTGATGTCACGCAGTGTACGGAGAACCACGCGGGCCTGCTCCTTGAAGCTCTCCATATCATCAGAGCCCAAGTACTGCTTAGCGATATTGAGCCCAACGCCGGGTATTCTCTGCTGAACAAGGACATCGCGGCCATGGATCTAAACAAGTCAGAGTGAGCGAGCAGAAACAGACATGAAGCACATACCTTGCCAGTGAAGTATATTTCCGGGACCTTGATGCCGAGCTTCGCTAGCGGCTTCTGGGCAATAGCGACAGCAGCGACCTCGTTGGCGTCATTGAATGAGTAGTCGCGAGTAGGAGCCTTGTGAAGATGGCCCGACTTGATGATGATACTCCCGAAGGCGAAAACATCGCGACCGTCGTCGTCTAGTTCGTTTTTGTAGACTAAATTGGAGTCACCGCACCTCGAGAGGACTTCTTCCCAGTATCTCAAGGATTGGGAAGACGTGGAATTGATGTGTTCAAGTTGGGGTTTGAAGTCACCCACTGCTGGCCCATAACGGCCATAGAGGGGGATATCAGCATATCTGTCGTCTCTGGGGATCTTGGCGGGGTCTGTCTCGTAGGGAGACACAGATGTCGACTGGCCTTCCATGAGATCGAAATCAAGCGTGGAACACTGCGGAAAAGAGAGAAGATTGGAACAGAAATAATGAATGAATCCGGGGTGATTGGGTCGCAACCAGCCGTGACACGATCGTCGCTTTGACGTAGTAAACCAATTAGCTGCATGTGCACTGCAGCGCTTAAAAGTTTGGCTAGCCGGTAACGGCTCTGAAACCTCCAGGGGCATTGACCACAGGACCCAGTGGCCAGTGGTCTTGCGCCGTTGTTACCGCTGACAAGCTTGTTGGGGCTCAGATTATGCACATTACGTTAGAACCAACAGCAATGAGGCATTGTCAGCGTCAGAACCAATAGCAATGAAGTTTGTCGTGTTAGAACTAACAGAAATGAGGCTTGTAGATGTTAGAACCAAGGGCAATAGCGAACACTGTAGATATCCCGGGCTGTATTGTCGAGCATAAAAGCCCTTCATACCTGCTCCCTTATTCGCGTTCTTTCGCAATCTCAAGCAACGGCTACCATAGTCATTCACATATTGTATCGCCGCCTTTAGCTCTTTAACTTTTCTACCCCCCCCTTTAAACCAATCATTATGGCCGATCGATGCCCCGTTTGCAATGACTGGATGAACACCACTAGTGGTGGTGTACACAACTGCCCTGGAGATGGTTCTCGCACTCGTGTCGAGCTCCAGGACATTGGCCTTCCCATCTGTGAAGAGGAAGTCCCTCAGCTTTTTTCTTCTCAGTAATAATGATATAGTAAGTTTCTAACGCCGATCTACTTGAACGTGCTGCTAACGTTTTCTTTCTTATAGCACTGAAAGCAACGGGCTCACGTTTGTAGCCCTTGTGCGACCAAATGTACTGGGAACTTTATCATGTTGTAGACTCGAAGAGGATAGCGTCGTGTGAGAGACGGATTTGCAGAGAGTCGCTGCGTCGAGTCTGTAACAAGTCATTGGTTGGTGGTTGAAGTGGACTGCTAAGATCATGTAGCAGAGGGTATCATCTTCCTTTTCATACGTTACACAACGAGAATTCATAGGCGTCGGCATCTATCGCCGTAAAACTTACTTTGATTATCAACTTCTCTCGAAATAAATTGAGTCACTCGTTCTCGCCGTAAAATTCAAAGTCAGGGCAGATATTCGAGGGTCGTTGTGCCTAGTGATCAACCTCGATGCGGGCCAACCAAGTCAACCTTGGATGGCTGCATAGAATTGGCCTGGTGATTTAGTACGCTACGTAATTTGATCTAATGCCTTTGGCTCTAGGCAGTTGCCATGTGCCCCTCTTGCCCCAACAAGAGATGACATTGTTGGCTGTGAGGTTCCAGCTTTTCCTTGACCGACCGTGACTACGACCGCAACTAAGCTGGATTTTATTAAAATGTAAAGGAACTAGGGATCACTTAGGTTGAAGGGTATTTACTTGGTGACAGAGTATGTTGCAGAGACATTTCGCGAATGACGCAGCCCAGCAGCCACACATCCCGGTTTCCATTCGAATGAGCGTGCTCAGTGTTCACTTGACACTATCAATCTGCTTCGCCTCGCATTTGCCTCTGGAGATCTTCTAGTTGTTCAAACTTGGAATACACAAACCCGGCCAATGCTGACCAACGAGCTTTAAGTTACTGAGCAGAATCCACTCCCGCTACTTTCAGCGGCCTTTCCGTTACGGGTTGAGGTAATAGCTACGCGTAAGAGATGCTTGGCAAATAAATGGCTGTGCTACGTCATTCGTGTCCTGCCCGGGCTGCCTCCAGTCCTTGCGTTGAGCATCAAGCACTACGGCTGAATATGCCAAGGTCAGATCCCATGTTTCTCGTGTTCCAAAGACTTTGAAGCGCTCGAGGAGCCAAGCGCACCCGTCAGGTTCGAAATAACGGTGGTAGACACGAGGCCATGTTGCGTGAGTCATCCGCTGGGTTGAGTTCTGGCGCTTCACCATCGGCATTAGTAACGATCTTGATGTCGGCCTGATCGGCGCGGCGTGGTCATCTGCATTTATGACAGCAGCAGCAGCTCTCTCAAAGGACAGACTTCGCTTGAGGCTGGCTCATCTACACCGTATTCGAGGCCAGAACCGTGACGCTTTGAACCTAAGCGAGCTCGAACGCGAGAGTCCTGGATTAACGAGCCCATATTGGCGATGGTGTACTTGCTAATGCAGATGTGTATGAGGAAGGATTAAGCTCATCAATACTTGGCCAGTGTTCAAAGCATTGGGAGGAATCGTAAGGGAATAAGCAGACAGGCCTGGTGGCGGGACGTGACCGAGTTTTGGCTCAATCGAGCATCTTCTGACTTGGTTGCCCACTAACTTTGCAAGCAAGAGAATCTGGGACGTTCCTTTGGCCAAGGGAGAGATGAGAAAGGCAGGAAGCGGGAGGGAGTACTGTTGGATACGCCATGGCGTCAGATGAACAATACGTAGGAACGCAATCGCATGCCAGCAGATCCAAAGTTAGGATGCCCCGTATGTGACTAAATCTACGTATGGAAGAGATGGCCAAATGGAGACTTGGTAGCCATCAATTAGTGATCGTTGAAGACTATCGAGGTTGTATATGTAGTTACTTGACTAGTCGCCCAATACCGCTACTCAAACAGCGAACGAGGGACAAAGCATACGTAGGGGTTCCATCGAGTGGCAGACGAGTCCACGGAGCCGATTTATCACAGCCATGGCCTTGCAATACGCCGACCGCAGTCTTTGGCATGCAAGCCTGTCGGCTTATTCTTACCCACGTTTGACGCTTGCTCAGTGAAACCAGATGCAGCTTGCGAAGACCACTGACTCGCCATGTTTTATGGGATATACTTAGTATAATGGCGAGCAATTCACCCGCGGTGGATCCTGCTCCAGGAGTGCTGCGAGAGTTTCGTCCGAAGCAAAGGCGAATACGGGCTTCCCAGGGCCCACGAGGCAGGGTTGCAACCACAGTCGGTGGATCTGAGAACGGTAAATGCAGCACATGGGATGAGCCAAGGCCCCTGGTATGCCATGGTAACAAAGTTGGAGAAATTCGTCCGGTATAAGGTTGACTGCGTGGGTAGAGGCTTGTGAACTCTTTACGTCTTCATCATTACTAGATGGATTGGATAAGCAAAGAATGTCAGAAATAGAATTGACAAAAAAGATAATGCTTTGATTGATATTATCGCTCTAGAGACTACCTTAAGAGGCTGGCATCTGGGGCCGTAAATCTGCAAACACCACAAACGCCAATTGGATATCTCAACGGACTGAACTAAACATATAAATAACCACCACCAAGGTTTCGCCTGGGTCTACCAGCCAAGAACGTTGAAGAAGCTCTTTCGGGGGTCCTCTACAGCGCCCTCAAAGGCCTTTTTGCGGTTCTCTTCGCTCGCGGCAGTGTTGTATTGGGCAAAGCGGCCGTCCATCACACGCTTTGACGTGGCCAATTGTTGCGAGATCATGCCAACAACAGCGGAGGCTGCCAAAAACGAGTGCGTTAGTCAATGATTCATTAGGAACAATCAGATAGTAGAGCCATTGGAGTTGCTCCAATGGCAGGGCAGACTGCTACGGACCTGAAGCAATGAAGACGACGGCAGTGAGGACCCTGGGAGGGCCAGTGGCGGCGACGGGCTTGATGGGATGAGCTGCAATGGCCATGGTGATTGGATGTGGTGAGCTGGCTGAGAGCTGAATTGGAAGTATAGTGATTCTGATTGATTCCACAGGGAAAATGGCCCGGGAAACTGATGGATTTTGTTTTTGGCTGGCTGGTTGTGTTTGTGCGAGTGCGGATCGTGAGTGTGTGAGTGACACGGCAAAAGAAAAGGCGTGGAATTCAATTATTTATTCCTTCTACATGACAACCAAACTTGACCCTGGGCTGGCCGAAGACGAGATCAGACGAAAATAACCACTGCCTGCTGTCCTAGGCCGCCCGAACGTGGTGTGATGGTGGGATTATCCCCGTTTGCCTCTGCCTCATTTGTGGCGTGATTGCCAGCCCAATCCAGTCACCACATGGACAGGATTCGAGCAGCGCAGTCACAAGGCATCCGCAACAGGCTTCGTAGGCGACATTACGGCGTCATTCTCTTCTGATCTGATCTGGACACCGAAATTTCCCGGCTCCAGGTCGGGTTTGCGCAGCCATTGTTGGTTGATGCTGAGACGGCCGTCGAGGGATCTGGCCAAGGGGCCGCTGTTGCGCCCTGCTTCACCATCGCATCGGCTCTGGCCAGCTGATGGCATCTCGGCGGGCCCCGCCGACTAAACCTGGAGCCCTCACCGAGTCTACTGCCGATCTTTCTCTCCTCTCTCCTTCCTCTCCCCTCGCCAGATCCTCTCTGGCCATCATGACAGTTTCAGTGGATCCACGTGGGGGAAATGCCGGAAGTAGGGCAGAACAATGTAACAGTCACAGGAGCAAATCAGATCATGCTGATTATTCCCCTTTCCCCATAGATACCAGGGTCTAAAGAACCATAACAGACGTACTATGCTACATGGAAATGCTTGCGTAGCAGCACAGCCGCGAATGTGTACATGTCCCTGCCTGCATACTACATAAGATCTTATTCATGTCACATCGTACCATTATCATCTTTCACTCACTCATTCGCCCGCGTTGGATGGTAGCTACTCATCACCAGCCCCATGCTCTAATTTATCCCCAAGATAGATTTTCCCGTGCCTTTGCATCACCCTTTTCTTTTCTGTGCCAAAAGACCCCTGCCAGCCCAGGAAGAACTCCAAACACCCATATAGTATAGTCAATCCCAATATATTACTCACTGAGATGAATTCGCTTCGTCAAAACTACCGCAGAACATGATACAATCAAAAGGCTGGCCCAGTCTCATGATCAAAAGAAAATCTGCTGGCTCTTCTCAACACGGCTCACCCCACCCGCCGGGCCCATCTCGAACGCTCTCTCCCACCAATAGTTCCATTCTTGAAGTCTTTCAAACAGATCCACCACCAAGTCTCCCTGGTCCCACTGCGGCTTTTGTATTCCATGTCCCGCCTGGGTTGACTGAGTAAGTCGTCGTTGGCCAGGCGCTTGGATTGTGAGCCTGTCACCCAAAGTAATCCAATTCTTGCGAACATCCGTGATGATGCTCTCAGCCAGCTTCGTGATTCCCACTTGCGACTGGTTGCCTCCATCAGCTTCCAGGGGTCTTTCAGTGGATGGAAATAGTGAATCGATACCCCAGGCACCTCTATCATTCTGCAGGGCACAGCGTAGTTGTGCTTCTACCACGCTTGTCCACTCTCGACCCCGCCTAAGAAGGTCTCCAATACCATGGATTCCCAAGGTCGCAGACATCTTTGGGGAGAGAGTAATGGCGTACAAGGATGGCCACAAAAGGTTCATGAAGGCCAAGTATTGCCTTACTAAGTGGAGCTCTTCGCTCGAAGGCCAGGCTGGTCCCAACTCTTGTATGCTCCGGATCATGTGTTTCAAAACGATTTGCAGCTCCTCGATATAGTAGAATGTGAGGAGCTGCCCTTGACCGCCACCCTCCTCCAGTAATAATTGAAAAGCGTGTATGTATATGTCGACCATGGGCAACGCTGCCACACTTTCTGATCGTGAGACCTCGATAATGGCAGGAAACATCTTGCCAAGTATAAACCCAAGAAGTCCATCCGTCTGCATTCCTTTGCAGAGAAGTATAGCTTCTTCGCGTATCCCATCGCCCATTACCGCCAACTTCAATTGGTTAAGGAGGAAAAAGAAAAGCGGATGTTCCACTTTGATGTCTCCGTCAGCCAACCGGATACCGTAAGATACTAAGGTTGCGACCTGGAGTTGAGGATCTTGCTGAGGCGGGGAATATTCCTGGTTGACTTGGTAGAAAAAGTCATCCACGGTGCAGAAATCAGACGCATGGGTTTTAATCAGAGCGATTGCCTCTCTAACAAAGCCCATGTACATCTGATGTTTATTAGTATCGCGTAACAGGATTTTGAGATCATTCCTCATCAGAAGCATAATACGCTTTAGAACTCTTCCATGTTCCAGTTGCAAGCTTCTCTTTGGCCCTGGTTCAGCATCGCGAATCGATTTTCGCATCGACGATACGGCATATTCCAAAAGTTGTCTCTTAATTTCGTAATTGATATTGCCCACCAACCCTTTGACCGTGTTGGGCACGAAAACTTCTCCATGATATATGAGTTGTTCCGCAAAGTCTTTTTCATAACCATATGCTTCTCTAGGTTTGACAACTGAGATAAGCCACAATTCGATCAAGGTCAAATGACCCTCACTCCAATTACAGAATCCATGCCTTAAGAGGGCTGTGATAAAGATGGGCAAATATCTCCGCTGGTTGATGCTGAGATCGTGCGGCAGGGATCTCCAAAGCCCATTTTCCCCAGGTTTGAACAAATCCAAGAACTGTATGGAGCCGGCCTCAGACAATCTCATGCCAAGTCTCGCCGCCAATACCACGGCGAGTTCACTGCACTGGCTCTGGTCGGAAGACCTCGTCTTATCGCCCGTTGAGAGGATGCAATGGGTCATGGAGAAGAAGAGGCTTGCAATATCATGGCTCAAGACCTGAAGGGCATCATCGGCGAGTGCTGAGTTCAGAATCTGGCTTTCGCTTTCTTGACTCTGCTCGTTCGCCTTGAACTCGTCGACCTGGTTGAGCAATGTCTCTAGCATCGACAAAGAAGCCCGGAGGATCTGCCAATCTAGTCCTGGAGGTGTCGAAGAAAATCTGGCAAAAACTTGTTGGAGTTGCCGAATACCAAGACAAAATAGTGCCGCCTCAAGATCCGGGGCTTGTTGAAGTACCTCCAATGAAACTGCCACAGAAGTATATAAAATATCTGCAACAGCAGTCTTGTTCCATGATATCATTGCGCTGACCATTTCCGAGCTGATTGCCTTCGTTACATCCTTCGAGAGATTTGATAGCTGTTGTTCAATGTCAGGTGCGACTGATTCGTACTGTTCCAGTATTTGCTGAAAGAAGGAGCTGCGCCACGCGTTGAATGGCTTCAAGGATGTTGTCGCTTCACCAGAGACCACGACGAAGCGGGCAAGTTGACTCCAGGTTCGCAAATTGATAAGACACGCCGCCTTGTGAGAGTTTGCAGGCACAACAAGGCCCTGGATTAGATTTACATTTGGGCGTAGTTCGGGAGGCGATGCCCAGAACAGAGTACAGAGCAAATCGTGATGGTTTCGTAGAGCGGCCAAATCACGTTCATGAATGTTTTGTTCTTTCAAGTATTGCCTGTTATGATTTGGCACTACTCGGGCGACGAGATTGCGAATGTCTTTGAGGGACCCTGCCGCCCTCAGCTTTTGGAGACCTAGAGCAATCAGCTTGAGAAATATGTGGAAGCAACGGTCTTCTCGCTCTATGGATAGAGAAGGTTGGTATCCCAGTTCTTCCAAAAACCGAGGAGAGCTATAGGCCTCTTCATTACGCAGATGGGCGAGACTTTGCGAGCCAAAGAAATCAAAAATGACACCGACAATGCTTGCGCATTTATGCCATCCCCACTGTTCAACCAGATAGTGACAACGCCCAATGAGCGCTCGACAATAGTCATTAAAGCCTGGAGATTGGTGCTTGTTCTCTTGGTAGAGATGGAATATTCGCTTCAGTAGCTGCTGAGGAATCCCCCAGCCATCAGAAGACTTCCGATGTCGTTCTCCTGGAATAACCTTTCCCACGTTACTGAATTCTGTAAGGGGGAGGAGAATGAACAAGCTATCCCAAACTCGTTCATGTTCCCTGACGTCAAGACTCGATAGAAACGTAGGAGACAGAATCGCCCGTTGAAAGATGGTCCAAAATGAAGCATGGGGAACTCGTGCAGCTTCGAGAACTTTCATAGTGACAATCCACGAGTGAATCACGACATCATGAAACCCGAGGCCACATGCTCGGCGAGGGAAATGATCCACATCAGAGAGCGCTTGCCTAACTCGATGAGGCCCAAATTGTAAGAGAATCCGGATCGCAATACTTGCGCTTGACTTCAAAAGATTCTCCATCGAGAATTGTTCTCTCAGCAGGGATGGATCGGCGCGACTGATCCGTACACATTGGTATAGAACGACGAGGATGTAGTCCAATACCTGTGCAATGGACTGCAGCAAGGATTCTCCCAAAGAGGTTTTACTTTCCATGGTTGAGATGATGCGTGTGTTGAAGTTTTGGATCACCTCTAGAATACGAGAAAGAAAAGAATTCAAATCCGAGTCTGTAGTGAAACTTAGGGCCGTGTTTACATATGACAGCAGGAAGGCGGACCCGGCAATGGCGTCGCTACCATCCGGTGTACTGGATAAGCCGTTTCGAGTTTCAATCTGGTCAACAATGTGATCCAGCAATAGCCCAAGCTCAGATGAAACCTGAGCAGTCCACTCTCCCCATTGAAACCTCTCACCGTCGAGCGTGAAGAGGACTCGCTGCTTTCGAAGCCAGAGTGACTGTGGGTATTCGGTGCTGGCAGCCACTTCTATGGCACCGGTGCCAATAAGGCTCGTGTCATTGAAGAACACATCAGGATGTAAAGGGAACACCTCAAAGTGGTGGGTATACTGTGTGCCGTAAGGTCCAAGCCCAAATAGCTTGGCTCCCTTGCGCGTCTGATGGTCGGTCGGCACATCTAACGTTTGGTCTAGCACGGGCGGTAAAGGGTCATTGGCGTGACTATATTCAGGCGCTTCAACATCTATTCGCCGTGGCTTGGTGTGTTTCCGACATCGCGTGTTCTTGGCAATACTGGGTTGCTGAGTCTTGGAGATTGGATTTCGATTGGGTGAGAATGAATGGATTTGCTTTGCACTGGACAGCACTGAGCTAGGTTCCGAGCCCCTACCATCTCCTCGATAAAGGTGATCGAGCGCTTTCTTCCCCCAGGAAAACCTAAAGCGGGCTGCCTCAGTGTTATCATCAACCTCCAGCTGAGCTAATCGAGTGTGTGATGAAGACTGGTGAGAAAGTGCTGCCATTTGCACAGGGTTCTTAGAAGATTTTCTTGTGTTGTCTCGAAGCTTGTTAAATGATATGTTGGCAGTGCGTTTAGTCTTAGTTAGCTGGTGAGATTTTTGCTTCGTTATCGACCCCTTGCTCGATCGCGTGGAGAGCTGGGAAAGAGCGCCATTGAGAGGATTATGGCTTCTTGATATAGCCTTTGTTTGGTGAGCTACCGAAACAGAGGTGCGCTGCTTGATTGAGCCAGAGGTCCAATCCCGAAGAGCACTTATCGCATCGATGTGATCCTTCCGCGTAGCGAGCTGAATGTTCTTCCCGTTCGGGCTGGCTCGGCCGCGATCTCGACGTCCTTTCACGGTGCGGGCAGCGATTCTAATGAACCTCGGAGCGTCAGGCTCAATTACATCGAGGATGCTGAGACGAGGCGCTGGGTTGGCTTTCCGAGTGGTTTTGGCATGTTGAACAACCCTCGAATTTCTCTGCCGTCCTTGAGCATTTGGCTTTTGTCCTCCTTTCCCTAGAGATCGAGCATGCAATGACGGTCCTTGCTTAGAATGTGCTGCTGCTTTAGGCGCTTTGGGGGGTAATCCACTGGCAGGTTTAGACACCTTTTGGCGTTTTGGTTGACTTTGAAATGCGTCGGGTAGTTTCGTCTGACGTTTTCGGCTGGCGAGAAGAGGCTCAATGTAGTCATGTTCCATAATAGACTCGTCATCTGATGAGATCTCATACATAGGCAAGGTTATCGTATTCTCAATCTCAAGAGTTGTTTGAATATGCACAGGCCTATTCTGCCCTTTGTCGTTCGGAATATTGGTGGGCTCTTCTTCAGACTCCTCGAACATGAAATCATTACCATTGGAGAACGAAGACGCTTCCTTCCGCCGCGCAACACCACGTCGGTTGTCATCGATATGTAAGGGATCTAGTGGTCGACGGGTGATCTTTTTCTGAAATTTGTTTCGGCTGCTCTTCTGATCCAAGCGAAGCCAAGAAGCGGGGAGAACACCTTTGATCTTGCGACTGTTTTGGTTGACAATGTCAGACTCACTTTCAGATGATGCACTTGACAGTAGATTTCCGTCCTCGAGTTGGGACTGTTCTGACGATTCGAAGGGGTCAACGGCTTCGGCGGAATCATGACGAGGCATCTGCAAGCCATCTGAGATAGAAAGAGGATTGTGTGACGTTGGACCCATTGGAGACAAAGTAGTTGATTTAGGAGAGGATGGAAGCCCATCTCCCCCAAGACCGATTGCTGGCCGTGAATCGATCCTAGAAACATCCATGGGATCAGGCAAACCCGGTGGCATAATGAACTTCGGTCCTCCACCGTCAGGAACAGGATCAAGATGAGGCTCTCCGTCCCGCCTATGATCCTTTGAGGGCCGGTAGGCGCGACGTTTGGTGCTCCTCTTTGTGCCAAACTTGTATCGACCTGACATTAAAGCTTCTAACGACGGCAACTCCTCCCCATCCAACGTTGTATTATCAGTATCGTCATGAATACTGAGCTGGCTGCTCTCATTCCTGTCATGCGGTGGATCTAACGATCTTTGCGAAGATGAGGGAGTATTCTGGCCGAAGTCCATTGACCCTTCATCCAAGACGTGTTGAGAGGCTGATTCCTGAGTTTCTGGTTGGAACTCTGCTTCCTCTAGCAACTCTTCGTCATTTTGATCCCTTCGGTCTTCATCATTGGCGATTCTGACAGGCCGGAGGCCATGCTGCCTCCATTCAGAGTTAAATCGAGCTCTTTCGGTCTGATACGGTCGTAGTTGTTCTGGCTTTCGTGTTCGGAGGGATCTTTCGGTTGAAACAACTAGCCTCTGGGCAGCTAGGAGCTCTTCAGCATCGTGTCCAAGAATCTGACTTGGCTGGGGCGATAACCGTCCTGGGCTACGTGGAGATGGCGTATCACGCTGCAGGGTGTCATTTTGGTAAAGACCGTTCGGGTATGAATCCACTACCGGCGCCTCGGACAAGGCTGATGATGACGGAGGAGGAGGGTCATTCGATGTATCGGGGCTGGGTTGGGTCGCGCAATACGAATCACCGAGGGTGCGAGACGGCGAAAGTGTCGACAGAGACGAGTTTACAGACAGCTGCTTGCTGTGTTGGGGGGTGAGGGTGTCCGATTTCGTCAGGCGATCATCATCCTGAGAAGACGGAATGTCCCAGATATCCTTCACCCCAATCGGAGGTTTCGATGATACTGATCCTTGGAGAGCTGGTGGCAGAGAAGGCTGGTCGGTGATCTGGCTATCAAAGTCGTCATCCTCCGAGTCGGGGACCTCACCACTTTCTCTCCAGTTGGCCATCCTGCAGCTCTTGTCATGATATTACGTTCTCTGGCAAACATATCGTCGCGCGATTCATGGTTGAACGTCGATAAATGGATAAACCCTGGCAGGGAGAAACCGAAAGTTTGGCCGGAGGCTGTGAACAGTGCTTCGAAGGGGTCAGTTCACCGTGTGCTTTATCGATATCCAGTCCGTTTCTCCCACCTACTTTAACGCGTTACTGAAATATCCTGACGCGTGCTGGATGTGGATACCCTCTCTAGTGCATGCAACGGACAGGCGCCTGGAGCACGCAGCAAAGTACCTTCTTGGGGCAGACAAGTACCTACCCCAAATCAGTGTGTGAGGTACTTCACCCCTACCAACTTCTTCCGGACAAGCACTCCACCTTTTCAAGGCGGTACCTACAACCAAGTGCTACTCCGAGAGAGGTACCTACATACCCTCAATACCAATTAAAACGCCAACTGCAATTGCCCAATGAAATCTCAACCATCGATCTCCAAAATTTGCACACAGTCTCGTGTAAGAAAAGCAACCAAAACTACACTACCTAAGCCAACCTTTACCTGAGGGCCGAGATGGGCGCATTAGAACGAGGCGTACCCTTGGCACTTGCGATATTCTGCGGTGTCGCTGGAGGTAAATAACTCCATTTGTTTTTAACACACCCAAACCATCACCTCAGAGAGCGGCCTTAACATCTACTAGGCTTGTTTACCTTCCAGCCGTATTTTGTGCAGCAGCAACAGGAAAGGCTTTCGAAAGCCGCCGAAACGCCCCAGCGGTAGGATACAGCAAAGTGCCGATGCCATCAATGTGTACGGATTATGATGCTGATAGACCATTTTCAGACAGTCTAATCAGGCAAGTAGCCACCAGGAGTCACCAACGTCAACGCCAAACAAACCTCAGTAAAATAGATTGATACTCTCAAGGGAATTGCATCACATATGTGAAGGTTTGCCTGAGGGAATCATGCAATTTTCTCCAAAGACGACAGGGTTTTAACAATTTTCAAGCTTTATACACACCAAGGCTGGACAGCGGCGGTAGCGAGACTCCAGTCTACGATGTGACTATAGAATAGAGTGATGAGAGATTCACAACAAGCCTGTGCCGCGTTGGCAGGTTCGGGCTCTGGCGAACGTTTCATCGATGACGCTAGTTATAATCTCACAATTAATTGTGTACGACGGATAGGGCTGCAGATTGGCATGACTTGTTTCCAACTGTGAAGATGGTTACATCGCGTCTAATCTGATCTGGAAATCACAAGTGGTCAGACAGAGAGGTAGCTTGTTCCTCAACTAGAGTTCAGAATCCACATCCGAACTGAAAAGGGACAGCATCGTCGTTTTAGGCAACCTTTGTACAATCATTTGCGAATCCTTCCTTCACCCGTGCGCATATGAAAGGCGAATCAATGAATACGTCAATGACAGCGGCGGCTCTTCCCGATCATGGCCTCCACTTGATCAGACCACTTTCCCAGAGCGACCTTGAAGAGCCACCACGTGACCCAGCTAGGTATCTTTCTTGCCTTAGTCAGCTGAACAGACCTTGCCGAGCTCCAGCGAGGGACGAAATCGTCAGCAGACTTCTTTCCCAAACGCCTGGTCCGGAAAACACTCAATCATCGACTCTCCTCCACCCGCCGAAGTCGACGAATTTGCGCCAATTGACTTTCTACTCTTCCATCCACTCAACCTCCAATTGATCCGAGATGCTGCGCACCCAGGCGACGAGTGTGCTGCGCAAGAGCTTGGTGCGCAGTCACGTCCCACTCGCCCGTGCTGCCTCAACCCACGCCATCTCCAACCCGACTCTTTCCAACATTGAGAAGCGATGGGAGGGCATGCCCCTCCAGGAGCAGGCCGACCTCTGGATGGCCCTCCGTGATCGTATGAAGGGCAACTGGAAGGAGCTGACGGTCCAGGAACAAAAGGCCGGTGCGTGCTTTTATACATTTCTTCGTTCTCAAGCCCCTCCCCCCAAACACCTTAGGCCTCATGACACCGAGCAGTTGGATAACACGATGCTCCCCATGCTGCATCTCGTCGCAATGTCTACCCCAATCAATTCATGTCTGGAATGGCCAGATGTTGAGACCCTGCAACTTTTCTTCTTTGAATTGGCCACAGTGAAATAGCAGCTCTATCATTGGCTGATTTCTCTCCGGGACAATTTCGGCAATGCCACCCAACATCCCTTGGACAGAAACTCGCATTGTATGCCAGCATCATGGGCTAACAAGTGTATATTTCAATAGCTTACTGGATTGCCTTCGGTCCTCATGGTCCTCGCACAGTTGACCCCCCCGGTACCACCACCCGAATGTTCTGGGGTATCGCAGCTGGTCTCGGCGTCAGCGTTGCCCTCTTCGCAGCCATCCGTCTGGCCGCCAAGCCCGCTCCACACACCATGAACAAGGAGTGGCAGGAAGCCTCCAACCAAATCCTTATCGTGAGTCACTTCTCTTACCGTTTAATTCTTGCCTACATGCTAACCAGTCTATAGGAACAAAAATCCGACCCCATTACTGGTATCACCTCGGAGTCTTACAAGGGCCCCGGTATGGTCCAATCTCGTCCCAAGGCTTAAGCACTTTCTGCGAGTCCCTATTCAACAATACCATACCTTTATTAGTTTTCCTTTGTGACAGAGCACGAGTCGGACTTACGGAAGCCTTTCACCGTGTGTACATGACATAAGATCGCGGAGAGGGTGGAGATGGCTTGCGTGGGTGGGCGGTGTAAATACTGTACTACATCAACTGAACTCAGAGTTCGATCGAATTTTTTGTGTGCTACCACTACATCCCCAAGTCCAATGCATAATGATTGTAATCACCCAATAGATAAATTGTTGTTGGGCAGAATTTAAGCACCTTCTATGCTGCTGGTATCCTACACTTTAACCGCCGCTTTCCCCAGCCTCCCTATACTGTTCGAATGTCACATCTGGCTGTGTCTCAGGATGCTTTATCTTCTCCTCCTGGGTTCTCCTTTCAAATTCAAAGCGGCCATCTCGGCCCCAAGTGGCGGCCTTTTCAGTGCCATGGACACATGCCTCGGTTATAAGGACATAAGGCGTTGGAGCCTCGAACATTGGCTCGGCAAGAACCCGTTCCAGCTCCATCTTGAGCCCTCTAGCGCCAGTCCCCGCTGCTGACGCCCTTTCAGCAATGGCGTATAATGCCTTGTCAGTGAAATACAAACACGAAGGGTATGTCTCGAATAGGGCAATGTACTGGGCTGCCAAATTGTTACGGGGCTCTGTCAGAATTCGAAACAGATCATCTTTCGAAAGCGGGCTGAGAGCGCATATGTTATGTAAACGACCAATAAGTTCAGGAATAAATCCAAAGGCCTGGAGATCGTCGGGTGTTGCCAGATCCAAGGGCGTGAAAGAAGACGCTGGCACAGTTGAAAAGTAAGGGAGATGGGCATAAAGCTTGGGGGCAAGTTGCTGAGAGCCTCCAGAAATGGCCTTCCGGTCTTCTAGCTTCCCTCCAAAGCCAACAGATGGCTTCGCAACCCGTTTTAGAATAGTTTTGTCCAGGCCTACAAAAGCACCACAAAATACGAATAGAATATTCGTAGTATCGATTATATATTGGTCAACTTTGCCTCCTGGCGGGTTCGCCTGAGCCGCGGATGATGAAGAACCGGAGGAGTTGAAGTTTGTCGTTATGGGAGGCGCGGACCGCGATGAGCGGTTGTCCTTGACGTTTATTGTCACTTTAGTGCCTTCTACAAGCTTGAGCAGAGCTTGCTGAACACCTTCACCGCTGACATCACGGCCTGTGTGCACTTCCTTTCGCGCAATCTTGTCGAACTCGTCCAACACCACGATCCCTTGCTCGGCGGCTTTCGCATCGTAATTGGCTTCAATCAGAAGGCGCTCAATGCATGATTCTACATCCTGTCCAATATAGCCGGCTTGCGTAAAGGAATTACAGTCGCATATCGAGAACGGGACGTTTATCTTCTTGCTCAGAGTTCTATCATTGTGAGCTATCTAGACACCACGCTGTGGGCAGATGACAAAACTTACTCTAAGATATAAGTCTTCCCAACACCGGTGGGCCCGATTAATAGGATGTTGCTCTTGTCGATTTTGACAGGCTCAGGGCTGTTCTGGTCTTCATGTACGTAAAGGCTGTCGAACGGGTCTTCTTGAAATTCTGGAGGGTCGTGGATGGGTCGGAGTGATTCGAAGTGGCCGGGAAATTCGTCTTGGTTTATGAGTTAGCGAGGGATAGCATGACACTCAGGAGCAGCAAACCTTCAACTGGATGGGTCTCACGGCGTCGTTGGTGAAATTCCCTATCACGAGATAGTCTTTGCCTCATAACCTTCTCCTTTCGATTTCTTTCGTCGTGCTCGTGCTGCCGTCTCCTTCTCACGTTTTGGTAATGGTTGAAGATGGTTGCACATATGGCTTTCTTCGCTCGTTCTTGGCCCACGACATAGTCATCTACTCGATCCTTGAGGTCTCGGGGATAGAACCGGGGTACACCGAAGCTAGTTTTCGAGAACATCGGGCCTCGCCCGGTGTTGGCTGTGGGATCATAACTGCCATTGAAACCGGAATTCAAGTCCGGGTTCGATCTGGAGGAGGCATACCGGCGCGGTGTAGATAGGTGTCGACATGGGTGGCATTTGGAACAGGGGAGGCTCCGCCTAGCTAAGAGAGCGCTACCGGTAGATGTTGAAAGCTTCAGAGATGCGCAGAACATGATTTGATGCCGCATGCCGATCGCACACTCTGGCACCTTTGAAGATGGCGGCGTCAGGACGGCACAGTCCAGCCGGTGGTTTAAGCCGAAAGAAGCGCAAGACCCGCCTCACAATGATATCCGCCGGCAACAACCGAGAGGATATCCTTGCGACGCGTGTTCTGCTGCGCCAAGTGAACGGTGTTCTTGCCGTATCAGCGATGAAGGAACACCACCAGATTAGACGAGGGACAATGGATGGTTCATGGGAGGCTGCTATGAGACAAAGGTGAGGAGAGTTCTCCGCGTTCGGACCATTGACGGACCAAATCCACAGGTGCGCTACTAACCGGCAGACAAACACCCTCAAGGGATCTAGGTAACGGGAAAGTATAATGTGTCGATAATGTCGAGCGCCTGTACTTCCAAGATACCTGAGCTCAGCTGGCTTACTCATCCAATATTAGGTTGCACCAGGGATGGCTTTAGACTACCTAGATCTTAGTGTCTAGCGATAAGAGGATTCTTATCAGGTACTAAACGCATGACCGTCTGCATTCCTACCTTCAAACTCGAGGGTTGCAAACCTCTGGCATATAATCAATCGCTGCTCCAGTATAAAATCTAGGAATGGAAGAATTAACAGCTACGTAAGCCGTCTCGTTGGCGTTGGAGCACCGCTATCTTCCGGCCAGGTAGCATCGCTTGCTCCATGACATCATCCCCACCATTCCACTAGCAGGACGTACCTTAGCTGGCAATTGCTGGGACTACTGCTAGCAAACCGTTGAGCAACAGGAGAGCTCCAACCTCCTCCCCTTCACGTGGTGTCAAATAAATAGCAGCTTGAAATCGTTGCGGACTGAGCCACACCTGCTTTGACCCATATTCGCACACGTCTCGTCTTTCCAAGCAGTTGCATAGCCAGGGTAAAGTATTGTTCATCGTTGGCTGCTGTCTTATCTAGCTCTGCGCCTAGTGAGCAGAAACAAGCTGCCGATCGCCAGCACCTCTCTTCAATCAATCCATCCATTCGACATCCTGCAGTAGAAGCCTGCATCCTCGTTAGATTCAATTCATTTCGCCCATCAAAAGCAGTCGAGCAACATGAGTATCGCCGGACTGCCTGATGCGGCCGACATTCCCAATGATGGCACTGGTGAGGCAGACCAACAATCCCTCTCGCGCGCCTCCACCCCTAACAGAGTATCGCGGCAGGTGTCGTCAAGCTTGACCCTTGGCTAGAGCCATTTAGCGATGCGCTTAGACGACGATTTTCAAAAACACAGGAATGGATCCAGACCATCAATGATTCTGAGGGAGGGATTGATAAGTTCTCAAAGGTTTGCGACATGGCAGATTTGTACTAGGCGAGCAGCTAACCTGAGAAAAGGGCTTCAATCACTACGGATTCACCATCAGCGACAACACTATCGTGTATCGAGAGTGGGCCCCAAATGCCGAAGAGGCGTATCTCATCGGAGACTTCAGTAAGCTGCTCATTCTCATCTACGGCATTCATGTAGACTAATATCGCGTCTCGAAAGATGAGTGGAACCGAGGCTCCCACCCGATGGTCAAGAATAAGTTTGGGGTTTTTGAAATTACCCTCCCTGCAAAGGATGGACAGCCACAGATCCCACACAACTCCAAAGTCAAGGTGAGATTATCTGAGATTCATCAATAACATCCTACCGTGGGTCAAACTAAAATATGGCCAGATCTCGCTCACTCTTCCGGGGGGCGAAAGAGCCGATCGTCTCCCAGCATGGATCAAGTATGTCACCCAGGATCTGGCTGTTTCCCCAGCGTATGATGCTCGTTTCTGGAACCCTCCCACCTCTGAAAGATACAATTTCAAACATCCTCGACCTCAGAAGCCAGCGAGTGCGCGCGTATACGAGGCGCATGTTGGCATCTCATCCCCCGATCAAAAAGTTGCAACGTACAAAGAATTTACGGCAAACATGCTGCCCCGAATCAATGACCTTGGCTACAATGTCATTCAATTGATGGCTGTCATGGAGCATGCTTACTATGCTAGCTTTGGCTATCAAGTAAACAACTTCTTTGCGGCAAGCAGCCGTTACGGAACCCCGGAAGACCTCAAGGAACTCATTGATACCGCTCATTCCCTTGGAATAGTTGTCCTTCTTGACATCGTGCATAGCCATGCCTCCAAGAATGTTCTTGATGGTCTCAATGAGTTTGATGGTACAGACCATCAATACTTTCATGCCGGAGGGAAGGGCCGTCACGATCAGTGGGACAGCCGCCTATTCAACTATGGACATCATGAAGTCATGAGGTTTCTTCTGAGCAACCTGCGGTTCTGGATGGACGAGTATCAATTCGATGGTTTCCGTTTTGATGGCGTGACAAGTATGCTCTACGTTCATCATGGAATGGGCTTGTGAGTTGCCGTCAAACACTCTATCCTCAAAGACAATTTCTAACTAGCAACAGTGGCTTCTCGGGAGGATATCACGAATACTTCGGTTCCGAAGTGGACGAAGAGGCGGTGGTTTACCTTGCACTTGCCAACCATCTCATTCATTCCCTATATCCTGAGTCCATCACAATCGCAGAAGATGTGTCCGGAATGCCAGCCTTGTGCCTCCCTGTATCTCTGGGAGGTGTTGGGTTTGACTATCGGCTCGCTATGGCTATCCCAGATATGTGGATCAAGATCCTGAAGGAGGTCAAGGATGAAGAATGGGACATTGGGAACATATGTTTCACTCTGACGAATCGCCGTCATGGGGAGAAAACAATTGCATATGCTGAGAGTCATGATCAAGCGTACGTATGTCCCCTTTTACTTTCATATGCCACCTGCTGATGGTTTGCCAGACTCGTTGGCGACAAATCATTGATGATGCATCTCTGCGACGCTGAGCTATATACCAATATGTCTGTACTTTCACCTTTGACATCCGTCATTGACCGTGGGATGGCTCTTCACAAGATGATTCGACTATTGACGCACAGTCTGGGTGGCGAGGGCTATCTCAATTTTGAGGGGAATGAGTTTGGCCATCCTGAATGGCTTGATTTTCCTCGAGAGGGGAACGGCAATTCCTTCTGGTATGCCAGACGCCAGCTGAACCTCACCAGTGACAAGCTTCTCCGCTACCAATTTCTCAACAATTTTGATCGTGGAATGAATCGGTGCGAGGAGAAGTTTGGCTGGCTGCACTCACCCCAAGCATTCGTCTCGCTCAAACATGAAGGCGACAAGGTGATAGTGTTTGAACGCGCGGGGCTTGTTTTCATCTTCAACTTCCATCACTCTAGCAGTTTCGCCGATTACCGAATCGGAATTGAGGTTCCTGGGACCTACCGAATTGTTTTGAACAGCGACTCCAAGGAATACGGCGGGTTCAACAGGGTTGACGAAGAGACCCGATTTTTCACCACCCCAATGGAGTGGAATGGCAGGAAGAACTGGACACATGTGTATATTCCATCCAGGACTGCACTGGTGAGTACCCCGTCCAACGGTGGGAGAGTATTTCTAACCTAGAACGCAAGATTCTCGCTTTGGAGAGCCCAGTCTCCCAACAGGCATAGAGGTGCTCGGGGTATTAACGGGCTAGGTTTGGCAAGGCTGTTCGATGATGGGGAGTGGTAGCTTTCTGTCTAAATACTAGAACAGTTGGTGCTTGGTACTCTTGTTCAGCTGCATTGGGCATATGTTCGCCTAATGGATGATTCTCGGCAGGTAATCTGAATAGTTGATTTGGGAAGGATTGACGATGACTTAAGATTAACGGGTGTTGTTGGTTGATAGCATGTTGGCTACTAGGGCCAGTCCACTCTAGACAGGCATCTTGGCCAATTTGTCCTTAGGTACAGGATATTATATACGACTATTTCTCTGCTTCCTCACTGTAGTGTGCCGTCTCTCCAACCTCGACGTCTGCAAAGCCATGGGGTAATGAGAGCGATCGTTGCAGGCTGCCCCCCCAGCCATGTCATGACGAGTCGATAGATGTCCTATCGGTGAGTAAGCATGCCCTGCAGAATACCGAGACGTGTCGGCTTGTAAGTTGCTAGCCAATAATGCTCATTCCCGGCCAGGCACCCTTGGATCTCTTGCGGGAGATAGGGTAAGCACAAGATCGCGTCTAGCTCTTCTATGACAAACAAGCACAGCCCCGCCACCATCTGCGCCATGTCAAACTCCCCACCTGTGTCTATGACCGCACAGGAGGGACGGTGCCTACCTACCTTGGGTACGGTTGGAGCATTCCTTAGATGTAGGCCGTGCAACTGGGACTTGTGATCGCACACATACCTGGTCCTGTCATCTTACACTGTCCCCGAGAGAGAAAACCACGGGGTTGAGCTGAGCCGCCTTCCATTATGCCCGAATCCTCCGCCTCGTCCTCCCCCGAGGCGCACACGTCCGCGTCCAGAACCGATGACGAGAAGCCGTACCACTCGAAACGCCCCCACAAGAAATCAAGGACCGGCTGCAAGAATTGCAAAGCACGCAAAGTCAAATGCGACGAAGCCCGCCCGACCTGCCGGTCCTGCAGATTGCGCAAGACCGAATGCATCTATCCATCTTCCTCGCCGCCAAAAGCGACACCGGCGGGCATAGCGGTGCCAATTAGGAGCAAAGACTCGCCATTGCCGTCGTTGGAGGCCGAACACTCCAGCAATGGCCAGCTCTCCCCGTTCCCGTCTGCGCTCGCGGCAACTTCCATCGCCGGCCAATCTGATTTCGACCGCGATGCGACTGCACCGAGTTTCCCTTCGACCGACGACCTGGGCTTGCTACCGTCTATAGTTGTCGAGCCCATGTTCCGCCCGGCACCAGCAGTTGACGAAATCGACATGCGCCTGTTGTGGTTCTACACTACTTCGACGTGCTCCTCCTTTAGCATCGAACGCGGTACAACCAGGCCTCTCGAGTCCTTGATGCGCACTACAGTTGTCCAGTACGCCTTCGAGACGCCCTTTCTTATGCACTCGCTCTTTGCACTCGCATCCCTACAACTACAAAGCCTGGGCAGTGCAATCGACCCGCAGCGGTCGTTCTACTACCGCGCCAAATCATTCGAAGGCTACCGAAAAGCAGTAGAAGATGCCAACCCTACCACGATACCTGCGCTTCTCGCCAACTCTTTGTTTCTCACCGCACTCTCCTCGCAGACTTTCCGGGATCCGGATACGAAGGATCTCTATATCGTAGACTGGATGCTTGTTTGGCGCGGTATCGGCTTGATGATTGGCGCCATGGGCGTTGGGCCTATGATTGATGCCGGCCTCAACATACTTTTCTACCGGCCCGTCATGGACCTTGATGAAGCCACATATTCCATCCCCAACAACTTGCTTTTCATGGTTTCCTCCATCTCAACCGATGACCCTGACCATGCCGAAGTTCAAGTCTACTACAACACATTGAGATATCTGGGTTCCCTATACTTCAATCTTGCCAGCAAGGGGATGACGCCCGTCATGGCCCTTCGGATCATCACCTGGTTCACATTTGTCCCCAGGCGATTTGTAGAGCTCGGGAGGGAAATGCGGCCACGGGTTATCGTGATACTGGCCCATTATGCCATGTTTCTCAAACTCACCACCAGCATTTGGTGGACGGCAGGTATCGGTGAGCGCACCCTGCGGGATATTAGAAAACACCTCAACCCGGACTGGGTAGATCTGGTGAGAATTCCGTTCCAGACAATAAGTGTGCATGACAGCATGAAGGTGGCACGCATAATCTTGCAGGACCCGGAGTGGAACAACCCATCCACCATAGCCGGGTTTGCAGAGGGCGAGGACGCACTGGCCAGTGTCCGAAAACTCACCTGGGTTGACAACGTAGGTGAGCCGATCACTTGGCAAGACAATACAGCGGTGCTCGTCAACCCAAACGATGAGGGCTCAACAACACCTACCTGGTCATTATGATCCACTTCCAGGGACAAGTTAATGATAAAATAAAAAACCAATTCGTAAAATTTATGCAACTGCTGCGGTTGAAGCCTTGCAATGTTCATGTAGACGTGAGAGTTTGGGAAATGTCTTGTGGTAAACTATTGGTCCCATGCATCCATTCAGACGGGTGATAAATTTCATAGAGATTGATTGCTCTTGCTCTATTAATATCTCTGTCTGATATCACCAAAATAAGATATATACTGGAGGAAAGTCCAGATACCATGAAATACCAAGGAGCCTGCCTAGTAATAAGCCAATTAGCAACACAATTATCTTCAACTGGGTTGCTGTTTGTTTTAACGGCTACCATTGTCATAATTCTGTCCGAGGCTTATGGACTATACCGTGTTTAATTTCAGCGGCCTGCACGAGACAGGCATAATTATTGAGTAGATACACCCCGAAGACTGAGAGCAAGAGCACAAGGAATGAGGACGCTGTTACGAGGCATAATTTGGGAATTCACCGCCGATCATATGATATTACAACAGGCCGTCGATTTAACAAAGGAAACAAGCTGACTTATTGAGTAATCATGGCTACAGGAGGAATTTTTGTTGATTTCTTGTTACACAGCCCACGAACGAGACTTGATGGAGCGTTTAGCAGAAACCTCCCCTATGGCCAACCGTTCATCCTTCTGGTCTATACACACAGGCCTAAACTTCTCCACCCGCTCCGAGGTATTATTTCACGATCCCCCAGAGAAACCGCTTAGCTCTTCTGCTCGAGCTCAGCGAGAATCTTCTCACCCTTCTCCTTGGCCGAGGCGAAATCGCCAACCATGTAGAAGGCGTTCTCGGGAAGGCTGTCACCCTCTCCGCTGAGAATAGCCTTGAAGGAGCTGATGGTGTCCTTCAGGTCAACCAGCTTACCCTCGATACCAGTGAAAACCTGGGCGACGGTGAAAGGCTGGCTCAGGAAACGCTGGATCTTACGGGCACGCTCGACAGTAAGCTTGTCAGCTTCAGAAAGTTCGTCCATACCCAGAATGGCAATGATATCCTGGAGAGACTTGTATTCCTGAAGAATCTGCTGAACACGAGTGGCAGTGTCGTAGTGCTCATCACCCAAAATACGGGGATCCATCATACGGGACTTGGAGTCGAGAGGGTCGACAGCAGGGTAGATACCCAGCTCGGAAATACCACGGGACAAGACAGTGGTGGCGTCCAAGTGAGCGAAGGTGGTGGCGGGGGCAGGATCAGTCAAATCGTCAGCAGGGACGTAGACAGCCTGGACGGAGGTAATGGAACCCTTCTTGGTAGTGGTAATACGCTCCTGCATACCACCCATATCGACGGCGAGGGTGGGCTGGTAACCGACGGCAGAGGGGATACGACCCAGAAGGGCAGACACCTCAGAACCGGCCTGGGTAAAGCGGAAAATGTTGTCAATGAAGAGCAACACTTATTGATGGTTAGCATGTGTTTCTTAGATCGAGCTTTGAATAGTGAGGCACTTACCATCCTGACCTTCCGCATCACGGAAGAATTCGGCGACAGTCAAACCAGTGAGGGCGACACGGGCACGGGCACCGGGGGGCTCGTTCATCTGACCGAAGACCAGGGCCACCTTGGACTCGCCATCAAGCTGAATGACGGAGGTTTCCTGCATTTCGTGGTACAGATCGTTACCCTCACGAGTACGCTCACCGACACCAGTGAACACGGAGTAACCACCGTGAGCCTTGGCAATGTTGTTGATAAGCTCCTGGATGAACACAGTCTTACCGACACCGGCACCACCGAAGAGACCAATCTTTCCACCACGAGCGTAGGGAGCAATCAGATCGACAACCTTGATACCAGTGGCGAGAATCTCAGCAGCGGTGGACTGCTCAGTGAACTCGGGGGCTTCGCGGTGGATAGGGAGGTGGTTCTCGGACTTGATGGGGCCACGCTCGTCAATGGGGTCACCAGTGACGTTCATGATACGTCCCAGAGTAGCGTTACCGACGGGAATGGTGATGGGAGCACCGGTGTCCTTGGCGGGGGCACCACGGGTAAGACCCTCAGTACCTAATACAGTTAGAAGTGTCGAGATTTCGGATGTATTTTACGACTTACCGTCCATGGCAATGCAACGAACGACGTTCTCTCCGAGATGTTGCTGGTCAAGGTTAGCTGGGTGGACTACAATCCCAACTTGTGAGGCGAACTTACCGAGACCTCGAGCACGAGCTTCTGGCCATTGTTATCGGTCTCAAGAGCGTTCAGGATAGCGGGCAGCTTGGCAGTGTCGAACTTGACTGCAACAAAGTTAGCAATTGAATGCGGTGATTGACCCTGTCATCTTGAGCGACTAACCATCCACAACGGCACCGATGACCTGTCCAATCGTTAGCCTCAATTCCTCCAGGACGCCAGCTCATCTCGGCCAGCAACAATCGACGCATCCGGTCTCACCTGGTAGATCTTGCCATCACCGACACCAGAAGTGCTCGCGAATCGGCTGTTGAGGGCTCGGAAGGGGGCAGGCTTGACGGCACGCAGAGGAGCCGCAGCCCGGAAGGCAGGGCGAGCCGCGCGAGCGAAGGAGGAAATGCCGCTACACGGAATCAAGTTGTGTTAGCCCAATGTGCGCCAATTGAACCCAATTCGGATCGAAAACTCGAGTGCGATATTTCTAGGGCGTCAAACTAACCTCTTGAACATCTTGCCCGATGAAGAAGAGCGATCTGTGATGGGAGTGGAGGGAGGTCGTTGAAGCTGAGGGAGAACTTTTACGGGGTGAGCAGTTTTGCTCGGGAGAGGACGACCTGTCGGCTAGAGCTTTCCCCCGTAAGTCACGTGCAGCCGCTAATCCCGAAAGCACTCATCTGCCCCACCTGCCGGGAAATTATCGGGGCCTAGTCCGCTAAACAACAACTGAAATTGGAGCTCTGTCTGGCTGCTTTTGCGGCAGAAACGAGCTCCCGGCCTGAGGATGAAAAAATATTCCGCTGTTCCCGATGTTGCTTTCCCTCAATTACCCAAACACTTGACACCTGGCCAAGTAGGTGACATAAAAGATGGCACACCATACTCATAGCATTCGTCGATTCTGACACGACTAACAGAATAGCCAACACAACAAGCCCAAAATCAATTAAACTCCATACGGTCCCATTAGTAGTGGATTGCTACCTTATCTAAGATAGTTATGATTATTCTGGACAACCACGGGCGAGCCTTGGATCCAATGCAGCTGCGATGAATATTGTTGTGATGTCAGGTAACACATGATAGGTATCTCGATAGTTTGCAATTTTTGTCCTGTCGACCTCCTTCATTATGTCCTAAGCTTCCTTTGCAATGCGATGATTACGTATTCTTCCTCATATCAAAGGCGATGTCTATGCTTTACCCCTGAGGCGGAGCGCGGCATTTGGTGTCCGACGATTTATGTCACCCACTTACAACCGGCATCTCGGTACAGCGGAAGGGGCGATGTAGCATGCCTGCTAACCACTCATGCAGGCGAGGGTAGAAAGCGGGGTTAACTTAGATCTGGCTCAGAATCCCAGTTCCCACACCACCTGACAAGCAACCCATTCTGCCATTCTTAAACTCTGTCGTGTTGGATGTTCACAAGTTGGTGAGGTTAAAACCGCCTGCTATGCACCAAAAGAACAGCCCGCTTGCCTATGACCAAAGACAGATGAGGTTGCGAGACAACGCTAAGTCCATCATATGCTAAAAAGTGTTGACCAATAAATGTAATGGGAAAAAATATAACAGATGGTTCCTTCAAGTTCAATTGTGGCTGGTCAGCATATTAAGTCGGGTCATCCTTCGACTCGATGCTCCAGTATTTGCATCTCTGTTGCAGCTGTCTGCTGATTTCTTGCCCGTTCCAAACCCCCCTTGCGCAGGCCTCCTGGGACAGACATCCACAGGATCAGGATAATGGCAAAGACTGCCAGCACGACTGGTTGCAGAACTTCAACGCCCTTTCGCTCAGCTAGAACTCCGACGACAAATGGCAGGATAGCGGCACCGCTTCCGCCAATTGCGGCAGCGATGCCAATCGAGGCGACGTGCTCTTCGGCAGGTAGGAGTTTTGTCATAACCACAATCGCAGCAGGGAATAATGGCCCAAGAAAGAAGCCCAGCAGAATGACACAAGCCAGTGTCACCTCAATGCTTGGAACTGCCCAATATAAAACCTCCAAGCCAATACAGAGTCCGAGGTATATGCTAATAGCTAGTTTTTCTCCGATGCGGCCAGTGATGAAACCGAGGACAACTCGGCCTACAGTCAGACCGCCCCAAAAGCAGGTCACGGCGATTCCAGCTAGCCAGCCACTCGCATGCCGTACCTTTAGCATGAATGTTGGGATCCAGCCACCAAGACAGACCTCGACACCGACGTATCCAAGGAGGAAGGCTGACATTAGCCAGGGAATTGGCTTACGCAGAACCTCGGTAGTACTGATGGGCCTGGTCCCTTCATCCAACCTGTGCCTCTTGCGATACTCGGCCCCAGTAGCGCCCCAGAAAGAGAGCAGGCCCACAACGAGCTCGAGAGCCGAAAGGCTTATCATGAGGTAGAAGAAATTGTACCACTCAAGCTGGAGCTTGGTGACCATGACTGAAGCAAGCAAAGGGGCAAGGGTGCCGCCAATGCCATAGGAGCCGTGGAGCAAGCCCAGAAGCTCGTTTGTGTTGTGGAGATTCCCAACCCAAGCATTCCATGCGCTATCATTGAGGCCGTTTCCCAAGCCGGTAAACACCATAGCGGCGGGAAGGATTCCAAAGGAAGAGGGATGCAGAGCCATTGGTACGTAACCCATCAACCGACAAGCGGAGCCAAGCAGGGAGATTCCGCGCTGGCCAATAGTGATATGAATCCAGTTGTTTGCCAAGGCAGCGGTGAGGTATCCCACAAAAGGGACAACAAATAGCAATGACACTGTGGTGTAGTTGACATCGTAGTAAGGTTCTATCTGAACCAGCGCAACCTTAGCTCTACTAGTTTGATGGGGGCAGAGGTCTAATTCTTAGCCACTTACATATGGAATCAGCGCCTATTAAGAGAAGAACAAGTTGAAGATGCGTGTCAGTCTACTGTCTTTCAAGAATTTTATAGAGAAGATAATTGCTATGTTGCCTGTGCACCTGTCTCGAAGCGAGAGCTGGCTGGCTATGCGACTTACACCAAGGCAAGCATCGTTCATACCCATAATCACAAAGGTAAGGTTGACAGAGACGAAGCGTATTACGTTGACCTTGGGATCGTTCCAAGATTCTTGTTTTATTGAAGAGAGGTGGCTGTCACCACCTTGTTCGGAGAGCGAATCACCAAGGAGGGCGTCCCCCTCATCGTCGATGACCCCGCTAATATCGTGTTTAGAATGGAATTCACGGCTACTGCCAGATCGCTCGTTGGTGGCCATGATGTGGTTACAATGATTATAGCCGTCGTTAGGCAGGCCGATGCCATATGACCTGGGTGATGTTTCGAGAGAAAATAGTTGGCAGAATATGGCGCCTGGTTTACACCCTAGGAGGATGAACGAGATACGAGACGCTGCGCACGGTATGTGTTTTTGCGGGATCCTAGCAATATCGGAGAAGAGCATCCGACGAGTCCCAGATAAAAGGAGACTCTGCTGAGAAGAGCGATGTCGCTGGCAATATCTTTAGCGGAGATGCTGATGTTTAGTAACGTATAAGGTAACCTGGGTCATTCTCCAACTGGGTGACATTGAATTTGAGACGATGACTATGACACTGCTTACTCTCAAACCTGCAAAGGATGAGCTATTGCCGGATTATTGAGGGCTATGATATTATCTAGGGGATAACATACTAAATATTATAAATTGATATCATTTTATACTTCCTCACTAGTTCAATCATTACCGAAAACGGTTTGTTTAGAACCACCCTCAATTTAGGTAGTGTCTTATTTCTTCTGTCACCCACTTGCTCCGGGTAGGTATCTCAATACCTTGGCGGAGTCCCTGTGTCATTACATAATCATGCAACAACCGACCGCGGAACACCGACATTCATCTAACCTATAGTCGGCTTTGTCCATGCTTGCGAGGCTACTATCATGATTTGAACCTGCGAGAAACTGCGGATTTTCCCACATCTCTGACGACCTAGCTCTCCTACGGTCGGCATTGGCCGAACTTGATCGTGCGGATGCACCTGCCAGGCTCCCCGGCGCTCAGTACGGTTACCCTGACCGCGGCCGTGAGAGCGCAATGGTCCCAAACTATCCGCGGTCTCCCTGAACGGCCTAATCCCTCTTCACCAAGCTTGCGTGCTGGTGATTATCGACGACGCCGTTTCTATTCTTCTTCTCTGCCAGACCCACCTGCCTCGAACCCCCCTCCCAGAGACCCAAATACTGGTTCCGATCCCAACAACAACGGCAAGCCTCTGAGAGATCCACTCCTGGAACAAGATGTAGAGAGCGAAGGGAGTCACAATGCGGCGGATACGCATATCGGCCGTTCAAAGAGGCACGACCTATCACCGGCAAGGAACCGGCAAAACCGTCGTCGCGTTTCATCCGCACTTCCACCTGTCTCTCTGCCACCATCCTTCGAGTCGAACAACATTCTTTACTTTCAGTACGATGGCCAACCTTACCTACCTCCCGCCTTGGTCGAGGATGCGAAGCATGATAAAATCTCCCGTCTTTATCCACGCACCAAAGGGGACCGTACTGCTGGTTTCCAGAAAGCCATTGGTACAATCGAAACTTATTTCGACACTGCACTAGACCTGCTTCTCCAACGAGAGAAGCAACTTGCGCTCGACTTTCTCGACCGATCCCTCGATGGCCCCTCGCACTGGGACCACCCTCGCATGATCCATCAAGTCGCCCGTACTTGGGACATGATTCTCGACGCCGCTTGGCACCTCACCGATGCCCTCTATCCTGCACGACAGCCCGAATACATATATAAGAGCCGCCCTTTCTGGTGGTGGCATTTCTATAAAGATCTCGACCTTCACACACAAAAGTTCCGCAACTTGACTGAGTCTCATGAACTTCCTATTCGTACTCAGCTTTCTTTCGCCGAGGACCTTGATTTCTCTCTTTCACACGCTCTTGCCGACTTTCCTGCAGAGACTTTCGAAGCTGTTACCAAAGCCATTGATCGAGAGCTTTCGGCTCTTTGTCCCCCTACATTTGACCCCAAAACGGGAAAACGACCGATACATATCATATCAACATCTGGATACGCCGGGAAGGCCATTTCTCAGTCTCTAGGGTCTCACATGGGCTGGGTCAACTGGGCTGATGTCATTCATTTGGATGCGCACGATCTCTCTTGTTTAATCGGCCAATATTTAGGCCAAGACTGGGCATTTTCTCGAGGCCCTTTGTCTATGATGGGGTTTCGTGCGGCCGAGTATAATGGGAAATTGACTAAGGAGGCTGAAGCGACGACCAAACTGGCCGACGATGATGAGGCTGACAATGAAACGAGCATCATCAACGTGCGTACTTCAACGTCTTCTATCGAAGATGAGCTTCAAAAAGCTAGGCAGGGAAGCTATGACATCTTTAGCAAATGGGAGAATCTGAAAATTGATAAGATTCTTGACCACATCATCCGAACAACAGAGTCAACCACAGCTCCCACCGAGTCCCAAAAGAAGCTTCTGATACACATCCATGACTACGTGGAGCTAAGCATGACTTTAGAAGGCTCATATATATTGTCAAGACTCCGAGCTCTTGTGGACGCTGCCTGGCATCAAGGAAAGCAAATCGCCATTATTGGGACCTCTGCCTGCAACCAGCCTTCAGAGGAGTATCAGAATACCGTTAATGAGCTTGCAGTCGGAGACTTCGTGGTGACACGACACATTCAACCGGACCGCGCAGAGAAGCAGACTGCAGTAGCCGCCACAAATGCACCGTCATTCAATCTAGAGAAAACGGATATTGTCTTGGAAAATACGGCCAATATCAATCGAATGTTGTGTTCCCTTGATCCTAAATTCGCCCAATCAGCCTCAACACAGCTTGAGACTGAGAAACAGTTCACCGCAATGGCGCTTGTTCCTAGCCCTAAAAACATCCTCAAGCAGTCTATCCTTCCAGTTCCGGATGTCTACTTTCTTGCTTCGGCATTCCGGGATGCAGAAACCCTTCACCCTGGGGCGGGAGCCGTCAACTGCCTGGATAGAATCTTCATGGGCCCTCTCAGACAGCCTCCAGGTCAAGATTTTCTTGAGCAGAAAAACTCGGACGATGCACCGGAGCAGCGAGACATGTCCAAGTCTTCAGAGGAAACAAAATTTGAGACCCGAGTCAACCCGAAGCTGAGTGGTATGAACGAATATGAGAAACGGATCGCTTCCGGACTCATAAATCGGGAGAATATACGCACAACATTCAATGATGTTCACGCGCCACCCGACACAATATCGGCTCTTAAGCTTCTCACTTCCCTGGCCTTGGTGCGCCCAGACGCCTTCTCCTACGGCGTTTTGGCACATGATAAAATCACAGGATGTTTACTGTATGGTCCTCCTGGTACAGGGAAAACAATGCTCGCCAAAGCTGTAGCTAAAGAGAGTGGCGCCAACATGCTGGAGATCAGTGGTGCCAGCATCAACGACAAGTGGGTTGGTGAGGCCGAGAAATTAATCCGAGCAGTTTTCACACTTGCCAAGAAGCTATCACCATGTGTTGTTTTCATCGATGAGGCTGATGCAATGCTGGCAAATCGAAGCATGTTTAGCAACCGCCCGTCGCACCGTGAGCATATCAACCAATTCTTAAAAGAGTGGGATGGGATGGAAGAGACAAGTGCCTTCATAATGGTGGCCACGAACCGACCATTTGACCTTGACGATGCCGTCTTGCGCCGTCTACCTCGCAAGATCCTCATTGATCTACCACTTCAGGACGATCGGACTGCTATCCTTCACTTACTACTGAAGGACGAGAAGCTGGAGGAAACCGTGTCGCTGGAGGAATTGGCGGAGCGAACGCCCTTTTACTCGGGCTCTGACCTGAAGAATGTATGTGTTGCGGCCGCCATGGCTGCAGTAGAGGAAGAGAATACCGACGCAGCAGCCCACAGGGGCCCAGAGCCATACAAGTATCCGGAGCGACGGACTTTACGCAGAGGCCATTTTGAACGCGCCATCAAGCAGATTCCTGCTAGCATCAGCGAAGATATGCCATCCCTACGGATGATTAGGAACTTCGACGAAGAGTATGGAAATAAGAGAAAGTCTGGCGGTAAGAAAAGCATGGGCTTTGGCCATGTGGCCGTTGGAAAAAAGGTTGACGCCCAGGCAGCAAGGGTCCGACAACGGGGCTTCTGACATTGTTCAAGCCTACAGACCTATATATAAAGATGGAGAGTTGGATCAACAAATCAAGAAGAAGAAAACACTGTATATATACTAGCATCCTGTGGATCTTGTAACAATAAGTAGGTGTATCATGTAGCTCTCACTTGATATTGTGAGAGTATTATTAGATTCTTGAGGGCCAATAATAATATTAAGAAGCAATTCACTAAATATAGTGCCAACATTTTGCGATGAATATCTTGATCCCTAACTCAACACAGAAGTGAAGGCTACCAAAACTTAGCCATTGACTGGCCTGTAATCAGGAACTTGCGGTGCCTTAATTCATATTCAACAGATTCCTATTACCTCAATCTACAGCTACCTGCCAGGGTCGCACAACTCCATCATCACCAGTCGTGATTAACATTTCCTCCACACCTCGCTTATCTGCCTCGATGCCTGAATCCCACCGACGACACCACGCGACATGATTCACTTCATACGGCCCATGAGCATTCTCATGGCTATCTAGTAGCGTCCATGAACAATCCTCCTCCTCCTTGTACAATGCTAACACACCATCACTGCCCGTGCTGGCGATAAGGCCGGTAACGGGGGACCATGCCGCAGAGTAGACATCACTGGAGTGGACTTTGGGCAATGTGGCGGTACAAACCCATTCCTCGCGCAGCGATTGGCGCATAGTGTTGGGAATCCCCCCGAGGGGGTTGCGCGCTCGTGCCTGTGCAGTGCCGGATTGCTCTGCATCATCATCATCCCCCTCTCCCTGCTGGGTGAGCGTCCAAACGCGCAACGTCCCATCAGCCGAGTATGAGAGTACCCGGGGGAACTTGTTCCCTTTCCGCGGCTTTCCCTCCCACTCAACGCCCCAAACTGTACCTTCGTGCCCCTCGAGAACCGCTACACAGACCCATTCCGCATCGCCATCCTCCCTCCAAACCCTCAGAGTGTTATCGTAGCTGGCAGAGGCCAGAACATCGTGGCCGTAGGTGTTGGGCCGTGAGCGGCCGGGAACGTCGGGACACCAGGCAAGAGACTTGACATCGCCCTCGTGCTCGTTCAGGACGGCAATAGTCTCCCACTCGTCATCGGCCTCGGAGGCGCCAATGTCCTCCCAGATCCACACGGACTTGTCGCGAGAGCAGGTGGCGAGCTGAGCACCAGAAGGGCTGAAGGCGCACGTCTTGATTTCCGAGTCGTGCCCCTCGAGGACGAGAGTAAACTCCCAGTCCTGGTCGCCCTTTTCGGAGTCGCCGTCTCTGCCTGTGACCTCGACCTCGAGGCCCGCCGCCTCATCCTCCCAGCGCCAAAGGCCGGCCGTGGAGTCGAAACTGCCCGTCACGAGACACAGTTTGTGGGGGGGCAGGTTCGGCTTCCAGGCAGCAGAACGAACCGATCGTGTGTGGCCGCCAGTCAGATTGCTGTGTGACGAGAGGGTTGTGAGGGAGAAGACTGTGACGGACTTTGCGTGGACAGTGGCAAGGAGAGGCAGAGTCGGATGCGGCGCTGAGAACCAGGCTCGTTCGTGGAGATCTGGGCGAAGGGGTGGAAGCGCGACCAAATGCTGTGCCTTCGTTGTCGCCGCCGCCGAGGTCGGCATGTTTGATCGATCGGTCGCGGGGTAGATTTCTGAATTGATTTGTCGGGTCGGGCGCTGTCTGTAGAACGGAAGAAGTTTGGTCGCGCCGAGTAAGGTCCTTAGAAAATAAGTTCAATCGCAGGGAACAGTATTAAGTTGAAGAGAAGGATCTCTCGCAACAATCCGAGTTGAGGAAAAAAACCATTGGGGTAGAAGCGTAGTAGCTGCTAACAATTTATGTCGATAGCTTATCCCACTTGCCCACTACGACCCCTCATCAGTCGAGGCTGGAAACAGAACATACGCCGGGAGAACATCAAAATATAAAATCACCGAGGATTTTAATTAATAAATAAATTCCTTTGTTTCTAATTGGAAAAAATAGATATTTGAACACAGAAGTTGACATGCGGTGGGTAGTTCAAATAGCCACAGTCCAATACAATCTAGAGAACTACCTACAGTAAGGTAGACAAGCATCACTAGTAGATACCTCATCCCCCCTGGTGTAATTGGAAACGGTCCAATATAACCAGTATGAAATACTTGGCGTGGTTCAAGGATTGAAACAGGTTGATTGGGAGCCTTCGGCTACCTAGGGCCGTAGTTGGCACATTGCAAGCAGTCAGCAGTATACTCATGGCATCTCGGGTCCCGAATTTGATAGAAAATAATCTAATATATTTTACATTATTGAGAAATGCTTACATAGTATTGTGTGTTATCATTACAAGATAGGAATCAATATTTTACAACTCCCACAATTATTCTATCGGAGCGGCTTTGTGGTGCCTGTGTTTCTTACAGTCACATGAGTACTCAGTAGATCCAGGCTCTCAGCAAACAAATCCTCAGCAGTTGAAGTTTTCAGCAGATGTTTAAGAGCAGCATCGATTAAATTTCAGATGCGTTCTTCCAAAGCCCATGTAACGGTTCCCGTTGTATAGTTCACATCTTTAATCCCTCTCACGGCACTTTCTGTCTCCTTTTCCAAGTCTATATTCATTTAACAGTGGCCTTGATGGTTGTTCCTCCTCCATACAATCCCATGTTGGGAGTGCTCCCTCGCTTCATCCTCCAAAGTGTGTAATTTGCCAAGCTTCTCCCCATACAGCACCTTAATGGCAATGATTTTAACTAAAGAAGATTGCCTAAGGAACGCCTTATACGGTTAGTGATTTGTAACGCTTTTATTGGCTGATATACCCATTGTACAATATAGTATGGCCAAATATACTGGCGTGATGTTTCTTTTGTTGTTTTCGTGTCGTGGGTTCGTCGCTTGCCTGTTCTTTCATCGTGGCTTTGAGAATATAAATACTATCCAATCGTTCAGAAGTTACGATGCAGAATGCTTGATGCCGGAGACTTCAAGATTTTTGCTAGTGGTAAGCCCAGATTTCATAATAGAAAGTAGGTGCAAAATAATATTCAATCGACTCTTTGGTGCACAGATATTATGGCATTGTGAGCGAGCTCCTGTAACTGCCTGGTAGACGCGTCTACCTGTCCCCTGGAAACCGCTTTACCGGCTCTTAGGAGACCCACCACAGCACCTACAACAAAGCTAAAGCCTCTTTTCCTCCTTTGCCTCGACATCTAAGTAGATGTGAGCAGTACATGCAACATACCCTCCTTTAAAGTGAGATGGCTACGCAAACACTGAGTGGCATAGGTCCACGAGTTGAATACGCCCACTAATGGGTGTTACCTCCCCTATTCTATTCCGAACACTTGGTAATCAAAATGCTCCTCACTCTCTCCTGGCCGGTGCCACCAAGGCATACAGCACTTGCTAGGTACGTAGGTCTTCGGCTACAACGTGGAAGAATGTTGTTTTTAGCTGCCTAAATAATGACGTATATGTCATAGGCAACTCTTTGCAAGACACCACTCATACTGGTGTGGTCTAGGGTAGGCATACTGGTCTCGAGTAAGGCAGATAGCGTGAAATGAGTAAGGTACATTAAAATCACCAACATTGAATTTGGATATTTGCATACAAATACCACAAAATACTTTTTCAATATACCTAGTTTTGTATTTGATAGCGCTCATAAACTAATACTAGGCCCATAGCTTCTATATTAGAACAAGAGTAGCCTATATAATTTTTTTCCAGCCATTTGACACGTTCATTACCCAAGGTATAGGTTAAGCTGCCTTTTACGGCGCTCATGACGTAGAATGAATGGAATTTCGCTTAACATTATGTGTAGACTTCTTTTATCACCGGGGAGGTTCTTTATTTATTTTTGATATTCTGTCTCCATTATGCAGCATTGTCCCTGGTTTCAAAGCACACTCCATTATTCCCTGCATCACCTTGTACAGGCTGGGACTGAGGTGTGTTTTATCACCCCAGCAGGTACCTAGGTACCAACTTTCACGGGCTTTCTCAGGCGGCAGTGCTAAACTATTTCTGGTCCACAAGTAAGAAAGAAAGCCTTGGCCTCTCAACCTCATGCCTCGTTCTTGTTTCTTACTACTACTTCAGCTGTCACCATTCCCAGCCCAACGCTCTTCATAGATATCACTCCGCCAAAGCCCACACTCCTCGTGTACCAAGAATTTTCCTTCTTCCTCGCCGAGGTGGAGTGGTCTAGTGCGTTCGTACAAACCTGACGTCGCGTGCGTGTTCTTTGCCATATAGCTATTGTGATGCGTATTACCTATTAGGCCAACGCCACCAGGCAGCCAGGAGATAGCCGGCTAGCTACTCCAACCTATTCCAATCCCTCGCCATTCGTCCGCTTTGTTCGCGTCATCTCAACATGGACATCCCGGCCGGGCGAACGTTGTTCAAAAAGAAGGAAGGCATCCTCACGCTGACCCCCGATCAGAAGACCGTCACATGGACTCCCAACTCGGGCGGGCCAGCAACGGTGTCGCTTCCTGTTGCAAATATCACAAGTAGATGCTTAGCCCCATGATTGAAGCAAGCGTTTGTAGGACACTCCTAGCTAACGTGTTTCCTCCAAAAGGTCTGCAGCAAACTCCGGATAGCTCCCCAAAGGTGATGCTCAAGATCGTAGAGACTGCATCTGAAGGGGCTGATCCAGTTGCTTATCTATTTCATTTCAACACACCGGAGGCTAAATCTGAAGCCCAAGCTGTGAAGGACCTTCTTTCACGCATCTTTGTCGAACTTCGAAGCAATGATCCGAGCATTCCCAGGCCAGCTGTGTCGGCAGCAGGAACACCTTCGGCCCAGAATGGACAAGCTAGTAAAGGCGGCACGCCTGCATCTATGGCTCTTGGAAGCACTACGACTCCTCAGCCGGCGGCCGCACATTGGTTTGATGATAACCAACTGAAGAATGACATCGAGCTCCAGATGTCTTTGATGAAAAAGGATAAGAGCCTTCACAGGACATACATGGAGGCCATGTCAACCAAACCAGATTCTATTTCGAGTGCCGCTTTCAACACGCAATTCTGGTCCACCCGCATAAATCTCTTGCGATCTCATGGCATTGAAAAGCATCAAAAGAAGGGTGCATATAACGTCCTGTCGACTGTTAAGCCTCGTACCGTGGATGGTGAGCTAAAGCTCAACATAAGTCTTGAGCAAGTCCAGATGATATTCGCCCAACACCCGCTTGTAAAACGGATTTACAATGAAAACGTACCTAAGCTCTCTGAGGCTCAGTTCTGGTCTCGGTTCTTTCTCAGCCGGCTATCCAAGAAGCTACGAGGTGAAAGGGTGACGGACAGTGACCCTCCCGACGCGCTGTTTGATAAATACGATGCAAACGACAATACACAGGCGATCCAGAGCAAGATCATGGCCCAGAGCGTGCCCCACATCATAGATATCGAGGGCAATGAGGAGAATCAGGGAGGTGTCAAGAGTGGCAATGCTAAAGATGTGGAGATGCGTCCACGGGCAAATATTCCAATCGTCAAGACATTGAACAGCCTCAGCGAGAAGATAATGGCAAACGTGGCACCGTCGGACAACATTGATGACGCAAACGTCTCAGGATACTCATACGGCCAACTTGCACTCCGCGATCTAAGAGGAGACGAGAAGGAGCACCGCATCATTTTGAACGTCACTGAGCAAACCCAATTTTTTTCAAAGCGAGAAGCCGCTCCTTCTGCCAACGCGCAGGCGTTTGCGAAGCAGAATCCCATGGATGTCCTTTTTGAAATACAGGGTGATCTTGAGACTCTGGACGATGACGGGGCTGGGGGCATTGATATCCACGCCACCATTGGTTACAACGAGGATAGTGATAGTGACGAGGAAGAAAATGCAACTCGCGCACGGCGTCCTCATGTAGGCTCGCGATCTGTTATCCGAGCTGCGGAGAAGGAAATTCTCAAGGGCATTAGCCAGCAACGCTCCCAGAAATATGGCCATGCTGGTGACTCAACCACGCCCATGGGGCTATCATCTCAGTTAGCCGAGAAATGTGCGTTGACTCACGCAACAACGATTGAATTTCTTCATCAATTCTGGACAGCATTCCTGTCTGGCGACCCAGATCGTGCAGCCGAACTTCAATACCTTGCAGAATCCTTGAGCAATTCGGCCGCCCGTATCTCTGCCGTAGCTGATGAGGCCACACAAGAACGGGAGGAGACTATCAAACGACGGAAGCAAGAGATAAGGGAGCACTACGAGCGAACGGGCAAGAAGATTCGCTGGAAATCCGATATGGTTGGCGGTGGGCGGGATGCTGTCCTCAAGTTGATGCAACCGACACTGGATGCTCTCGAGAAAGCCAAGGCAGATTATGCCCGAGCTCTTGCCGCAGAGGGGATAAAAACCACTACTGAGAATTAACCAATTTGGATTAAATCGTTGGGTGCCTTGGGTATGAGTTGGTAGTGTGTATCATGATTATATACGACATAAGTTATTTGCAGCCTCTTCATAAAGATCCGGCATACTGGCTATAGGAAAAAATAAGCCGAGCGATGGTTGAGTGTCTCAAATTCAATGTCCACTTGTTGATCACTCATTGTGATCCTGCGAGCCCAATCTTCGGACTGTCCAGTCAAGTAGTGCCCCGGAACTAGTGGAGTGGAAGAATTGGCTCGTGATACCATCATGCCTTTGTTTAGTATGTAGCTTATGTGACACCCAATAGCTGGTAGTAATTCTGCTCTAGTCGTTGGGTACAGTATACCATACTATCCAAAACATACCTTCTCACTTCTAAAACATCATTGAGATGGCGACAGTGATCAGACAGATGCTCAAAGAAATCGAGTTGCTGAAATCAGTGAGAAACAAGCGAGATGCCGAACTCGCGGACCTGGAGCAGGAGAACGAGCGATTCAAAACCGAATGGAACATACCGACGAGTCAGAGGGAAATTTGTTCTCTTCAGTTGACATTATTTAGCTATGGACCTCTATTATACATTATAACGATCTTGCCACACTGTATCAAGCCTGGTATTCCCTCATCGTGATTTCTGTGATGCTTGGGTGAAGATCCTATCCCTCAGGATCTGGTATAAGCACCTGATATTGCCGTAGAATCATCACTGCTGCTCATCATTGTCATTCTTCCTTCATTTACCAATCACCAGGGAGTAGCTGAAACCTCCACTCACCCACCCCTTTCTCAATCACATGACCTGTAGCGTCTGGCTATTGCTCATCTGCTCACTTGATCTTCTCTCTCAATGCAGGCTTTGAAGAATTGACCAATCTCGGCAAGTGCCATGTGCTCGCGCCTACTTACACCAAGGAGATTGAACAACGACTGGGTATCCACGAGCTGCCTCGCAATGACCGCGTCTGGATGGCAGAAGGTCCGCACCCTCATAGCTCGGGCATTCGTCTTCATCGAATGCAGAAGACCTACAATCTCTGCTGGGTTACCTTGACGACGCCCATGGAACACAAACTCGTCAATGTGTAAGCTGACTAGATCGAGCTGTGTTTCTAGATCGTATCGAAAGCCGACGACCTTTGGACGGCCTTGCTGGAGCCAAGCATCGCTGATTTTCTTCAGCTTGTCCGTATCCAAACGACCCTTGCCAAGCTCGCCTGCAATGTAGCCATTGATAGAATTGGTAAGATGAAACTCTAATTCACAGTACAATAGACTCTGCTCTCTCGCATCAAGAGAAACGGCCATCTGGGTGCCTGGAACTTTCTTGGACCGCCGCCCAGAGTGGTGGAAGTCGGTCTATAATCATGTTAGCAAACTGCAATGTTGGCTTTTCGTTGTGGGCTCTGAGAATCTTACAATGTCTTTGGCCATTTTCTTGATCCCATCCAGGATCCCTGGTTTCTTCGCATTCACCGTATCTGGCTTGCCATCTGTCCGCTCCAACCAACCTCCTTCTCCAATCATCGTCTTCCCTCCTCTTTTTTCAACGGGGATGCCCTTTTCACGATAGTAGAAAGGGAATGGGGAAAAGGGCGGGCTATCATTCACTTCTCGGGAATTAGATGCTCCCTTCTGGGGCGAGCGAGAATAAGCACTGGAATTGTCTCCACGACTAAACCCGTCGAGAGTGCTCTTGGATCGCTGTGGCTGGTGTCCATGCCCACGAGGCACTTCTGGTAGGTTCTGGACCCACGAGTCATACATGTTCATCACATTGCCATTGCCAGGAACGGCCTCCTGATACTGGGCATCCCCTCGAAGCCTGAGCGGATCCGGTCTTGAGGGTGAGGTGATATGCTGCCCGCTAGAATAATCGCTGACTCTCATGTCACTTGCCTCGTACATTTCCATCGGACTGAGAGGGGATACGGGATAGGGAGCGGCCTCTGGCACTGGCCGATTGGGAATATTCTTCTCCATCCTCGGCTTGTTTTCTCCCACCCGCACCGGGGTTGGCGTCGATTTTTGTCTTCGCTCCGCCAAGTTGGGAGTGTTGGTCAGACGCCCGAAGTCTGGCCGAGGCATGAGGTCGGAGAAAGTTGTAGATGCGGTAGCTGGGGCATGGATACTCTTATCGTCCGAGCATGGATGCTGTTTGAGGTCGTTTGACGACCTATACGTGCTTTCCTGGTGCTGCGACCGGATAGGGCTGGTGCTGATTTTGGTTGAAAACCTGATCAAGGAATCCGAGTCAGTATTTCATCTTATTCCATAATCCGGATTGGCAACACATCTGCCAAAAGGATTCTCAGAGCCCGTAGGAGGGAGTAAGAGAAACTGAAATAACTTACGCGTCGGTGATTTTGTTCACCTGAGTCTCGGTCAAGTTCATCCGGATATGGAGAGGCTGCTTGAGATTTCGTTTTCGAGGAGACAGAGAGTGAGTTCTTGCACAAGAGGGAGAAGAGGCAGTGTGGTTGTAATTGCTCTCGAGGGGTGTTAAGGAGGCATTTGAGGGATCGGAGTAGCGGTTCCTTCCCTGTTTGTGCTGTTGAGGACCCATTAGATTAGACGGCACGTACCAAAAACTGAAGATCTGAAAGAGAGATCCTCAACAAGTTGGGTCGCGAAGGTAGATGATGCGCAAAGCACATGTGCATTTGTAGTCCAAGGAAGAAGTTAACACCTCGATACGCATGAGAGCGAGCTAGTGTAGAGGAGCCTAGAATAACGTCTTTGCTGCCAGAGACGATGTCTGGCGTCGTCCTGCTAACAGGACTATACAATTGTTTGTTTATTGTTTACGTTGCCCGGCAAAAGTATGCCAGCTGCTGTCGGCCGCACGATGTTCAAGTCGCCATAGCGGCAGCCAGACCACTGGATGGCGGCGAGGAAGGCCTGTTGGCACTGGAAAAGGCGACTCAGTGCTCAAAGCGGGCTCCATAGGGCCTATGGAAATATCAAATACAGGACAACATGCATTAGTTAGTGACTGCCACCATACCAATAATGCGTGGGACGGATATTATACAAACCACTTTCACACTGCTCTGCTCTCTCATAGGTAAGGCAGTCAAGAATAGGCTCGTGTGGCTGCCTGTAAATCTCAGTTATACACCTACGTAATCAAGAAGCTCAAAATGCCAGACACTTGTTAAGCTACACAGAAGGTTTCTTTAGACTGCAATATGAGGGATCCTGAATGATGGGTAGGACGCCCGGTTGTGGGCTGGCATCGCCACCGACCTCATGCAGCGTTCGCTTATTGAGTTCAATGGCAATAATGGAACCTTAATGGTGCATGAGCATGGAAATCAGAAGACAACAATATTAAATCGAACTGGAATCATTATTGGCTGGAAGACAAAAAAACAGGCAGCTATTGTTCGAGTCATCAAGCAGCGAGGTGCATGACCGGAATATACTCTGAGGGTACATGATGGAGTAGGACACACGCAAAGGCTAGTACAGCGCAGGAGGCGAATCATAAAGCTTCTGCCGCCCGGTTGCCCCACCCCCAAAGCCCCAACAGCGAGCTGCAGGGGACGGTTAGCGGATAGAAGCGGATAGCCGGTGTTCTGCCGGCGCAAAGCTAAAGTTCCGTTCCTGGTCCGAAGCTTTTATCCTCCGCCCGATTCAGTCCTTTACATGTACTGCCGCGTCGTCGCCAGCATCATTTAGCTGCCAGCTGCCAACACCTGCACGCCACCCATTGCGTATGCCAAAGCCTATTCACCCCGCGCATTCAGATCACTCCGGCCTATTGTTTACAATTTAAGACGCGACCGCCCACGCCCTCTCTCGCTTCTTCTTTTCTCAATCATCTGCGTCTTCTTCCCACGCAATTTCTGTAAGAACAAACATCACCAAACAACTTTCAACGTTTCACACGTCGACACTCATCTCTTGACTCCCACACTCTATGCACACTTCATTCCACCCAACCGATTTTTCAACATCTCTCGCGCGCCATGTCGTTCTCACAGAAGCGCCGTGAGCTTCACGTGCATTTAGCTAACACCACATCGGCCTACCCCAGGCCTGCTAGGATTGCCAACGTTCAGGCCCGGCTTACGCCCCGCAGCCAAAGGAGATTTAGTATCAACATTCAGGAGCGCATCAGTCGAGACCAAAAGACTAGAACCGAATACCTCACGCGCTTTGGTCGACTAGGCGTGCAGTCAGCTGCTGTTGCAGCCCGAGGGGCAGTCCGACGCGAAAGCCAGCCGTCCGTTGAGTTCGTTACTTCGCCGCCTAGAATCCGCCAGGGCCGCCCCAACCAGCCATTTCTTGTAGACGATATATACCCCTCCGAGGAGCTCGAGAAGCTCTCCCGTCCCTCCCGTTTGGAGCTAAAGCAAGCATCCGGTCCATTTCCCAACCGTCACTGGCGATTGAAGAACCGACCACACACTATCTTGGACGACACCCCGCATAACAACGAACTCGCCATCCCTCATGTTCCAGAGGCAGTTCGACGAAAGCGTCGAGCGTCAACAAACGAGGTGGACCTAGCCGCTGGCACATTACATGCCATTTTTTCCGGTAAACCCATCGATCTTTATCCAGATCGCTTCCAAGACCCCGTCCCCAGCCCCGAAGACGCCGTCCCCGACGTCGCTATGCACGCTGTAGGTAAAATTGCATTCGTGCTTTGGTGTCAGAGGTGCTAACCAGATCACAGGAACCAACTGGACTAGTACAATCTGTCTTCAATATGTTTTTTAGTGTGGCGCATGCCTTTACTGGCTTTCGCCAGACAGTCACACGTTACAGTATGTTGACTTCCTCACTGACCTTGGTTTGGAAACCGCCCACATTTTTCTAACATGCGGCTTAGTCTCAAATCCTGCCCAAGAAGTCGTCGAGACTCGCCAGGAAAGACCTGATGGCAATGTTGTCAACAAACGACGAAAGCTTGACCAGCCCAAAGAATACGAAGGCGAAGTCCAATGGGCCTCCGACAAACAACTTGAAAGTCTCGAGGGTGCTTGCAACAGATTCCATCGTGTGGTCTCTCATTTCTTGCGGATGGATCTGGATCCAAAGCCCGGCGTGCGAGACTATTTCAACGACAAACTACGACCAATTGGCACTTTACTTGCTGGCTCAATCGGCAACCCTACGCCCATCATGTGTGGCAAAATCCTGCCTCGAAGTCACTCTGGCCTGTACACTTTATTCCTTGAGCAGCTTTTCGAAATTCTACCCAGAGTGTATGATAAGCGCAAGATTTCCGAACTGAAAGCTTCTCATGGTCCGACTCTTCACCCACGCTTGGACCTTGGATTCTCCTCTCTCGATTTAGACATCCTGTTTCATATCAGATCCGTCTTCTCGTTCCAATCTATCTCCTACGTCTTAGCCGGCCTGACACACAATTACGAAGACCCGAATCCAACCACTCTCGATAAGCTTACCATGTTCTTTATTGATCGCCTTCTTCTGGACATCAATGCCATCTTCGAAGGGCTTATACCACCAAGCTACCTTGACTCACCAGATTATCTCAAAGAAATGATAACTAGATTTCCGACGCCAGCTCGTGCACCTCTAGTGCAGGAAATGCCTGGCACGTTCCCAAATGAATTAACACGGAGCACACCCCGCCCGACGAGTGCTCCATCTGAGGTCCCGAACCCACCAGAACCTGTGCAGAAGGTAGAAAGGCCAGCCACAGCCCCTTCAGAAGCGAAACAACTCTCCCCACAACCAGCAGTAGACAATGCTGGCGCACGTACTCAAGTAGCCATCTCAAGGGCTTACGACACAAGCAAGAGGGCTCGTCTCCAAGCTTGGACGCGGCATCGTTGGTCCGTTTGGAATCGTGGAAAGCGCGACGAAACCGAGCGCGATGCCTCTCGTGCTATTAAGTCGCAATATGTCACAGACTTTGCCCCTCGGCTCCCGATGAGAGAACACCAAGAGTTAAGCTCGATCCTTAGGACTCGTCTTAAACACCCTTCAAGAGATACGCCAAAGCGCTTGAAGGCACTCAGACTACCCAAACATGCTCGTTTTTCCGTCAGCACACTTTCTCCACCGCCTCGCACACATACTAGAAGTGGTATTGCGAGGCTCAAGGAACCTGGCCGCACATTACACATCTCCAAGAAGGGCATGAGCTTCCAAGATGTTCGTCCAGCTTCATACATAAATAGGGACTCACCCTCACCAACTTCTTCGCCTATCTACTGGCGTTCTTACTACCAACCCCTGGCTGTGCCACCACCCAGTACAGCTTTTAAGAAAGAACCTTTCGAACCTTTTGCCGGAATAGAGCAGAAAACGTACCGCAATCTCGATGCTCTTTTTAGAGATTCAGGCCCGATAGCTCTACAGTTGAGCGATCTTGCTAGTTCTCGTCTCGCACAGAAACGGGAAGAGGAAGCTAGAATCGCAGCCGAAGCAGCCGAGGCGGCAGAACGGGCTGCAGCAGAGAAAGCCCGAATTGAATTGGAAGCCCGCCTGGCTCTGACCGGCGGCCTTCGTGTCCCCCGACAAAAGTTTGTGCCCAAACTATCTGGAGACTGGAACCGAAGGGTCCATGACACGCTGACCTCAGCACCAACCACCTCGCTCACCACGACCGTTGAGGGTATCGACCTCAGGCGGCATGACTTTGCCAAGGTTGTTCCGGAGACTGAGTGGCTCAACGACGAGATCGTAAACGGCTCACTGATGTGGCTTGACCAGGCAATCAACTCGGCTGCTGGCATTAACGATGTGAAGAAGCAGACTCGTAAATGCCTGACAATGAGTTCCTTCTTCTTTAAGCAGTTGAGGGAAAGGGGGGTTGGACGAACGCAACGCACATTGAGACGCTATGGCGTCGAGAAACGAAACTTCCTTGACATTGATACCATTCTACTGCCCATCTGCGAGCGTTCCCACTGGACACTTCTAGTTGTCCGGCCTTCTAAACGCACCGTATCCCACATGGACTCCATGAAGCCTGTCGGCTCTCCTCTGAACACGAACCTCGCCTTAGCATGGGTCAAGGATGTTCTAGAAGACGCATTTGTTGCTGAAGAGTGGACTGTCGTTAAGCACGAAGCACCCCGGCAGACGAATGGATGGGACTGCGGTGTCCATACAATTACAAACGCAATGTGCGTTGCCCTTGGGTTGAACCCCATCGACTCTTATTCCACCGAGGATATGCCCCTCCAGCGCCTGCGAATCGCAAGTGTTTTGCTGAACCGAGGGTTCAGCGGGGATTTCGATCTGGGAGTGTTTTGATCAGACCGAACAAAACCAACATGCAAACCCAGCAAAAAAGAAGAACGATTTTACGGATTATGCTTATGATTGCGTCTTGAGTTTTCTACACCTTCTCGAAGGAAGTATTTTTGTATTCTGCTTGCTTTATCTATTAGGATTGTTATTCAGTGTTGATGTGCGACTTCAGGAGTTGGGGCGATTGGCAAAGAAAAGGGATTCATATCATTAGAGATACCATGCATGCATTTCTAGGCGTTGGCAAGCCAGAGGATTAGGGAGTGAGACTACAGGCCGAGGAGAGCCTTTTGGACGACCGGGAAAAGGGAACATTTGCTAGCAAAGACAGGCTCGGAGCTGTGTGTAGATTTCAGCATAGGCAGGCATGCTGTGTAGTACATTGTTTGGCGTTTAATGAGACAAGAACCGAGGCCACTGAGCCATGTTGCTTCCACATCAAAAAAATTCTCCTCTGCTTGTAATTGTTTCACCGCTGAAAAGTTTTTCTCAATGGCTTATTGCATGGTCACTTGGCAAAGGCTATTGGACGTAGGATCCGACTCTCTCCTACCCGCGCATTGTTGACGGTAACCGTCTCGCCGTCCGACACGAGGCGAACAAGGACGGAGCCGCGGGAGGCCAACAGCCAATGAAGGCAGCGGCGGCTCCCGACAGGTCTAGACAACAGCCGCCATGGCTTGCATGGTGGATGCACCGGTCAGGTCGTTCGGACCGTTTGAGCGTCGGGAGGATTAGGCTGAGTGCTTGGAGGGGGTGAGGTTTGCACGGCGACTCTACGGTGGTGGTGTTTGTCACGAACCGAGCGGAGAAAAGCACAGTCACAAGCAGGCAAAGAGAATTTTGTATTTGGTCAGGCTGCATTTACACGATAGTTTGGCGGGGCATCTTGGGGTTGGGCCCACAATGACATGACGATGGAGGCAAAAGAAAGAAAATAAGATTGATAAACCGGAGATGGCCGGGCCAAACTTTTTACCTTACCTCGTCTTGGCTTTGGCTTGTTGGGGGAAGGGTGAAGGTTAGAAAAAAAAGGGAGGGAAAAAAAAAAAGTGCCCAAAGCGGAAGGGTTCCAGAAATTGCCACCTCGCTTCCATCTTCCCACAAGGGGATAGCAGAACGTGCCGTGGCTTGGCCCAGCTTCCAGACGGTTCTCAGAAGTGCGACGTAGCATGGCCGAGCGGTGGCAAGGTGCGACATGCTCATTCATTCGCATTCATTCGATGGCAGGGCGGCACCAAGATGAAAGTGAACCATTCAAGTCGCACGGGCGCCCGCTGCACTGCGACTTTGCTATGCTACTGTCACCTCAGGCGGCGGGCGATTAATTATTATGTAGTACCCAGGCGTCTGATCGGGCCACACACGAAATGGCGATCGCCATCGAATTGAAGTGCGCCGACGGGAGGAGGCTGAGTTGGCGCTGGGTCCTTTGACGGGCGCCCGACGAGCATTAGCAGCAAGATCGACGGTGGAATTCGCCGCTCCCAAGCAGTTGGACCACCCCCTTGCCCTTCTTCCCATTCTCCCAGGCGGGAGGGTTGGATGGATGGCAACCTGCGCTGTCCTGCCATCCGCCGTCGTCATCATCATCATGATGACAGCTTGGCGCCGGCGTCTATTGGATGGGATGCCATGGCCGAGCGCGAGCCCACCACTATGCTGGAAGGGTGCATCGCGGCTGGCAGATGTGTGAACCCAGATGTCCTCCAGCGTGGGTGTGCTTACAAACTCCGTTTTGTTCCCATTCTCGTCGCGCCCGCCCATGGCGTGAGGCAGATCATACCATTGACGACCTGGTGGACGCGAGATGACGCCGTGCTGCAACGCCAACTCTAGATCGCGTGATGCACCAGGCCCAAGTGCCGAAGGAGGGGTGCACTAGAGGCTGGGAATGGCCCAGAAACCACCAAGCCGGGGCCCTGAATTGGCTGGGGTATCTCTTGCAGCTCGCTCGGAAGGAATCACACATCTGGTCGGTTGCCGCCCTTTCCCTGCTGCCCAATCTGGCAGTCTCTTGCGGAGAGATTTGTCATGGGTGGTTGCGAGTACAACCGGAGAATGTGACCCTCCTTGCTGCGAAAGCCTGCCGGCACTTGTCGGTTGTTTGTCTGCTGAGCTGGATGTTGTCTGCGATGTTGCGGTTGGTGTAACCCCTATCTGCATTCCACCGCCCGGCGATCCAAAGAGGTGCGTCGTATCTCGAGGCCGCTGTTGAGATCGGAGGTTTTGCAGTCGGATGGGCGAATCCATAGCGCAAGGGGCACTCTACTAGGTGACGGGGCTATTCATGATGGTTTCTGTCGAGATCCATCGCAGCACGGCCGTGTATGTCACTGGTTAACCCTGATCCGTAAGAGGATGATGGGAAAGAGTGGTTCCCTGTCAAGTGTCATCGTGTGAACAATCGCTGTCTCAGACTCACATCCACACCGACCGATCATGATTATGGGGAATCCATGGATCGAATTTTCGAAGAAGGAGGCCCCTTGGGCATATCTTCTGTCCAGCTGGGCCTGGACCAGTGTTTTGAAAGTAGGACCCGACCGTTCGTATCTACATACGCTGGGCTCTTCGTTGGCGGGTATCCCTCCTCAATGGAGACAGCATTTGCACACACTGCTGCGACATCGCATTGAGGAGCGAGTAACAAGACAGCAAAGTGACTCAGTGGGTAGGGGAGTAGAGCAACTGGAGTAGATATTGGTTGTTTGGTTGTGCAGATAGGTGTCGTTCAGCGGGTTCTAATTATGTATATGTTGCATTCATTATCTGATCTGAAATTGCACCCAAAAGGTTCTACCTGTGTGAGAATATCCCAATCCAGACCTGCTTCCATTGTTCATCCTTTCGCGATTGTGTACATGAGACATGGCAGCAGGAGTAGCATGGGGTTGTGTTCGGTCAGAATGTCTCGTCTTGACTGACTCACCGGCCCGTTTTCTGGGTCCTTGCACGCTAGACAATAGCTTCAACGTCAGATGATGTTCACACCGCATAATGAGCTATGGGGAAAATTTCGAGGAAAACACAACGGGCGGCATGGACTGAAGAAACCGTGCTGGCTTCAGGTCTGCCCTGTCGGATGGATGAACAGATCTCGGGTTGCCGCCGGTTGCAGTGCTGCCGCCCGTGGCCATGGGGCAAAACTCCCGGCTGTCACTCCCTGCTGTTTCCGATAAGAGACATTGGATACATCTTCGCCGCCTCTCTCCTGCTTGGGCTTCTCGTGCAACGACTCAGGCATGGACACATGCACGCAGCACACAACGCAGGACTAGCACGAGCTGCACGGACTGATGGCGTTCCAGAAGACTCTGATGGTCTGACCTTGCTGCATCCCTGTCGGCTGGCCAGAGAGACTTCTTTCTAGTGCCCTTCTAGCGTCATGCACGGGGGCAAACTTGCACCGCCAGCAGCCACTGGCCGTGCTGCCCACCTACACTTTGGCTAATCGCCGACCAGCCCAGCCACCCTTCTGACATAACAGGGCGCTCTTTACGCGGTGGGTGGAGTACCTGGTACTTCTGCCAGTGAACCGCCGAGAGGGGTGCCGCATTTCGTGTCGAGAAACGTATCCGGCACATTTGTGCACTTACTGATCGGATCCGGGCGGTTTGAGCACCGCAGGCAGCAAGGAGAAAGGCAACGGTGCAGCCGGAGACTACTGCAGCTACTGAAGGAGACCCGGCGAGCGAAAGGGAATGGCAAGAGCGTTCAGCCTGATCCCCAAAGCCATGGTTGGAAAGCGAACCGCCAAGTACCCAATACCGCCTCCATCTACGTAGAAGGCAGGCCCCAAATGATAGGTGGAGCCGGGCAGGGACAAGAGTGGTGGGGACGCTTAGGGAGCAATCCCAGTCATGATGATACAAAAAGGAGAGGCTATTCACTGCTTAGTCCACCTACCGAGGTAGGTACCAGTTGCTTTGGTACCTCCGTCCTTGTGCATGTATGTATGCATGCATGCATTGCATTACTTGGAGGTGTATAGGTAGGACGGCATAGGGACGAAGGATTGGCGAGCCGCTGCTGGGACTTCATCGCAGAGGCGAAGCCAGACGGTGGACGCAGGAATTGGCCTTGGTGATCGGTAGATACCCAACGCCTTCACAATGGGCGCTGTTCCTTGGGGACGCGGCATTCGCGGACAACCACTACACAACCCCTGACGTGATCCGACGTCGTTTGCCCTCCACAAGGTGCGATTGCGATGCTTCCGCAAGCCTAAAAAAATACCAGGGTGGGTGCGATCAACCCAGCAGGCCCGTAGTATTACCTCACTTTCCCCTTCGTGGTAAGGGAGGTCAGGCTAGCCTGGCCAAAGATTGCTTTGCGCCCCTCACCGTGTTGGAGAGAAATGCAGCCAAGCCCACACACATCACGCACCTTTTTCCTCTTCCCTCGCTGCCAGTGTCTCAAGCCGCCATGCATCTGCGCCGGTACCACGCCAGCAGTAGGGTACCTACCTGTCTCGTCCCTTCGTCTCTGACAGGCTCCGCGGGCAACGGTACGCCGCGGTACATTGGGCGCCCCTGCTGCTGCACGATCCATGCCCGTTGTAGAAGGCACCTGCCGGGGCCCAGAGGTATTGCCGGGTACTGTCCCCCAGCACCTGCCTTCATGACTCCTCCCTTCCCTTCTGCCCCTTCCTTCCTGCCAGCAGCCTTGAGTCGAGGTCGCCATTCAAAATATGGGCGACTGACTGACAGGCGAAAAAGCACACACCCTCCCCCCTGGCCACCCGACGACGGAAGCATCACTACAAACTACTCGGCGTCCCCGCTCTTCAACTGCTCCAAGCCTTCCCTGGCCCTTGCTCCAAACAACTCCATCTCAGATAATAAGAAGAATCAAGTAGCTTTCTGCCCTCCGTTTCACTTCCTAAACAATCCGTCATTCTCCCGAGTTATCATTCCAGTCACTCCCACTTTCGTTTTCCGCCATCAACGTCAACCATTAAAGTCTATTTCGCCTTCCTATTCAACACCACACACACACAGACTCTCCATTACCACCACCTTTTGTAGAGTTTCTCTGTCGCCTCAAGCCACAAACTCTCCTCGCCACCTTACCGCATCCTCGCCGCACCTCGACGACCGCGTTCCTGAGCAAGTAAACATCCGTTAAAAGTACTAGCCGCCAAAGATTGCTTGTTTGACTTTACAGCTTTGCGCATTCACTCCACTCTGACCATTTGTTGCCCACCGGGTGCCTTGACGCTTCCTGCACCTACATAATCCCGGGCCGGTCACCGAAGTAGCATTTCGCCCGTACGCTACATATAGAGATAGTTTGGAACCTGGGGGCGAGGGAGGTCTTTCATCAAGTCTTGGATAGCACCCATCTGGGCTTTGTTCGTGGTAGATCAGACATGATCAGATCCAAATCGAGAAGTCCACCTTTGCCTTACTTTCCTCCCACGCCTCGGGAGCTGTCGCCCAGGCCTGAATCGGCCTTCGAGGACTTCATCCTCTTCGATGCTCCGGAAACGAGACCGTCAAGCGGTGCCTTTGCTTCAAGTGTTTCTTCGCCACGATCAGATATGGGAGCCCGGCCCCCAACTCTTTCCGAGATTTTACTCGACCAGGCCCCTCCGCCATGGTCATTAGCTGCCTTCACTGCCTATCTGTCGAACAACCATTGCATGGAGACGCTGGAGTTTACCCTTGATTTACGAAGATACTCTGATTCTTTTGCTCTGGTATATGGCGGCAACCAACCCGCAGTGCCTAATGATGTCGAGTATCTGTCAAATTTATGGGACAGGCTGATAGCCGTCTACATTACGCCTTGCTCGGCACGAGAAATCAACATACCTTCACGAGTACGAGACCAGCTGCTCAGTCTTTCATCGCGACCTACGCCTCCTCACCCTTCGGTTCTTGAAGAAGCTGGACGTATTATTCATGAGCTCATGAACGACTCCGTCCTGGTCCCATTTCTGGAATCTGTGAGCCCAATGCAGCTTGACGAATCCTCACACCACGACGCACACCACAAGTTACCCCCTTATTTTAATATCGCTAGAGGAAGAACTTCCCCACGTTCATCATCACGGACTGGTTCTTCGCACGAGATGGAAGGTTTGACCGACGACAGCGAGGGTGGCTCACCAGCCGCCATGGAACCAATGACACCACCAACAACACCACCTTCGAGCACTGATTGGGGCTTCAACAATTCCCCTGGCGGGCTCCAACGAGCCATGGCTGCCCAAAAGGAAGGGTGGAAGAAGATGGGCGCAAAGCTCGGCTTCAACCGCAGAAGTTCGTCGAAACGATCCCCCCCGACGTCGTCAGTCCCTGGGCATGAAGCGAACCGCCATGGCAATATAATGTGAGGGAACGTCGTTGGTTTCCCGGCTACCTTGCCCCGAGAAAAATCGATGGTAATAACGGGGTGTGATGAACATCCTGGCATCAATTTCCTGTGGCGTTGCTGGGCTGGTGCACACTCTTATGCTTCTTTCCCGCTACATATCCCCAGCCACATCTGGCTGGGAGTTTACACTTGCATTAATTGTTTAATCACTAGGGTATGCACTCATTCCTCATGATACACACCTGCGTGCGTTGCATATTTGGATACCAAAAATCGATTAGCATGGGCTGGAAAACAGGAGTTATTTTTTTTGCACCTCAGTGTGTTTTATCATCAGTGTTTTCCCTTTTTTTTCGTTTCCTCTGTTATTTTCTCTTTTGGGAAGGAATAGTTAATGAGCTGAGCACATTGGAATAGGCGCATTTGGGCAGCTATGGCATGGGGGGGTGGTAATGAACTCATGATCATGATACGGCATAGCATTGCTTGGCTTAAACATTTGAGCGCCACAAGAAGGGCATGTCTGACGAGTATATCCTCGAAGGATATTACATGCAGGCGATAGTGTTTGTGTATGTATTACTACTACTACTATTACTACTACTCTGTACTACTACAACTTGGGGACAGAAAGACACGGACTCTTATCGAGTCGCGGACAATCGAATCAAATTCATCCAAGTTCTACTCCTCCTCTTGGGTCATGTGAGATACAGACATTAAATTGGAGCTGGTGATTGTTACGCGACAATCCAATGATGACCTGATGGTTGAATGGTTCTTCTCCCGAGACATTAGTACCCATTCTTGATGGCGCGTGCTCGGTAACTACATAGCATACAAACAGGGCAAAGGAAAAGAAAGGAGGTAAGGAAAAAATTGCTACCAGGCATGATCTGCTGTAGGCATCGCCTGACGGGGACCGCCGAAGCAGGGGGCGGTTGGAACAATATCCTTGTGGGGGGGGGGGGAGTGATCGCTGATGGGTAAAAACGGTGGGGCTTCCGTGGTTCGAGAAGTCGAAAAAGAACGAGGAAGCGGACCAGTCCAGTGACTGATACAAAGGCACAGGTATGGAGATGATGACCCCTGGCGGCGGTTATTCGAGGCATTGTTCCCATCGTGTTCCACCTTGCTGTGGTTTACTTCTGGCACGGTGCCCAAGGTAGCATAGGTAGCTATCCACACGACGCACGCCCACCCTGCAACTTGAAAATTTCTGATTTTTCACGAGAGAACTTGTGAGGGAGGGGGAGGGAGGAAGGAAGGAAGGAAGGAAGACGTGCAGAACGCCCGAGTGGTTCGGATGGAGGGTCGTCCCACCTCGTGAGACAACGCTCGCCGGAATGAAGCGTTGCTTACAGAGTCTCTGCTGCCTCTTCTCCCTTTACTCCTCCACCGCAATGCTACCCACATCAGACAATTGTATCTCCTTCACATGTGTTGTATTCTTCACATGCTTTTATGCCAAAGTTTCACGCATTGACCTGAGGAAACGTAATCGCCGGGGTGGAAGCCGGCTCGATCATGCACGGTCTGAAGGCTTATTGTGGCGAGAGTACATGTTCCATTCAAGAGAGCTGGAGAAGTCGAGTTTACCCTCCGTGACTTGCTTACGAGTAGCTGAAAGCATGGGTTTCGGGAGACCCATTGACTCGAGGAACGACACCGCTACAGGATGGGGGTTGTTAGTGGCTTGTCTTTGATTTCAGGAATACAACGAGGCGGGTAAGACAGAAGCAATTTGGAATACTCACACTCCTTCCATTCGATATCCTGACGTCGGCGATCCCACCCCAGCTCCTCCGACATTACGTCAATGACTTTAGGGAGGGCTTCCAATGCGGCTTGGGCGTTCAGAAACGAAAGGCGCGTGCGACGGGCGAGTACGTCGACGGCTGTCTGAGCATGTTCGTGCCGGCAAGCATACCGAATCTCCCCATCAACAAAGGGATAGAGACGCGAGATCCGCTCTCCTCGGGCGGGGAACCGCCTGTCAGTCAACTGGCACAGCGACGCCACCGTCCACGCCCGATCGCCGTACGACTCGATCAGATGTTTCGCAACTTCCGTTTCGATGCCAAAGTGCTGGATGAGTGGAATGAAGAGTGTCTTGCTGAACCCGTGAGCTCCAATAAGGCGCACCTTGTGTGTCTGACAACTCCCATCCAGGATGGCACCGTCGTCGACGTCATCCGAACCCGATACAGAGACTCGCCGAACCTCTGGCACGGGCCGTGGCTGCAGGCCAGCCACTTCGATGGCCTTGTCGACTGTGTCTTCTGCCATTTGACGATAGGTAGTCCACTTGCCACCAGCACAAGTCAACAGCCCGGATGCTGAAACATTGACGAGATGGTTTCGTACAAGAGACTCGGTATTGGTGGCTTCGGGATCCTTCACCAACGGTCGGATACCCGACCACGCGGATAGAACATCCCCTCGACGTACATTAATCTCAGGGGAAAGGTACTGTCGAATCTCGTCTAGGATCCACCGAATAGATTCTTCCTCTGGCACCGGGTTCTTGGAGATAGGGGAAGGCGAGTCGGTGGTTCCGGCAATGGTATTGCCCTGCCAAGGCAGAAAGAAGATGACTCGACCATCTGACGTGGATGGGTCAATCAAGCCCATTGTTCCTGGGCAGTAATAACCGGGGAGCACAACATGCACTCCCGAAGAGGGGGCTACAATCTCCTTAGCCTTTTCATCATCCATCTTTCGAATGGAATCGGAGAAAGGGCCAGTGCAGTTGATTACACATTTGGCGCGAACAGTAATGTCCTCCGCTGGCTGACCGTCACGAACAGCTATCAAATCTCGGACTTTGGCGCCACATACATTTCCTTGGTCATCCTTGAGAAGGCTAGTGACCTCTGTGTGATTCGCAACGGTGGCTCCGTATAGAGCACTGGTCATGGCAATGCTTACATTCATCCTTGAGTCGTTGTGAGCACCATCGTAGTAAACCAGTGCCCCGACAAGATTCGTCTGCTTCAGCATAGGGAACGCCTCCAGAGCCTTGCTGCGAGTCAAAAAGTAGGAGCTCTCGATCCCCTCGCTCCCAGCCAGGATATCGTAGCACTTCGTGCCCGCCCAATAGTACGGGACCTTCCACCACTGGTCCAAGGGAAGCATGATGGGCAGCCACATGCTAAGGTGCGGAGCAGTTTGGAGGAAGTATTTGCGCTCCTTGAGAGCTTCGCGGACCAGCTGGAACTGGTTCCAATCAAGATTCCAGACAGCCTTTTCCAGGTATCGCACGCCACCATGGACAAGCTTGGTGCTCTTGCTGCTGGTGCCGCTGCTGAAGTCGTCACGCTCGACCAGAGCCACTCTGAGGCCTCGAGTAGCTGCATCAAGGGCAACGCCGGACCCTGTAGCGCCGCCGCCGATGACCAGGACGTCATACTTGAACTCATCCCGCAGGTCAGTGAGGTGATCACTCCGGGGCTTTTGGCGAGGAAACTTGGGCATCTTGAAGGAGCCATCAGGGCCGTAGGTCGGGGGCGGAACCGCAGGTGATTCCGAGCCGGGGATGATGCGAGGTCTGTAGCTGTAGATGAAGGCGCCTCCAGCACCGGCCAGGGCGACAGGGAGCACAAACCGTCCCCAAGAGGAAGGGCGAAGGCGGGCTGGTGGCATGGCTGCAGTATGGTGCTATTCTTTACTTCTCGTTTTTCTAGGGTGACTGGTTATAGGTGAATTGATGAATTGATAGTGTGGGAACTCACTTTCCGGTTCAGCTGAGAATGAATCGCTTCTGGGTAAATTCCAGAAATGTTAATGTGACGTCACCCGTCGTCGCTGATTCCCTTCCTTCTCTGCCCGCAAAACTAAGGTAACAAATCGAAAGAACAGTTTTTTTTTGGAGATCACTGAATTTTCTGAGGGAGGAAACAAGAAAAAGGTTGGATAATCCAAGAGCATGATGGGCGTAGAAGCGATCAGTTGGGAGCCAAGTGAGATTCTGTATCTAGACATCTACAACATCAAGCCTATTCATGAGCAGCTTCGCCCGTCTGAAGCAACTCATCTGCCAGTCTTGCCAGGTAAAACCGTCTCACCTCCTGTGGTAGATTCTCGAAACTCTTTCCCAGCTTCGCAACATCCTGTCTCCCCCGCTCGTATGCCGCCAGGTCCCTGTTCCCATATACATCTCTGCCTGCGGAGTAACTTGACTTATCGAGATCCCTGAAAAACACATTGACGGCCACGCTCATATCGCTTGTCGGCGTGGCTGTATGGAGCCATGCCGTTGGGATGAATAGAACATCACCTGCTTCCAAATTGGTCTCGTGCGGCCTTGACTTTGGCAATGTCGAGGATGCAAGAAGCGAGAACACGTCAATGCTCGAGCTCGACGATCCCGGGGCAAATGAAAGGCTGGATACGTCGCTTGGGGGAAATAAAATCATCCGCTTGGACCCTCGAACCTGGGCGTAGATATTTGCCATGACCTGTCGAGGAATTTAGTAACTGATGCGAGATCAATGACCCAAGGTTCACTTACGTCGTAGTGTAGCCACATATTGACCTTGCCCGAAACTCTCAAAATTGAACTGAACAAGTTTTCTTCTACCAGTGCAACTTCCTTGGGGATGATGAAATCATCTGCCAGAGCGGGAAAATCTTCCTTGATGTTGGCCGGGCGTTCAGAAGGCTTGGAGTTTGAGAGAGCCCGTAGATAGAGCCTACCACCTTGCTGGATCCTCTTCATGATGTTTCCAAAAGAGTCAGTCACATATTGGAAATTCTTGGAATTAAAATCTAGCCGCTCTGTATCCGTTCTGCTTTCGTGCACAACGAACTGGTTCCCAAGTCAGTCGACGATTGCGTATGGAAACAGTATGACCGAAAATATGGTCTGATACAAAGGCACTCACCTCCCGTTCTGCTCCTACTTGCTCTGCCATATGTTCTGCTGTCCAAGTCTGGACGCAGGGGCCCAAGTCGAGCCTTTCAATAACAATCGGCTTGCCCTTCTTCACAATGGCTTCGAACTCAGCCGCAGACCGCAAAATGACTCGGGGAATCTCCGTCGTGCTAACTGCTTCTTGATTCGACGCAGCCGACAGATCATTGTCGATTTTGCCAAGAATCTTTGGGGATTCCATGTACTCCCAAGACTGAAATGTCTCAATGCCAACAAGGGTATCATCTGTGGATTCCGCTAACAGACCATTGTCCACGGGTAGCCGCAAGTGATAAAGTGCCGTCTCCCAGTAGGTTCCCATGGAAAAACATGTGGCGCCTCCGCCTACGACACTGATTTGGCCATCTTTTAATATGGTCGAGGAGCCGATCATCAAGGGCCAGTTGTTTTCCACATCAGTTGGTGGTTTTGATACCAGGATTTCAGACATGGTATCCTCCCCTGACAAGAGCAGGATAGTCTGGCCTTGGTGAGACGGAGTTTCGCCCATCCCTCCACATATAGCGACTCTTTCCCCCAAGTCTACAATGGTTGCGCCGAATACTGCAAGCTGCTTTCCACAATTTCCATGAAATGCAACTTCTTCGAATGAAATCGATGGCTATTTTCAACCGTAAGTTAGAGTCAAGACTGTAAAAGGGGTGGGATTCTTGTACTGACCTGAGATGTAGACATCTTCAAACTCCATCGGTATTGTTTGAGGTTAAAGGTTCCATCTCGACGTAGGCCACCAGTCAACAGCCCCCCGAATTCATCTCTTTCAACTCCGGCTTTGAATAAGTTGCAAATAGTCGCTCCGAACAGGGGTTCGGGTTGAATACCAATCTTCTCACAAGTCAACCACCCCCTTTCTGGATGGAAAACAAACACATCATCTGAGATCTCCGAAGGGCCCGTCTTTCCTCCCACCACCAGAACTAGGGACGAATTTTTGAGACGCAAGGCAGCATGTCGGTAAAGAGGCTTCGGTAGCTCCCATGTTTTTCTCCAGGAACAAGAGGCTCCTCTGGTTAGCAGCCAACATTCAGATAAGGCCTTCGTTGGGTTGGTACGCCCCCCAGCAAGGAGAACGCCAAATTCGTCCAGATCAGACATGGTGGAACACATGCGAGGGAATGGTCCGTGGAATGGCAACCTTGAAGAAAGGGTGGACTGATTGCCAATGTTAAAGAGGTCGTACGTATCAGACCTGGCCTCGTTACCAAGGCCGAGCATGTGTACAGCAACATGGCCCCTTTCAGGATTCTGCAAGACAAGGGTATTGCCAAAACGACGCTTGATGTTTGCTGACGGAATTTGCTTCTTTATCTGGACCTCGAGAGACCGAGTTGGTTCTATTTCCTCGAACGAACGTGATATGCCAGAGCCAGCGGCTTGGGCATGCACGACAACGTAGTGACGGCAGAAAAGTAGAAACTCTTCCCATTCGTCAAATGGTTCAATATCGTCTAGTGAAACTCGTTCTGTGGATGTCACGAAAGTTTCATCCACCCATGCATCCCAGAGATCCCAGATGTCAACCTGTTGCCAACCGCGATGCTGAAATCGGGCGGACTGACTTGCCACGGTCGGATACTGATGAACCGATTTCAGAGGCGTGTTTAGCTTATTGAAGTGTTTAAGCATAGTCTGCGCGAAAGGATGGTGTGGCCCGTTGGGCAGAATCTGCTCCAGGAGGCAAAACTCGGCTATGTATGTTGTTAGTTAGGGGGTAAGGCGAGGATAATAAAGGATTAGGATTTTGCGTACCTTTTCCAATCGAGCTCGCCCACTGAATCAGGGCATCCGCAGATTTGGTGTCCATGTAGGTGATGGACACTTCTGCTACGAACAGAACACTACATTCGGATAGCGGGAGGAGAGATTCGAGAGTTTGCTGAAACGCCTTTAGATCTCGCAAGTCACAGGCCAGCTGGCAGTACTTGTCACTCTTCAACAAGACCGGATCGTCCTCGACTTGACTTGTATTAAAGTCCGGACCCAATATCCCGCGGAGTTCAGGTGTCTCCAGGACGATGGTACGCTTCTTGCGCATGAGATCGGGGTAGTCAACGTCGATGAAAACAGCATCCTGGCAACTAGGGCCGTAACGAGTGTGGCATTGCCAAGGCAACACATCACTTTTCCAGCACCATTCAAGTTAAGGGATAGTTCGAATGATGGAGGGAGCAAGGGGCTTTCTTACCTACCACAGCCCAGGTTGATGACAACTCTCTTGGAGGGTGTGCTACGAAGGAACTGTCTAACAATGACATCTATGGCTTTTAGACGCAGCCAGTAACCACGATTAATAAGGGGTGCCCGCCTCTGAGGCTTCTTGACAAAGTGACGAAAGTAATGAGACTCATTGGCGTAGTAGAGTCTCTCGACACTGCGTTTCGAAACAATGCTACTACTGTTTGTCTGTGCAACGGTTTGGTCTATTAGTATTCAAAGAACGAAGGCTATCTGCAAAACAGATGTCATGCGCTAATGGTATCGGTAACAGAACATATTCCTGCATATAACAGACAAATCGCAAAAACATGCTTGCTGGCTTACCCCCATAATAAGATCATCCAAGGCCTTTGAACGGGCCAGCTTTGCTGACCCTTTGGTGTCTGGCATTTTGAGATGAAGTTCCCCTGTCTAGCTGATTGGCTGGTGGGATCCTGGTGAAAATAAGGAGGAGAGGAAAGGCCGTCGGTGTTACAGGCAGCTGACACAGTTCGACCAAGGTCATTCACACTTTTTCCCGACGTCTTGTGCGGATCCACACTGGTGCGTGTGATTTCATACTCTTGGTGTGTGTGTGCAAGCGAAAGATTAGCGAACGGTGGAGATGCTACCGACTTCCCTGGCAGTGACGTACTCGAGTGGCTGAAATGAAACATGGCACAGTAAAGAAAGCCCTTTTCATGTATCTTGTTAATACTACTAAACAGTATAGCAAAAAAATAATAAATTGTTCTAAATTTTCACTTAATCCTGATCTATTACTAGGTTGGTAGTTCTAATATTGACCGCCGGAGGTTCATGTTTCATGCCTGTGGCTGGTATGTGGCGCAGGCAGCTCTAGCTAGGGGCAGAATTTGAGGTTTCCGGCTACCTCTCGGGCAAGAAAACTACTTAGCCGCGTCGCTGTAGCCGAAGAGAAGGACGTGCGTGCGTCCCTTTCTGACTTCATCCTTCTTTTCCTTCCATCGCAACAGCGTTGGATCCCTAATACTGACTCACCCTTTCCTATCACGATGTTGAGAAATTCCTTGAGTAGAGCTAGCTCGCAGCTGCTCAGAGGCGCCCGCTCCTCATGCTCGTCGCCTATTTCGACCACCGCTGCGCGCACGTCGTCATGGAAGCTCTCCTCGACTCGACGGTCGATGGCCATCACTGCCCACCGCAGCTACTCCACCGCCGCTATCGACAATTCTCCAGACCCGAGTGATAACTTCCTTTCCGGAAGCACCGCCAACTACATTGATGAGATGTATCTTCAATGGAAGCAAGACCCCAAGAGCGTCCACGTATCGTGGCAGGTCTACTTCAAAAACATGGAGAGCGGCGATATGCCCATCTCGCAAGCTTTCCAGCCGCCTCCCAACCTGGTCCCCGGAATGACCGGAGGTGTTCCTCGTCTGTCTGGTGGCTTGGCTCTTGATGACGGTTCTGATGTCACCAACCATCTGAAGGTCCAGCTCCTTGTCCGTGCCTACCAGGCGCGTGGTCACCACACTGCCAACATCGACCCTCTCGGCATTCGCACCACTTCATCGGGATTTGGCAACATCAAGCCCAAGGAGCTTACTCTCGAGCACTACCAATTCACCGAGAAAGATCTCGATACCGAATACAACCTTGGACCTGGAATTCTCCCCCGATTCAAGCGCGAGGGTCGCGAGAAGATGACTCTTCGAGATATTATTGCAGCTTGCGAGAAGATTTACTGCGGTTCCTATGGCGTCGAGTTCATTCACATCCCGGATCGCGAGAAGTGCGATTGGCTGCGCGAGCGCCTCGAAGTGCCACAGCCTTTCAAGTACTCGATTGACGAGAAGCGCCGCATCCTCGACCGTCTCATGTGGAGTTCAAGCTTCGAGTCGTTCCTGGCTACAAAGTACCCCAACGATAAGCGTTTTGGTCTCGAGGGCTGCGAAACCCTTGTGCCAGGTATGAAGGCTCTCATCGACCGTAGCGTTGATTATGGTGTTAAGGACATTGTCATTGGTATGCCTCACCGTGGCCGACTCAACGTTCTGAGCAACGTCGTTCGCAAGCCCAATGAGTCCATCTTCAGCGAATTTGCCGGTACCACTGGTGCAGAGGACGAGGGTTCTGGTGACGTCAAGTACCATCTCGGAATGAACTTCGAGCGTCCTACACCTTCCGGAAAGCGTGTTCAGCTCTCCCTTGTTGCCAACCCATCCCACTTGGAGGCCGAGGACCCCGTCGTCTTGGGCAAGACCCGTGCCATCCAGCACTACAACAACGACGAAAAGACACACCGCACCGCCATGAGCGTGTTGCTCCACGGTGACGCCGCCTTTGCTGCCCAGGGTATTGTGTACGAATGTCTTGGTTTCCACTCGCTGCCAGCCTTCTCGACTGGTGGTACCATTCATCTCGTCGTGAACAACCAAATTGGTTTCACCACCGATCCCCGCTTCGCTCGATCTACCGCTTACTGCACGGATATCGCCAAGGCCATTGATGCTCCTGTCTTCCACGTCAATGCTGATGACGTTGAGGCAGTCAACTATGTTTGCCAGCTGGCTGCTGATTGGCGCGCAGAGTTCCAGCATGATGTGGTCATCGATCTTGTCTGCTACCGAAAGTACGGACACAACGAGACCGATCAGCCTTCCTTCACACAGCCGCTCATGTACAAGCGTATCCAGGAGAAGAATCCTCAGATCGACGTCTACGTCAAGCAGCTGCTTGAGGACGGATCCTTCACCAAGGAAGACATCGAAGAGCACAAGCAATGGGTATGGGGCATGTTGGAAGAGAGCTTCACCAAGTCCAAGGACTACCAGCCAACCTCCAAGGAATGGACGACATCTGCCTGGAATGGCTTCAAGTCGCCCAAGGAGCTTGCTACCGAGGTATTACGCCACCACGAGACGAATGTTGACCAGAAGACTCTGGCCCACGTTGGAGAGGTCATTGGCAGCGCGCCTGAAGGCTTCCAGGTTCACCGCAACCTCAAGCGTATCCTCAGCAACCGCACCAAGTCGGTCGTTGAGGGTAAGAACATTGACTTCCCCACCGCCGAGGCCTTGGCCTTTGGTACTCTTGTCACCGAAGGTTACCATGTTCGCGTTTCTGGCCAAGATGTTGAGCGTGGCACATTCTCTCAGCGTCACGCTGTCTTCCATGACCAGGAGGACGAAGCAACGTACACGCCCCTGCAGCATATCAGCAAGGACCAGGGCAAGTTTGTCATCTCCAACTCTTCTCTCAGCGAGTTCGGAGCCCTTGGTTTCGAATACGGCTATTCCCTGTCATCGCCCAATGCCTTGGTTATGTGGGAAGCCCAATTTGGTGATTTCGCCAACAATGCTCAATGTATCATTGATCAGTTCATCGCCTCTGGTGAGTCCAAGTGGATGCAGCGAACCGGTCTAGTAATGTCGTTACCCCACGGTTATGATGGTCAGGGCCCAGAACACTCCTCCGGCCGCCTTGAGCGTTACCTCCAGCTGAGCAATGAGGACCCTCGTGTTTTCCCCTCTCCCGAAAAGCTCGACCGTCAGCACCAGGACTGCAACATGCAGATCGTTTACTTTACGGAGCCATCCAACCTCTTCCATGCTCTGCGCCGACAGATGCACCGTCAGTTCCGCAAGCGTTAGTCACCTCTACCTTATTTCCCCCTTGGTGTTCATTTGTTTTGCTAACCTACTATCCAAATATAGCTCTGGTCATTTTCTTCTCCAAGTCGTTGCTGCGTCACCCTCTCGCACGCTCCAACATTGAGGAGTTCACAGACCCCAATGCTGGCTTCAGACCTTTGATTGCCGATCCTGAGCATGAGACTGGTGCCATTAAGAGCCCCGAGGAGATCGAGCGTGTTATCCTCTGTTCCGGTCAAGTCTGGAGTGCCCTCCACAAGTACCGTGCCGACAACAAGATCGACAATGTCGCATTCACTCGCATTGAGCAGCTAAACCCCTTCCCTTGGCAACAGCTCAAGGAGAACCTGGACCAATACCCTAACGCTAAGACTATCGTCTGGTGCCAGGAAGAGCCCCTGAACGCTGGTGCATGGAGCTTTACCCAGCCCCGAATCGAGACTCTTCTCAACGAGACTGAGCACCACCACCGCAAGCACGTCATGTATGCTGGTCGTGACCCCAGTGCCTCCGTCGCCACGGGTCTGAAGCGCGTACATACGAAGGAGGAGCAAGATCTTCTCGAGATGGCCTTTACTGTTACACAGGCCAAGCTTAAGGGGGAGTAAACTTGACGAGTCGGAGTTTTGCATGATAGAGGTAATCTCATGTTTACTGGTTTTGGGCGGAAATAAAGAGCACCAGAAGGGTGGAAGAGTTGCGAAGGTACTGGAAGTCCTGGTGTAATAAATAGCACACTGTATCATACACTCCCTTGGTCATTAAGCGCTAAATGGTGAAGAACTTTTCAAGGTGTTTTGAAAGGTCTCACATCTCGAGGTTGAACCTACCTACTTTTTTGAATTGCAATTTTCTCGGGTTCTGTCATCCCTTTAGAGCTCCGTTATGCTGCCGACTCCGGGTCCCCTTGGAGTTGAAAGATTTTCGCGTGTGCTTTTATCGTTCTCTTCATCAGCGACATGCCCCAATAAATGAATCTCGCTAGGTGCCTTTAGAACAGAGGAGAACCGAAGATGCTGCAACTGTCTTGTTGCGGCGCCTAACGAGTAAATCCGAACTAACATTAAGAAAAATGGTCATTTTCGTATCAAGATGTGAGGAGCCCAAAGACACCGTTAATGCTGCTTTCCAGTATGACAGGAACAAAAGGTGCTCCAGGTGGGTGAGTATCGCCTTCAACCAACATCAAAGAACGACAGGCATAGGTAGCTCTTTATTCATCCAAAAGCTCACTAATCTAGTAATCGTAAAAACATGTCATTAAGGTCATTAGTCGCCAACCCAGTAAACCCTCCACGCTTCGTCAAGTTTTGCAGTTCCACCTTCGCTTGATAAAGCCTTGATCAGAAAATATGGCAGAACGTATAGAACAAAATAAAGTCATGATAAAACTTGTCTCCTCAGTCTGGAACTTAGTTTAGGAAGAAATACACTAGCTAGTATCGGTCATCGTAGCGTCTAGTCTCATAGCCGTCATCAAAACGTCTGGAATCGTCGTATCGTGGTTGAGGATCCATCGGTCGGCCAGTATCACGGCGCGGGACATCGTCGTACCGTGATCGGGAGTCCACTGATCGAGCATCATCGCGACGTGGATCATCGTCATAGCCCCGCCGCCTATCATAGACGTGGTCATCTTCATATTCAGGTTCGGGGAGGCCCCTGCGGCTGCTTCGAGGGTCATCGCGACCAGCAGACTCATAGGGTGGCAGCGCTTCGCGAGAGCCCCAGCGGTCCTCCCAGGGATCTTGATGGCTGCGGCCACGCTCGCGAGAATCCTCATATCGGTTGGCAATGGCATTGGCACCCAACCCGCCAATGGCAGCACCAATGATGGTCGAGGCAAGGCGAATGCGGTCATCTTTCTCAGCATCACTCCGACGACGGCCACCCTCCTTCTCCCGCGAACGACGAGCAAGGACTTCACCAGCTTGTCGGGCGGCCAAGCCACCCGCAACGGCGCCCAGAATACTAGCGCCAATACCGGTGGTGGATCGTGTAAAACTGTCGTCGATGGTAGACTTGGCGCGGGTCATGGGACTCTCTGAGCGGTCCCGGCGGCGCGAGACCTGCGAGGAGGAGGAGTCTCTACGATGGCGACGGCCACTTGGAGCACGGGATGGGGACCGTGACTGGTAGTATAGATCAGGCGAAGGGGAGCGGCGGCGGGCCATTTGATGGGGGTCCAGTGGCGGGACCGAGCGAGGACGAGAATCCTGAGGATGCTCCAGGGTCATGACCTCGCGAACAAATGTATTATTGGAGCCGCGGGGATTGTCTTCACGCTGCCGAGCGCTGCCGCCGCCAGAACGATACTCTGGTGAGTGATCACGGTCCCTGCGAGGAGACTCCCTCCGGGTTCTCACGTATTCCTCGTACTCGTAGTGCTGAGGCATGATGGATACAGGGAAGGGTAGTAATGAGGAAATGGTACGTGATGGTGCAATGGGGGGTCGATTTTTGCTTGAAGGGACAATCGTTTGGCTTGGTGACCAAGCCTATGATGGAATGGAGAAGGGAACGGTAGTTCAGGGATAGATCGACAGTAGATATGGGGGAAATGCGAATAGGAAAAAGAAAAAACCGGGGTCAACAGCGCACGTTGGTGTATTGTTCTGTGGAAAGGGGAAGAAAAGAGCCCACGAATGCGCCTGAGATGGCAGAGGTGTGGGAAAGGAGGGGTTGAGCGAGGCAAGTAACAGTCGTCATCAGAAGGTCAGAGGGTCAGATGAGGCAGCCAGCAGCAGCAGGGGCCATTGAGCTTGGCCGAAACACACACGGGCTATTATTATTTATGCAGCAACCCATCCTGCACTTGCTGCCCGAGGCGACGAGACGGGCCAGCCCAGACTTGACAAAGACTCGACGTCATTGATGCCTTGAATGGAACTACCATCGGCGCAGGCGGGGTTTGCGACAGCACTGGGGATAGTTTTGGGTTAACCTGCCTAGTGTTCTTACTTCAACAGCCTGTCACGTGGCTCAACAGCCTCTTATTTAGCTAAATAAATACCTAGGCCATCGCGGGTCTGATGGCTATTCTCATGTAATTATACTGTCAGCCGTAAGGCCGTTGGCTTTTATCGCTGTCTGTAGTACTGTTAGGAGCCCAGCCCTATCAGCAGGCTAATGCTAGCAGCTGTCCTCGTCAAAACGAGCGATAGCTGGGAAGCTGAGCAGCCTGTTTCCTGTTGTGGTAAACGATAGCTGCGGACCTGACCTAGCTGTCTTCCGTTACGACGAATGATGGCTGCTGCTCTTACAAATGATTTTCTATTTATCTAGCGGTAGCTGTAGCCGCAAGCTGTAGCCTAGCTAAGAAGCTGTGGCCCGGATAGTGCGTGGGATTTCCGATGGCCTGTTAGGCTTCTGATGATAGCCAAACCTCCAAGACAGGCAAGGTAGCTGCTAGCCCTCTGACAGCCTTGGAAAGTAACCCGGAATATCCAAAACATATGCTGTTAGCAGTCTGCGGAAGTTTTGGTCATGGCGTTAGCACGCTGTCCCTAGTCCTAGGTAAGGATCCACAACACATGTGCACGGCGGTAATGTTACCTTAACCAGGACGTCAGTGAGTTCGCAGCACTTAAGTTAGTACCCTGGTAGCTTTCCAGGCCCACTCACTGGCTGCGGAGCATCATCGCTCGCAGCAGCTCCCACGATCCATCAATGGCTGTTCGCCAGTGCCGTTCGTCGAATTGAACTCCCCAACCACATCGCACCCTGCCCCAACCAGCACCGACGGCGTGCATCCATACTGCCCTCGCCTTGCTCTTGAGCTCTGCGAGCACCCTGGCCTGTACCACCTGGCCATCACTGTCCCCGCCTTTCGGACTCGAAGCTCGTCGCTGAGGTCTTAGCCGAGCCTGGCCAACGTCTGCCTGAGCAGGCTTCTACGCGCCAGCCTCACAGGACCATCGATTTCTCGAATGCAACCACGCTCCAGCTCGCTCTCCCTCCAGCCTCCCGCCCACGACTGCGCAGCAACACATTGAATGCTAGCCTCATCTTTCTTCTAGGCGAGGGCTACCGCAACACGACTTGCTCTCCCTTCCTTATCGTCCTCTTTTTCCTGGTCCTTCGCTCGTGACACTGCTAGGCGCGGAGTCGGCCAACATGGCGACCCCGTCCCTCAACTTCATTACCTTTAACCAGGACCACAGTTGTCTCGCTGTCGGTGAGTCGGCTCGTTTATCCTGTGACATGTGCGCAGCTTATTGACAGGTATCCGGTGCAGGCACTTCCAAAGGCTTCAGAATCTACCACACCGACCCGTTTTCTCGCATCTTTAGCAGCGACGATGGCAATATTTCCATTATCGAGATGCTATTCTCGACCTCTCTGGTGGCTCTAATTCTCTCTCCCCGCCACCTTATTATTCAGAACACAAAGGTTGGCCCTCTTTCGCTTCCAAGATCCGGCAGAAGGCAAGCCATACTCACTACAAGATTTCTATAGAGGGCCTCAGTTATTTGTGAGCTCACGTTCCCTTCGGCCGTTCTCGCCGTTCGCTTAAATCGCAAACGCCTCGCCGTGGTGCTCGAGGAAGAGATCTACCTCTACGACATCAGCAACATGAGCCTCCTCCACGCAATCCATACGTCTCCGAACCCTCTAGCGATATGTGCCTTGTCACCCTCGTCCGAGAACTGCTACCTTGCCTATCCGCTCCCCGAACCCCGTGAAGATAATACCGATAATTCTAGACGGCCGGCTCATGCACCGCCGCAGTCCACATACGTAACCCCAACATCTGGGAGGGTCTTGATATTCGATGCGATTACCATCAAGGCTGTCAACGTCATAGAGGCACACCGCGCTCCGCTGAGTTGCCTATGCCTAAGCAACGACGGAACCCTGCTGGCGACTGCCAGCGAGACGGGAACCATCATCCGAGTTTTCTCTGTCCCAAGAGGGCAGAAGCTGTACCAGTTCCGCCGGGGAACGTATCCCTCCACTATTTATAGCATGTCTTTTAATCTCAGCTCCACGCTGCTCTGCGTTTCATCCGCTTCCGACACCGTTCATATTTTCCGCCTCGGCCAACCGCCAAATAATACCACGCCTGGAGGGGCACCCATAGAGCCGCCAAGCGCAAGCTCGCCACGGCAAGATCGGTGGTCAAGGGGCCGAGCTTATGACGACGGAGAATCACCAGGGAACAGCGCCACTGAGTCTCCCAGAAGCGATGCGGCTGATCCAGCTGGAGGGGATCCCCCGCCTTTGGAGAAGGGCGGCTCGGGCCATCGTAGGCAGAGCGGGTCCTTCAGCAACATGCTACGCCGGTCGTCTCAGATCATGGGCCGTGGAGTAGCGGGCATGGTTGGCTCGTATCTCCCGCAGACCGTTACGGAAATGTGGGAGCCCGCCCGCGATTTCGCCTTTATCAAGATTCCCAAATCCCACAATCCTTCTGGCGTGTCCCGCATCACGGGTGGCACACTTAACGGGCTGCCACCCCGGAGCGTGGTGGCAATGAGCAGTAGTAGCCCTCAGGTCATGGTCGTCACTAATGATGGCGGCTTCTACGTCTACAACATTGACATGGAGCATGGTGGGGAGGGTTACCTGGTGAAGCAGTTCTCGTACGTTCCCCCCATCACCCCCGATACATGTTTCTCCGCGGCTGCAAACTAACACGTATAAACAGCGTTCTTGAAGGCGACGACCGGAATGACAGCTCGTCCTACGGTACCTAACATTTTGCTATCCTATATACCACACTGATTTCATCCTTGCATCAACGTTGGTCTAGCTCTGTTTGCATCAGTCAAATTCCAAGCGTATGGGGGGGGTATGGAGATGGGGAAGGTCGGGGCTTCTTTGTTTTTTTTTTCTTTTCTTTTCTTTGTGGAAGATGGAATACTTCGAGAGCATCAAATTGGCGTTCTGTGCGCTACAGGAGTTTTCTTAAATTGCCCCGTATGTCTTTAGTTATTTAATGGATGGGATCTTGAGAGACCGCTGAAACCCAGCTTCAGGAACGGTTTGCCTCTTTGGATTCTATAGGCGTTGATACAAACAAACTTATTACAGTAAGCTTCATTCTACTGGGTCAAGTCTGTCTGTCATGGTTCAAGAAATTTCTCGCATGTGAGATTGCCTCGTGCTAAAGGATGGGCCTTAGATCCCAATGTTTGTCATCATATTCATCATAAGTCCGTGTCATAACACCGTAATCAAGAAGTAAAAAAGCAAAAAGCAACCAAGTCCCCAGTTCATCTGAGATATCCCAAAGAGAAAGATCCAGAGATCACTGATTTTGATACCACCTCATCCCCTTATCCACCTTCCAGATAAAACGCCTAGTCGAGGAGAAAGAAGCCCTTGCAATAAAAACTTGGCAAGGAACAACAAAAAACTGGAAAAAGGTGGACGTGTAGATCCTTGCAGACCAACACATAGTGTTCTACAGCCTTCTTGGGGTAGAAGTACATAATATAGGATGATGGCAATTTATGCCAACAAGCAGGGCCTCCAGTGCCCAGATAGAATGAACAATTTGAGTATGACATACCCAAGGCTGAAACAACATTGATCAGGTGAGAGCGAAATCTTCACCTTGCATAGGGGCGGTTCATGAGGGCGATTTCTCGAGTAACCTCTCCCCATTCCATGACACGTTTGACCGGTGCTGTGGCGTCGGCATGTCGCTGAAGAGATTCCTCCCACTTCAACAGCTCGTAAGCGAACCGCAGATGAGGCTGAATGATGACATTCAAACGCCGCGCCCGGACGAAACAATAAGCTTGGGCAAAGGGTACATTCATTTCACGCATCACTTCTGCAATGCATATAGTGGCACTGCGAGAAACACCAACACGACAGTGTACCAGTGTAGCCTTGCCACTGCGCTTTCCTCGCTCTACGGCACATGTTAGCTTTCTCTCGCCTTACTTCAGCATTAGGGTGGGGTTGGAAGGCATTAGTTGACATACCGATGAAGTCCAAACAGCGAGCAAATTCGCTGGTCAGCGGGTCGATGCCGTTGTCCTGGACACCTTCAACAATACAAATATTGTCTTGACCCCACTCTTCCACATCTTCCTCTCGCCATATCGCAGTTTCACCAACACTGAGGATTTGGCGAATACCCAGATCCTTCAGGAGATCGGGGCTGTTGGCGTGGGCAAGGTTTCCCAAGTAAAGATAATCAAGAACTCTGCTGGGGAAAGAACCATCTAAGCCGCCGAGCCACTTAGGCTCGTTCTTGACCAGGTTGGTTATCTCCATCAGGCTTTTCCCGGCACACGCTGGAGACTCATGGAGCAGACGGGGAGCTATAGATCTAAGCAAGGCTACATCTGCTGAGTACGCAAAAAAGTTTCGTCCCTTCTCGGTATGCAGCTTCATCCAAGCTTCACCAATGGGCAGACCAGTGCTATAGCTAAAGTAGGCAAGACCAAGCAGAGAAGATTCAGTGTATCCATCAGCACAATGAATAAGAATTTTCCGAGGCTCATGCCGCATGAATTGCTCCTCAGCTAGGCCTTCTTCATCACCCCACATGAAGGAATCTCCCTCGGTATCAGGGGCGGATTTCATACCCGGTCTCGTCCCGTGCGCGAGGTGATAAATCCACTTGCAAGTTTCGAGAATGCCATCGGCTTCTGTATGAGACCAACTCGGGGCAAGAACGGTACCAGAGGATGGGAACTCGTGGTACATCTGGGTCACAATTTCAGAAGGGCTCTCTGCAACCAACTGTAACGCCTCAGGATTGAGTTTTCCGGAATCGCCACATTCGATGAGAATGTCAAATTCCTTCTCCTCAAGGCTGTGCATCTCCGGGGAAGGGCCCAAAAACACGTTGTGGGATATCTCCGAAGCCTTCGTCATGTTCCACATCTCTTGTCTCTCCTGCATCACAAAGTCGAGAATTTTGCCAGTAGGCCTGCCTTCAGCATCGGTCACAACGATATCCCTGTACTTCTCTTCAAACTCTGAGAAGGGACTGGTGCACACAAATGTGTGATACTCAGGCAAATCAAAAGTGGCGTTTCTTTCTCGCCATTTCTTCTGCGCAAGAGAGAATTCCCAGGCAACATCCTCGGCCACTTCCAAGTCCTCACCATAGACGATGATGTCCGATACCACTGCTATCTTGTTGGACTGAATTTGGAAGTTCCGGACAGAGAATCCTTCAGAGGGGTCTGATTCAATAAACTCTGGTTCTAAACCCTTACGAAGGATCTCGGATGGAGACAATGCGCCCTTGAGGCGAGCAGCATTCAGGTCCCCATCGGCTTTGACAATTGTGATGGCTCTCAGGCATGTTGGGGGCCTGCGACTGCTACGTCTGCGAGCATTGAAAAAAGACAGCTGCAAATGGTTCTGCGGGTGTAAGCCGTGAAGCCAAGGGAACATCAAATCTGGATCAGGAAGTGGCTGGCGGGATGCAACGTCCAAAGCCCTGGCGACATCGGCGGCAGAAATTTGGTAGAGCGTAGCGCCGCCAGCATCTAGCCGATCAAAGGTAGTCGGTGGATGAAGAACAGAGCTCTGTACACCTTCGTCAGAATCTTTGGGTGATTCTGGAGGCGTGTCATTCTGAGGGGTAGCACCGGAGCCAGGTGGACAAACGGGCAGATGCTTATTCGGGACGGGGATATGATACTGCGGGGTACCAGAGGTATCCAAGCTCTGGAGAGAATGCGGTGGTGTGATGGGAGTGTCGAGACCTGACACCGGTCGATGGGGAGGGATTGGTCTGGGGATAGCAATGGTCGCCATGCTTCCGGCCCGTAAGGCTGTCAATTTACCCCGTCTATCGTGATAAGATAGGATAAATGCTCCGTAGTGATGCGGTGGATCGATATGGATAGCTCAGGCGGGTCCGTTGTTAGTCTCTCGGTCGGTCTGGATGCGGAGCCTACAGCAAGTAGAAGCATGAGGTCAGTATCACGGGTTGGTATGGCTGGCGGTCTAGTGGAAGTCAGGAGTACTCACTTGCTCACACAGTCCAGTGGAAGGATAGATGAGGCCAGGAGAAGTGCCAGGTGCTGTATTTGAAAGAGAATAAAGTAGAAGGGAGGCCGGGCGAAGTAGAGCAAACAAAAGGGATGTAATGGGAGTCTGGAGCCAGCTACGACCTGGGAAAGGAACAAGTACCTCAGGGCCGCAGTTGGGGGATGTATCTGGGCGGATTGAAGTTGGGAAGGAAGGGACGACAGACAGCAGCTATGTCAACAAGGGACAAGAATCTAGACGTCGGCGGCAGGGTGCAATCATGTAATCGTCGAGCGAGCGAAGCGACAGTCCACCCGATCGGCCGATTCGTAGACAGACAGAGAGAGAAATTCAGTCACAGGTGGGAGGGGAAGAAAAAGGTCCAGAGATGGTGATGCCAGTCGAGCGACCGTGTTGGAGGCTCGAGGGTGGCGCAATTTCAAGGCAGGGTGGAAAGAGAGGGGAGACGAAAGCGAGCTGAGCAAGGCAGGCAAATTGAATTATGATTAATCGTTTAATAGAACAGCCACCCCAGGATGCTGCAGAGACCGGTGTGGAGGGGGGATGGAGGAGCTGGAGGAAGCAACAGTTGAGGTTGGGCAGCAGGCGAAGAAGTGGTTTGGATTGTTATCGGCCTCAGTGTTGTGTTACTCCGCAACACTCTCGCACGCGCGCGGACACAGCTAGCTAATGCCCACACATACCTGGTCCGTCTCCCTTTGGAGAGCACCATCCGATGCACACCTGGGCCATGGGGAATCATGCCAGCCTATCCACTGGCGTTGATAAAGGCTTGCTGCATTGTGTGCTTGCTCGAGGAGGGGCAGCATGGCCAATGGACAAGCAACAGATAGCGGCAAGGTTGGGTGGCAGGGTTGGCACGGATCATCCAGTGGCCAGTCTGGCCAGGCTCGAGGCGGGGATGCGTCGACGGCGCGTCGTACGAGCCAATTGAAGCTGTCGCAGGCCCCGGAGTGGATGGGGCCCTCTGGCTTCGTGAGGGTGGTGCGATCTGCAGCCACCAAGACATCAAACCACTTTCTTACCATCGTCACCTTGTTGCGGCAACATCACCACAGCTTGATTGACTCGAGAGCGCGGCAGGTAGGTAAGCAGGCAATGCAGCTCTTCGCCTGTCTGCCTTGCCGGCTGTTTGCTGGCCCGTGCCTCTCTCCCGTGTCCATCTCGCATCTCGCATCGCTGATCCCGATGAGATGTGCGTTGGCAACCATCCTTATGTCTCGGGCTCACACTCTAGCTCGAACTCTGACCATCTCGGACGGAGCACTGGTCGTCTGTGTCTGGGGTGAAGTGACAGTGACTAGGTAGGCGAGCTTGGCCTAACCGCCACACATCACACCGAGTGGGTACTCAATACATGAGTATGCACCGTGGTGGAGGCCATTCTATGTACGCTGGCCCATGATCCGGCCATGGAGGATGCGAGTGGTCTTCCAGCACTTGCTTCCCTCTGCTGGGTACGCATGCGGATTTTGAGATCTTGCGTGGTTCAGTGCCTGGGCAACGTGCTGCACCCCAGGCAATCGCTCATGTGACGGCTTCAGTGGGCTGTTCTTAGGTAAGTATCTCGACAAAGTGATGGGTGGCCCCCAGAGTGTGGCTCTTGGTAATCCCGAGAGGGAGAGCAAGCACACGACCGCGGCTGGGAGACGGATAAGCTTAGGTACGTAGCTTACTGATGGTTTCAATGCATTGTTGTCTGTCTCAAATAATAATACTACCCTGCCCAAATGCATCGAGTCTGTCGGCTGGCAGCAACAGCAACAGCTCCCCCAAGTACATGTACACATTGGCCTGTGTGCATCGCATCATGCATCCGAAACCCACATCGGAAGCCCATCTATCTCCACCGCTACCCACACGGCTGACATTGAGTGATCGTAGCTTTCCACTGTAATTGCAGCACCCTGCAAACACAATTGAATCGCTCTCGAGGCAACAGACGGGCCTCAAGCTTGCTGCTCAATACTGCCAGTAATTGAAGGGGATCGGGAACCGTCCAATATAATACGCACTGCGGATATTTGCCTTCCACCATGCCTCGCATCGGGGCTGATGTGTCATTTATCCATTCGCCCCTCAACGCCAACCATCCATCTGCCCACCCATGTAAACCTTACTGATCGGTCTAGGTACCTACCTATCTCTCCATCAATACTACGATCTTGTCATCGAGATGACAACAGAGCTGAGGGAGCTTGCAGCGCACCCTCTTATCACACGGCATAATTGCTCCTACGGGTGGCGCCCATCCTGGCACTCATTGTCCTGGTGCCGATCCTCACACACAACACACATACAACTGCGGAGTGACTGGTCAATGCAAGCCAGAGCAACAAGCGCCAATGAAGCCGAGTGCTGAGAGGTATGTAACATCTACCCCCCACCACTCGAACACTCGATCGAAAAGGGAAATCTTTGCAGAAAGGGACGGCTTTCTCCGAAGAGCAATCCTGGGGAACTCATTACGATAGGACAAGCGATCGCCGACAGCCGCAGGGCGACGGGCCGCTAAGGCTTAGATGAAAGGATTGGATAGTGTCTTGGAGGAACCCGCCTACAACCATCGGCGTTATCTCTCCCGCAGCGTGTCTCGCATTCCAGTGTATTAATTCATCCTGTTCCACTTGACCACTCCAGAGAAGGTAAGACCACGCTGGTTCTTGACATGCGGACATATACAGATAAACGTGGATCATTACATAAGCAAAAGTGCTCGAATGGCCAAGCGGTTAAGGCGTGGGATTGCAGCTGTGCAAATTATCCTAAGGTCCCTGGTTCGAGTCCGGGTTCGAGCTTTTTGTTAGTCTCACTCTGTTAGAGAAGCGCAATTGCCTTTTTGACTAAAAATAGATAAATACCTTGTATATAGAAAGGCTGGAAGAGTGGTATTCCATTATTTGCAATAATGGCAAAAAGGAAAGCTAGCTCGAACCCGGACTCGAACCAGGGACCTTAGGATAATTTGCACAGCTGCAATCCCACGCCTTAACCGCTTGGCCATTCGAGCTGACTTAAATTTTGGGTCCGATAATTGAATTTATAACCACTTGAAAGTATCACACTCCTTGGTAGTTTGGATGAGCCGTGTCATTGACGTCCAGTGTAAGCTCGGCGTTATCAGACTATGTTCCCATTGTGCTGGGTAAAACCCCTCTCTTTCCTTTATTTTCTCTCCTTCACTCTCTATTCCCTACTTGTCATATCTCCCCTTCTTCCTTATTTCCACACACTATTTATCCAAGTAGTCACATTTTCTCCATGTGTCGCATTTCGATGTTCTCCAAATCTGCTTTGGATCTCAACCGTCTAGTACTTTCTCCCGTCTTTGACTCTGCTTGCCTTTTACATCAATGATATAAATGAAGAAAAGAATCCCTTCTCCAAGATTCAAGCCTAGGAATATCCGAGAACCAAAGGCTGGGAGAGCACTTGACGAAGCATGGTTGAGAGACCAAATCACATTTAACCACGCTGGCCTTCATAGGTAGCAGTCATACATGCCACCCATGCCCCCATCTATGTTGTGTATACTGTAAAAGTACCGTTTCCATCCCGCGCTCCATGTCGGAAGCTACAGTGGGAAAATGCCAGGGCCGCTACCACGTTAGAAAGCCAAAATAACAGGGTAACCCCAGGGGAACAGAATCAAGACAGTCCAGTCTTGATGAGAATTCCGAAAGTCGTCCAAGTCTTTATCCCTATTCAAGGCTGCTGCCATCTGATTTAGGATATATTAGGGCTCAAATGAGATCGCACTCAGATGTGACTTTTGTAGCGACTAACCTCCAAGTCAGAACACCATCCAGCCCGAAATCGTTATCCTAGTTCCCGATACAAAGAATCATTTAGGTAAACTCGTAAGAAAATAACTGAAGAATGATGCACCAGATTTAGAAATATCCAAGTGCGCACAGCTTGTTCAGGAATACGGTCCACACGATAGTCTTATCGATGACTGTGCCTCACAAGTCAAGCCTGCGATCTTAGGACCACAGGCGAAATTTTATCACCAGATGCGTAAGTACCTGTTACGTTTAGATTGCCCCAATACATCTCAGTCGAGCACGCAGTGAGTATTAGGAAGTCAGCGGTTGACCCCATGTACTATGTTGTCCTCACTCGGGGGCAAGGCTATATATAGCAATCTTGAGTTAAATAATCTTTTCCCTCTACTCCAAGAGAATAACGTCGTGGCTGTTCCTAAGGCGGAGTATTGAGAGAACATCGAAAGTCTCCAGATATTGCTATCAGTGACTTTGTCGATATTCGATAGTAACAATTGTCGAAAAGCGGAACTTGATTGGAAGGTAGGAATCCTTGCTGAGAAGAGATTACCAACAGCTCTTTCTGACCTTTCTATGTCAAAACATCATATATAATTGATTTTGGGAGGGGTTTAGAACCGAGCAGCGCCCTTCTTCTAGATTTAATAGTGATTCCGAACTCAAGAAGCTTAAGCAGCAAATTACAATTCCGGGATCTTCCCAGCCATTACCTTCACCAGTTAGAAGACTAAAAGCAAGGATCGGTATTGCTTTTGATTCATATTGCAAGGTCTTAATCGCTAATGAAGAAATCAACCATTTCCAGGCTCTCAGACTGTGCGACTCCAATCTGTGCCACCTTCGTTGGAAAAACTCAGCTTTGGGCTATCGGGGTTCAAAGCAGGCTCACTCCAACACTCCCGAATAATTGACACTAACTGCTGCTTAGTTGTTCACAGCAATCTACAGATAATTGTGCTCTGTGGAGGGAGCTTGCAGGGCACTCTCACGTCATATTTCAAACCAAACTAGAAGCGCCCTCCAGCCTATCTATTCGAGGATTGTGCTATGTTGTATGGTTGCTAAGATCAAGAGTACATATCAAAATCTTCATAGCCAGCCCTGAACCCTTGCTCACCTCTTACCCGTATTTTCAAATGCAATACAACTACGAGGTATTTTTGGTCTTGTAAGTGCTCTGCCTAATGTTAAAAATTAGTATACATGGTTGAGAAATGTTTGCTTCCATGCCAATTTAGCTACTTAGCATGAATGAGGGAAGACGGGTGGTGCAGCTTTACCAACTACAATTCTGAGGCCTTTGTTCCGTGATTGGCTCACCACTCGAGAATCTATCAACGAAGCTAATAATTGGGAACAGGAGTCCGTTGCTAGGAACATGACAATAGTACTTCAGCTTGAGACCTATCCTGACTAACCGTGGTCATATGGAGCCAAATATCGCAGAAAGTATACCACTGATATTTAGAAAACGTGAGGAGAACTATTAATCCCGTTTATCAGCATGTCGACTCTATCGAAACTTTCCAGATGCAATCGCATAACCTAGTATCTATGCTAGACGCACAGAAGGCATATACTGCAGATTAGAATTTGCACCGTGTTGCGGCCGGGCTTGAGGGGGGACAAGTCGGTAGTATGACACTACTAGATTACATCAACAACGAGCCAAACCAAGCGGTAACAAGCCAGCCAATGGTGGCTATGTCCAATCATGGGGAGGAGGGTCTGCACAATACGAAGCGTTGCCCATCGCCTATGGCGGCCCCAGAAATAGTGACGAAATGATACTTCCCCTAATACCTAACCATTCAATGATCAATCAAGGGAGCTAGCCAGAGTTATTGTTTTGAGAAATGCTGGTGACGATGGGCCAAAGACGAGGAACTTTGCTCGGAAGTCACCGAATTCACAACCCGCAATTGCATCAATAAAACAGGAAAAGGTTTCTAGGTGGAGAGAAAATCAACGCAAATCAAGCTCTCCCAGATGGCTAGTAAGTCCGGAACAGTTATCCAGCTATATGTAGACATGTCCAAAGCGAAGTATTCCCACTCAAACAACAAAGACTACCGCCTTTACTCAAGGGCTATATACCCCGGACTCGTTCAATTGGCGTTAAGGATGAGCCAGGGCAAACATATAGGGATCTGTCCAAGTTCGTGGTACGCTCTCAGCTATCAACTTCGGGACAGTTCATCCTCCTCGAGTGCTTGGCAATCTCAACCAGGATATATCTCATTGGTTCATGCATTCGACCTGCGCTTCAGTCTCAACTCTTGGAGAATGTAGATGGCAAACGTCCTTCTCAAAATGGCACTGGGCCAGTGACGCGGCAAAATCTTCCAAATCAGGAGTTATGGGGGCGCATATTCACATAGGCATTCAAGGCAAACACCCTTACGGAGTTCCTGCTAGCAAGAACCACAATTGATCTTCTTGGGCAGCCCGAACACATACCAAGATGTGAAGGTGGCGAGCAGATGAGGCAAGCCGATTGACTGTTAGCCACATATGGCATTCAACTCTCTGGGAGAGAAGGGGGACAAGCCAGTGTGGGTGACCTCTGAGTGGTTCGGAGAGGAGAGGTGGATTGGTGGGTATATAATCAAGTGTAAAGCCTCGTGTTGGCATCTGCTCGAATGGCCAAGCGGTTAAGGCGTGGGATTGCAGTTAATCTGCAATTAATCCTAAGGTCCCTGGTTCGAGTCCGGGTTCGAGCTTTTTGCCGGTCCTGTACCTTTTTATCCTTTCTCTCAATCACTGAGCAATGTCTCGGAAGGGTCAGCTTAGTTAAAGTGTTGTCGCTCTGGTCCTAGCTAAGGTAGCGACTGAAACACTTATCCTGAAATTGGCTGTGGGCTACCCTAGAGACTGGATGCTATACGGTATATTAACACGGGTCATAAAAATAGCTGCAGATCAACTCTATGAAATACAACTGAAGAACAATATTCAGCAAAAAGAGAATACACTCCGGTACTGGGAATCGAACCCAGGGCTGCTCGGTGAGAGCGAGCGATGTTAGCCACTACACCATACCGGATAATTGCTGACCAATGCACCAGAGTATCATGCTAAGTGTTGGTCCATAATTTTGAGCCTGTGCACGTGACTTCGTGGGTGTTTGGCATTTCTTCCTTCACGGTACCTTGCAACTCGCCGTCATCTCCGTGAGCACGAAACACACTGCACAATCGGGTGGCTGAGGGTCGAGAGTCAAGGACATCGTAGCGATTCGCCGGGGGCTCGTTCCACCCTCCAAAATCGCCCATCATGAAGTTCAACATTGAGTGCGTTCCAGCATTCATTTCAGGTGGTCAAAATGCTAATGGGGTTTGGATAGCGATCTTCCCGTGCTCTTCCCATATCCCAGAATTTATCCTGGTATGCCAAATCCCAAACCTATCATCTGAAATATCCAAAACTGACATTTTCCGTTTCAACCAGAGCAATATGCGTGAGTTTGGTTCTGAAAACATCATTCCCTGGACTTTCCTAGCTAATTAAGCCAGCTACATGTGCGATCTCAAGAGTAAAGACCCCTGTCCCCCTATTCAATCGCATCAGCAACCACGATGCTAACCGAGAATTTCAGAAACCCTGGACGCCCAAGGCCATTGTGTCTTGGAGATGCCTTCGGGGACTGGAAAAACCGTCTCACTGCTGTCCCTCATTGTGGCCTATCAGCAATACATGCCGGAGAAACGCAAGCTGATCTACTGCTCTCGTATGTCTAATGCATTGCTCGAGGCCTGATTATTTTATCTCACATGACATTCAGGAACAATGTCCGAAATCGAGAAGGCTTTGGTGGAGTTGGAAGCGCTCATGAAGTACCGGGCCGAGCAGCTTGGGTACGAAGAAGATTTCCGCGGGTTAGGCTTGACGAGTAGAAAAAACTTGTGCCTTCACCCTTCAGTAAAGCGTGAAAAGAGTGGCGCAATTGTCGATGCTCGGTGTCGAAGTCTCACTGCCGGATTCGTAAAGGAGAAGAAGGAGAAGGGTGAAGATGTTGACCTTTGCGTCTACCACGATGTATGTTTCTCTTGGGCAGCATACCGATGTTCGCACGCTAACTGCATGGTTCCAGAACTTGGATCTTTTAGAACCTCACAACCTGATACCAAATGGTGTTTGGACCTTTGAGGGGATTATGAAATATGGCGAGGAACACAAACAATGTCCATACTTCACGGCACGGCGAATGGTAATATATACAGCCCAAAGAATTCGAATGAGCACAGTCGCTAACTCACATATCAGATGGAATACTGCAATGTTGTCATTTTCTCATATCACTACCTTCTCGATCCTAAAATCGCTGAGCGAGTGTCGAAGGACTTCTCAAAGGACTGCATCATTGTCTTCGACGAAGCCCACAACATCGACAACGTATGCATTGAAGCTCTCAGTACCGACATCACAGAGGACTCTCTGCGGAAGGCCACTCGCGGAGCCGCCAATTTAGAGCGCAAAATATCAGAAATGCGAGCCACCGACCAGGAGCAGCTACAGAATGAATACGAAAAGCTCGTCCAAGGGCTACGAGACACTGATGCAGCTAGACAAGAGGATGCTATAATGGCCAATCCCGGTAGGCTGTCTAACAACATTGTCAACTAAGATACACTGACTAATAGCCTACAGCATTGCCTGATGACTTATTGAAGGAAGCCGTGCCAGGAAACATCCGGAGAGCAGAACATTTCGTTGCATTCCTCAAACGTTTTATTGAATACCTCAAGGTAAGAATATGCGCTCTCCTGCCCCGGGAATACTCTACTAATCTGGCCAGACTCGGATGAAAGTTCGTCAAGTTATCTCCGAAACGCCTCCGTCCTTCCTTGCACATCTGAAGGAGCATACTTTCATTGAAAAGAAGCCTCTCAGATTTTGTGCCGAACGCTTAACCTCATTGGTGCGGACCTTGGAGCTCACCAACATCGAAGATTATCAACCATTGCAAGAAGTTGCCACCTTTGCTACTCTTGTAGCCACATATGAGAAAGGCTTCCTCCTGATTCTCGAGCCCTACGAATCAGACACTGCCGAAGTCCCAAACCCGGTCCTTCATTTCACTTGTCTCGATGCAGCCATCGCCATTCGACCAGTCTTCGAAAAGTTCTACTCCGTCATCATTACATCCGGAACAATCTCCCCGCTGGAGATGTACCCCAAAATGCTCGATTTCCCGACTGTGATCCAAGAGTCCTACAGCATGACTTTGGCTCGCAGATCATTCTTGCCTATGATCGTGACCCGCGGAAGCGACCAAGCCGCCATTTCTACAAGTTTCCAAGTCAGAAATGAGCCTAGTGTGGTGAGAAACTACGGCAATCTCCTCACTGAATTTGCCAAGATTACACCGGACGGAATGGTCGTTTTCTTCCCTTCCTATCTGTACATGGAATCGATCATCAGCATGTGGCAGGGCATGGGCATCCTAGACGAGGTGTGGAAGTATAAACTGATCTTGGTCGAGACGCCCGACGCCCAGGAAACCTCCCTGGCCCTCGAAACATACAGAACGGCATGCTGCAATGGCCGAGGCGCAGTCCTCCTCTGCGTGGCTCGTGGCAAGGTCTCCGAAGGTATCGATTTCGACCACCAGTACGGCCGGACGGTGCTGTGCATCGGCGTCCCCTTCCAGTACACCGAGTCGCGAATCCTCAAGGCCAGGCTGGAATTCCTGCGCGAGACGTACCGGATCAAGGAGAACGACTTCCTCTCCTTCGACGCCATGCGTCACGCCGCCCAGTGTCTCGGTCGTGTCCTGCGTGGAAAGGACGATTACGGTATCATGGTCCTCTCGGACCGCCGCTTCCAGAAGAAGAGGACCCAGCTGCCGAAATGGATCAACCAGGGCCTCCTCGAAGCCGACACCAATCTCAGCACCGACATGGCCGTCAGCAGCGCCCGGAGATTCCTGCGCACGATGGCCCAGCCTTTCCGTGCCAAGGACCAGGAGGGTATCAGCACATGGGGCTATGAAGATCTCATGCAGCACAAGGAGAAGATGGATAACGACAGGATCCGTGAGCTTGAGGAGTCCAATGGCAATGGCGTGGCCAACGGCAAGGCTGGGAACGGTGATGAATACGACGACTTGGCAGATGAGGATTTGATGGAGGTGGAAGGGTTCTAACGCTTCTGCATCGCAGAAGTTCGAATGGATTTCGGCATTTCCACGAGACATATGACACAATAAGATTGGGTATAAAAGAGCAGCTCTCGAACTCAAAGTTAGGCGTAGAAAAGCCAGAGTTCATCATTAAATGTATAGTATTAGCGTGCCTCTTCCTACGTATAAGGAGGGCAATTCTTCTTAATCTATGGGTATCTAACACCATCCTGACCATGTATCACAGATGAAATTGTTTGACCAGAGCCAGATACATAATAAACGCCTTGCCAACTGATTTTTCTAAACCGGAATTGGAGGAAGAAAATGAAAGACAAAGGAAAATATGATAGAAAAGACAGGCAAACGGAACCGGCTATCATGTTTCAAGATGAAAAGCGAACGCGTGCATTTCAATGACTGCCAGTATTTGGTATCACCCGTTTCTTGGCTTTCATAGCCCTCATGGCTGGTAAAGTGTTCTTTCGGCCAGGTTTCCTCCCAACTTCGACGCATATCATTCGAATAAAGTCTTGATTTGTCCAATAACTGGTGTGTGCGCTTAACATGTTCAAATATTGGATCTCGAGTGGGCCGCCGCCAGATCGCAGATAGTAATCTATCTGCCCATTGTCGTTTAGAAGATATGCCTTTTTCTCAGCTAGTTCCTCTCTTGTGAAATCGTGTACCTCCAACTCAAGCTGGGAAGGCAACCGGAAAGTCGGCGGCCGGTCCAAGGCTTGATCTAAGGCTAATGGGTTTGGAGCTGGAGCCACGCCGAGGATCACATGACGCACCGCATCACCCATCGATTGAAAAAATGATGGTGTAGCACTGGGGACGTGGGCAACCTTCAGGCTCGATGCATAGTTTGGATCCACAGAGCCATTGAGCAGATAGGCAATCGGGTCCTCCTTGGCAAGAATATTATAGATGTTGTCTACAGCCAGACAGCCGAATGTTCCGGCTTCACCCACAACATCGCTAGCTTCTGCATCACCAGGTTCAATTCCAGCCTTTCGTCGCCCTCGACGGGGCACTAGAGCACCGCGCTCGAGCAGGAGGAAGAAACCCGCCGGGCTACCGGCTAGAAACAGATTTCTTGTGTCAAACTCGAAAAAGCCGGTCTCCGGCTCTGCTTGGGACAGATTGAGTGGGGGAACGTAGGTAGGTTGTCGAGACAAAATCTCCAGCGCCATAGCGCTGCCAAGAGAGTGGCCTATTAAATGAACCCGTCCGTTTTCAGAAAAGCCAGGATTGTTACGACACCATAGCCTATAGACACGGTTTGCCTCAGACACAAGAGCCTTGATCATCTTCCCTTTGTGGTGGGACATGTAGAACGGGATATCAAACATGACATCGGATATCATACTGCGAACAGCCGGAATGGTAGGTGGTTCAATGTCTTTCAAGCCAAAGCTCTCTGGGGCCTGTTCGGCTTGATCTTCATCCGTCATCGGCCCACCATCTTCAAAAGATAGCCCCATCCTCCAGTTCAGTGGCAAGACCATAATGCCGTTATGACCTTCTGGTAATATTTGATGAACTATCGGGTTGCCCAGTTCAATATTGATGGCACGGCGGAATCCATTTATTGCGTGAGTGAAATGAAAGCTTTCAACTCTCTCAGCAAACTTTTGGCCAATTCCATGAGCCACCAGAAGGAGATCCTTCACTTGCCCACGCTCCTTATCGACTTTGCAGGCTGGGCAAACGTCGTGGCCTTGGTTTTCGTGCGATTCGCTTGCAGCAGACACACCTGGTTCGTTAGGAGTTTGCTTCTTTCGGTGGATACGGTCCCATTTGTTCCGATCAAACCCACGAACGACAGGGATACCTACTGTCAAGCCTTTCATAATCTTTGATACAGGCTTTCTCCCATAATATGCCGATGGCTTGAGGCTTGGTTTCAACATGAAAGCTTCTGTCGCGTTCTTGTAAATGATATGGTACTGTGCGAATGGACGGATCGGTGCCATTGAAGGGTCTTCAAGTTCCGCTTCTTTCTTCAAAGGTTCTATCGAACCTTCTGCTGCTGCATCTCCACGGAAACATCTTGCGGCGCAATAAGGGTTGGACGAGATGGGAGGTGGGGTTGGGTATGATTCTGATGCTGCTTTCGAGGCGCCAGTTGTCTCGGGCCAAAGTCGATGTGAAACTTTTTCTTCTCCCAACGGCCCTACATCGATAGCACATCGTATCTCATCACTCCAGGTATCGGTCCAAGGACGAAGCTCGTGAAATCCAGCCTCTAACTGATTGGCGACTGTCGGCGGAATCGGTAGCATTGTGTCTCTAATAGGCGCAATTAGTCACATACCAAACATATCAATAATATATATCAATGCTTACCTATAAAACCAAGTAGATCTTGTTACAGTAGCCAAGTCATTCACAGGCGACCAATATATTGGTTTCATCTGTAACGCTGGGAGTGTGACCATATGTAGTCGAGACACTCCCACGGCAACATCGACCGGGTTTTTGCTGTATTTGGTATTGGTAGCATTTGAGCTTTTAGAATCCTCAAAGGATTCAACATGGCCCAGACTCTGTTCACGAACAGACACAGGTAGTTGCGTACCGCCCGGCGAAGACCCCAGCGCGAGTGATTCAGACTTGGGCAGAGAGGATCCAATCTTGGGAGAATGAGCCTCGACACTTCCTACACGCACAAACGGCTTGCCCGATATTCCATCGTCGAGGACAGGCGGGCGGGATGGGATTATTTTTTCTGCAGGTGTTTGAGGGCGCGAGGAGCGATTTGTTACTTGTGAACCCGATCGATATCTAGTTTCGTGATCTCGCGCATTTTCGATCAGATTTTCACGTGGGTCTGCATTGTTCCGAGCATCTGTATTGGATCTCACTTTATGATCTGTTGAGGGACTGGGTGGGTTGCGGTTGGTCTGGGCAAGAGAGCTGGCTCTCGGTCGAGATATGGCATCTGGCTTCGAGTCTATCGCTGCATGGGTAGATTGTGAGATTCGAATAATGGCTTCCATGACATCCCGAAGCACATGCTCAATCTTCAGATCGGGGTTGCCGACCCTTGCCAGAGAACAAAAGTTGCCCTCCAGCTCCGCCGTCACATCCACTGCAAGCTCAGCACAACACAAAGAGTCAGCCTGAGAGGTGAAAGAGGCGTCAACGGGCAAGGACGGCGCAAGAGGCTCGAAATTAGACCCATGCTTTTGCCAATGCTTTAACGCAATGGTTTGGACCAGGGATTCTCTTCTCGCAGAACCAGCGTAAGGCCCTGAAGCGATGTGTTTCCTTCCCTTCCTTGCTAATTCGTGGTCTTTCCGGTCCTCCTCTGTCTGAAGTGCCAACCAGGCCTTTTCAAGGGCATTATTATCCCCCCTGGCGAAAGGCCGGAGGGGTAGTTTTGATGATTTCGGTTCGGAGCCGGCCGCAGTCGAGCTGGTTGAGAGGGGGTCGTCGATGGGTATGATGGACGCATAGAAGAACTGTGCTTCGATCGGAGGCATGCCATCTTCGTTGTCGGTGCGGGATACGGGAGCCAGGCGGCACTTTGAGCCATAAGTGTGGCCGGCCGCCATGCTCTCGCTGTTCTCTCGGTCTCTCGCCATGGGTGGTTGGAGGGTAGGACTGGCGGAATTGGAGTGGACAGTCACACCTCAGGGCCCTACAGCAGAGTCTTGTCCGGAAACCATGGGCGCAGGAGGCGACTGATAAACAGCAGCCTAGAGGGAAGGCAACGGGATGATGTTTCCCACCCTCTAAGTGGTTAGGGCAGTGTACAGGGTGGACAAGTCAGCAGTGCAGACGAGCAGAAATGAAATGCTTGTGACGATGACGTGTAGTGGAGCGCGGTGGGAGCTGCCGCTGGGGATTGCCTACCAAACTGGCGGCTCACCCTGGCAGCCGCGACAGCAACGCACCTTCTTCACTGGCCTCGGCCTGATTACTCATCGCCAGCGGGTGGCACGCATGAGACTGATGAGATGGACGAGCCATTCTCAGGCATAACGAGATGAGCTCTAATCACAGCTTTTCATGCCATCCACTGCTTCGTCAGAACCCTCCATAATCATAAGATTTGGTGCACAGCGACCCTCCGTCTTATTTCCCCGCCAAGGCTAGCAACTATTGCTTCCCATCCATTCGATATGATGCCGCGTCCTGGAATGCGCTCATCTCTCGCAGTTCATCAACCGCGCCTGGGGGGTCGGGTTTTGTCTTACCCAATGCTTCGTCTATGCGGCCCCTTCATTTAGGAACTCAGCTGCGCTTTCTGCATGCTTGGAGTACAGGTCATCAATGCAACCAGAGTCGTACTAGCCGGCGACGATTGGGTTTCGGGACAGACAAGTCCCTCGCCAACAGGCGGCTCACTCTAATGCATCTCTCATTCAAATAAGAAGCAGTGACTGCCTCTCGCACACCCAGTCGTCTCAGACAGCAGAAAGATGCTCGGCCTTCCGCTACGTCCTGTGGTAATATGGATGGGCTCTTCTCTGAGACATAGGGTGGTAACCCTTCGCCTAGCCAGCATTGTTGAGCCACTCGTCTCGCCTATCCTCTCTGGATACCTCCAATTGAGATGAAATTCGAGGTACGGTCACGAATTTGGGATGTCAATGAAACGCTCTCAATTCTCTTCAACTCCTCCCCCATTCGTGACGCCAGGGGCTCAGAGGCATATGCAACTCGAGGCTGAGAAATGGTCACATAGTCAACCTGGCTCGGCTCGACTTTGAGTCCCCGGCTACTCAAGACGACCCGGTCCCGAATTGGCCTCCATTCGGTTGTTTGCTTGCCCGGCAACCTGGCTGAATTATAGCCAGATCAAAACCATGCCTCTTTGCTTTGGCAGTCACCAGCGGAATGATTAAACTGATGCGGTGTCGAAAGAAGGTAGGTACTCTTCGTCACCCAGTCACTCAATGGGCTTCAAACTCGTCTACCCCGGCTTATACCGGTGTCTTGCACGTTCAGGGGGAAACTCACGGATATTTCCACAACTCATTTCGGCGGTCGGTTTTGCTCAACGCTTCTATCATTGGCGCTGGTCTCAGGTATCACAACTACGTGTTTAGCGTTACAACCACTCTGCTTTCGTCAATGGCATGGCACTCCCCTCCTCTCACCCGTTCTTTCTCAAAAAGTGGCAAATCCCTCACATTAGTCACCAGGCTCGGGGGCCATGGAGGTCGCTATCCGCGAGACTGCTCATACGGACCCCAAAATATCCTCAAATCTTAATGATTAATTATAGGATGCCAACATAGGTCTGTCCCGCATTCGTCCCCATGGTACGCTGACCTGCATACGGAAAACCAAATGTTTTAGCACGCCACTTAGTCATGTCGAAATAAGGAGCACTATCATCGCCATAGCCTAGCTACTGAATACAATACTCGCCACGATGGACCGTCAGGCATCCCCTGATGGAGCCCACATAGGATCTCTTGGGTCCTCTGTTCGTTATGCCTCAAAGTCAATCAAGGCAGAATATTATTAGAAACCATTAACCCCCAGGGTGTGCGTTTTCTAAGTTCAGTGAGTCGTTGATTCACCTTCTCTCACGCCAGCTTGGGTCCCAGTCGGTTACATCTTGATGAGCCACAACAATATGGCACAGCAAGCTACTCCGACTGCTAAATAGCCAAGACGACATTCCTTCTTGGATAGTACTAACGCTTAGTGCAAAGAGGGAAGGGGGCTTGTAGCTCGTAACCTGCTCGTAGCTTGCTCGTGATATCGGGAACACGAGGTTATCAACCACCCTATACATCACGCCGCTCTCACTGCGTAAACTAAATAAATAACATGGTAACCGTGCACCCGTAGCATCAGATACCGCCTAAACAGATGTTATAGTACCGGTAAGAAGCGTCTTGTACACCTATACACGTGGTGCGGCCTGGCTGAGGACTCAGCACGGGTAAACCCAAACCCAAATCGCCGACAAAGGCTGGTCGCAACCACGCGTTTAACGTACCCCGATCCTGGCATGACACTGTGACAATGGGCGGCTGTGCGGCTGATCCTTGTCTTCGGAACGGCAGCCTGACCTGGGGGAGGGTGTTAGACATTCCCGGTGTGGGCGCGCGTATGTAGCAAATGAAGCCAGGCATCTCAGAAATGGCAACACACTTCCCGGACGGGGTCCGCCATTCCCCTTCTCCCCAAACTCCTTCGGCGTCTAGATGTCCGCAACGGGACCTTGACCTGCAGAAAAAGAACTACCGCGTGGGGGAGAAGGATGCCGACATAGGCAGTTGCTGCTATTTCCATTGGCTCTGCCGCATGCATCTGAAGCCGTGCCACATCGCCCTACCCAGGAGGTGTTTGTCTGCCCGTGGCGGTTTATTATACTTACTCCCCTCCCCCCCCCCTGTGTCACGTCGTCATGCACACTTGCCTATGTGATTGTCCCTCTTCGCCCCAGTGGCATTATGTACATATGTCATGGAATCGGTGGGCAGCTTCTGGAAATGCAAGTCATCCGCTAACCTGCGCCTAGAACCCAGGTTCAAGCGCCTGTTGAGAGTGGTGTTGGGTAGCGTCGGTGAGATGAGATCATATCATCACGACAAAGTTGCATGTTTCATGTTGAAGCCAAAGTTCTTTTGGATATAAATAGCACACTCGATGATCTGTTTTCACCCCGCCAAGGTGGATGAGATGTGAATGTTGCCTGCCCAAAGCCGCTTCACGTGGGATCCACAAACGTGTCGGATAGAGCTTGGATGATATTGGTTATCCGGAGAAAAAGAAACATATTGAGCTGGGCAATCGGTGAGTACCTAGACACCTCGGCCTAGTACGCATCAGGCGGGATGACACATCGGGTGAGCAAGTATGTGCGCCATCGCCATCCTCCGGTCTAGAATGCGACCTGTCAGTGGCACATCGTCAGTAATCAACTTCCCTCCCACTAGCTTGGGATGCGCCCGAGTAGCCCGGCGAGTACCAGCACACGGGGGCGTGGGCAGAAACGGAAAAACTGAGAACCGACAGAGGGAAAGAAGGTTTGAAACGCCCGCCACCAGCCAGCAAGGTGGTCGTTTCAGCCTCATTGGAGCCGTGGGTTTTGCTTTTGCCTCTTGGGTGGCAAAACAGCATCGCCGGCCGGGAGATGTCACTGAACCAGCTCCAAGGAGTTTGGGAGCAGCCCCCAAACCTCTGGGCATGCAAGTGATTATGACCGCGGGCTTGGTCATCGCCGTCTTAACTGCATGCGGCTGTCTGGTGTAGTTGCATCGGCTGTTTTTGGACACCGCCAGGGCTGCCGGGTTGCTAAACCGGGGAGGCTGTCGCTTGGAGCAAGTATTGGATATGGATGCACTGGCTGGCCAGATTAGATGAGGGAACGCATTCCTACAGCACCTAATCAGATCGGTGCTCTGCGCATCGGAGGGAACGGGCGCGCGGGAGCCCGGTTACAACATTGGCCTGGTACCTAGATTTGGCCTTCCACTTCGAGACGCCCGACACCACAACTGGTGCCAAGCTCGTCTGTGTGTGATCAGATCTCGTCAGCTTACTGATCTGCACGAGTGCACTGACCAGCCCGCCGACTGCAAGACAGTGTGCATTGGGCTCGCGAGGACCGTCTAGTGGCTAAGGTAGGCGGTTTGCGCTGTCTCCAGTTCTCTGCATGTGTTTCTTTGCATGTGGTTTCTCGTCTTCATAGTTTGTTCTTGGTAGTTTGTCCTTGTTCTGCTTTACTGGAGTCCCCCGACAGCGTTATGTTTGTTGTGCTTAGCTGTTTATTTTTAACCCCGGGGCGTGAATGTCATTAGTTGCGTTGTATTGGTCAACGGCGACCTCTGCCTCCAGTTAAGTTAGAGCCTGGTAATTACATGCTTGCATCTTATAATAACCACATACATATGATTACATACCTGCATATGTATAACGGGTACCTATTTCGCTGCAACATCCGAGGCCAGGCCGGGTTTCCCATTGGACAGAGGGCCTGCATTGGTTTGAGACAAGCAAGCAGCCGGATGGGTCTGCAGACATCAGACTACCGAAAATGAAAGAATACGACATTTCTGCGCCGCCATCCAGCCCTTTACGTACCTCGCAACCCTCGCAACGGGCACCGGCGATTTCTGGCCTTCCCGCTCCCGAGCGAGCCAATTGGTGGAGTGTCCCCTTCGTGGCATTCAACTTCGGACCCATCCAGTCAGTCATCCCTTCGGAGGCCTGCCTCAAGTCCCCAAGGCGCGACAGGGGACGTGCCAGGGGACAGCCGCCGCTAACCTAACCCTGTTCAGCATGCACCGTCGCCAGAGCGAGCTTTATTAGCGAATCGAACCAGTGTGTACATTCACCATGATATGGTGTTCATATCCTGCAGCTGGGCGGAGAGGTGCAGACCCCATTTGGCAACCTGGCTTTCATGCCATTCTGGCTAATCCTGGCCCCAAGAGAACCTAGATTATATTTCTGGCAGATAAGGCCCGCGAGGAGGTTGAGGTGGACCTACAGAAGAGAGGAGTGGCGAGAAGTGGGAGGCGATTTTGAATATCTGCGACGGCGCCAACCATGAGGCCGAAACGCGACCTACACTATCTTAGTTGAGCATATCCCCAAGTCAGCATGGAAGCATGTTGCCGTCTTCCAAATGTAGTCATAGTAAATGTATGCATACTCGTAGAGACTACCAACCGTCGAGACATCTATCCTTTTCCGGCTCTGGCTTGCTTTCTTCTTCCTAGTTTGACAAGGGCAGCCGTTGGTTGGATCCACTCGGCCGAGTCGGTTGAGATGGTTGACACTTGATTGTACCCTTCCTTGCCTACCCGGACCAGGGAACCTTGGTGCCTTCCACTTTGGACAAGGTGAGGATGGACCAGAAGAGAATAAATAGAGCCGGAGGCAAATCTGTCGTCTCGAAATATCCGTTTCACTGTTGCACAGAAAGCGGCGCAACCAGTCTGTGGAGGGAGCATCTGGATGTCAGACTCACAAATTGAACTCCACTCCCCCCGCCAAACATGGGGCCTCTGTTTTCTGCCCTCAAATTGGTGGCCAAGGGTTTCAACCTTGGCCCCAGAATCGCCTCATGCTGGAGCGAACAAGGTCGTTTCTGTCTCAATTTGTACTTCCTCGACCCGCAGCGCATGGTTGACTTCCAGACCCACCACATCTCACCATACCCTACCCTCCTCCGCCCAGATGGCTCGCCTCCGTGCACACCTGCAGTGCGACGTAGGTCTGGACGTGGTGCCAGTGGCCCAGCAGCCTTCCCACGCAGCACTGTCGAGCATACGGTTCTCCCAACGTAACCCCACGGCGATGGCCATGCCATCTCATCTCCGCGCTAGTTCCAAGATCAAGGTTTGAGTCTCAACCAAGATGGTGGGCCGTTCCGGCGCCTGACTGGAAGTAATACGCGCACCGGCCATCTGCGTGACGTTCCGGAGCGTCTAGTTGGAAGACGGACGCGCACGATACGTCGATGCCATCGCTCGTTAGGACACCGCCTACCTCAGCACCCGCACAGGATACTTGAGTATGGGTAAGTCTTCCCAATATAGGACCAACCTCAGCTGCTAAAGTATTACCTCAGGCTGTGGTCATCAGACTTTGTTTGGCGCTGCAAATCACTGGATTGCGCATATGCCGACGGGCCCGCTGAAACCATTTCGTAGAATACGTCCTGAGACAGAAACCCCAAACCTGGATGCCATGGAAACTGCTTCAGTGCCAACATATTAGTGACGAACCGCCCACCAAGGTACCTTGATTACCTCACAACGTACATATGCCTGCATGCAAGGATCTGGCGAGCACAGAAACGCATCGCCACTGAAGTACGCAACGGCCGACGGGACGGGGCCAATCCACCTCGATGGATAGAGACCGACCTAAGGAAGGAACAGAGGGGACAGCGGCTGTGCTGCGGGTGCAAGTAGCAGCCTGGGCGATGTCGCCTGCTGAATACCGCGACACCTAAAATAAGCTTGTGAGCGTAGTACCCAAAGACTGGACACACCTCGGGTACGAGCGTCGCCTGCTCAGTTCTCATCTCGCTCTCCTCATCTTCAACGATCTCCGAGGCCGTGACGCAGGGCCAACCTCCGCGCACTTACACCCCAAAAGAAGGCTGTCATCTTCTGCCCGAGCCCAGCCACGGGCGACACCCAGCACTGCGTGCTCTGTCTGGCGGGCTGAGGGGTTGCGCTATGTCCTGGGCATCCTAACTCCATCTGGGGTGATGTGCCGAGTGGCCTAGGGAAATCTCACGCCGACTCGCACTGTATTTAGAGAAGGGAATTTACCCTTGGCCGTACCTACCTTGGCTGCCAGGATTAGTACTTACACTTACCCTAGGCCGGGCAGGGGTGTGCATCCGTACCGCTCCTCGATTTGCACCACTACAGCCGTTCCACCTATGGATGGCCTCAACCCTGCTAGGGCCGCCTTCCACCGTCCCAGGCTGACCCAAAGACCCTTTTCGTTCCCGCTTGGTCCCATTTCCCTACCTGCAGGCAGAGACAGGCGTATCGGACGAGCGAGGGGCGACAAACTAGCCAAACCCATTCCGATGCTAGCTCGAATGATGCCTCTCAAGTACCTAACCGCGTGGCCAAGCCGTATTATGCACCGCTGCTCAGGTACTGCGATCGGATGACGGACGCCAAAAGGACTTTGCTTCTTACGTGTAGCATCGTGACCAAGCCTCTTCTCACTCAGCATCGACCAATACAACTACTCCCTACGCACGTACTCATGTACCTTGCCCACGACTGAGTACCCTCCTTCACCATCGATAGATATGGGAGAGCGGTGGGCAGACAAGAGGCCAAGGTTTGGGGAGGGGATGGCCCCAAGGCACGGCGAGCAAGTCGCTTCTCGGGCGCTGCCGCGGGTATGCCTTGTGTCAAGCTCTGCCCTGCGGTGACTGCAGCTGTCTCGATTCTCAGCGTGCTCCTTGAGCGAATGCGAGTCCTGCCTCGAGGCCAGGCTTGTGGAGCATGTTACATACATGCCTTCACACATGGTGGGAGGTACCACCGCCCGCAGCTTTACCCCTGTCGATATGATTTACCAGGGTCCATCCCATCCATAGCATGGGTGGCTACACTCCCTGCCGTGTGAATAGACGGGCTCCTCCTTGCTGCTTCAACCCATCTACAGTATACAGCACTTTGCCCAGAACAAATCCTTGCTATGATCCCCCCCAATCCCAAACCGAGTTCATGTCAGGACCTTCAAGGCGGTGCGACTCTGCCATGCTGCAGATCATTCGTCTTGACAGTTATTTCATTCCTATACATTACCGTCCTGGACTAAACACGCCTCTCCTGTCCTGTCCTGTTTAATTCCAATGAATGGGACCCAATTGTCCGTCTGATAACATCGGCTTTGAGCAAATCTAGCCACTCCCCCAAAAACCCAGCAAGCCTCTTTACCTCTTTCTCCTCCTCTTCCACTTCTTCTCCCTCTCTCCCACCTGGTTGTGACTCTCCAGTTTGATTCACAGCCTCTCAAACCTGAATTCGCCCCTCGAATCCTCACACCTCGGGGTCTTGCGCCATCGTTTCTCGACTCGTGTTCTCTCACTTCTGTGATCCGTCTGTTCGCCTCCTACATCGCCCATATCCACCTCCATCGGATATCAACATTGTCGCCCGGCGCAAACTCGTTCAACTTGCCTGTTTGGAAACTAGGTCCCCTCGTCTGACATACCTACTTCGTATCGACAAAAGCCGGGCGTGTGCCGACCACCACATGCGGCACGCTTCCTTTCCGTCTGATTGACTCTTGTATTTTAATAGTACCGCTTCCTCCTTGCTACCTAGCCACTCCTTCTTCGAAGCTGCTAGTCGGTTGTTGAAAGAGTCAATATCATTCCTTTGCCCTCCTGGCTCCCTTCCCTCGAGACTGGTGACTCAGTACCAACTCATTCACGCCTTGCGCACTCACACAATTCAACACGCGAGCACACTTGCTCAACATCGCATCATCATCAAAGGCCATTGGCTCATTCAACTTGGTCATTCTACCCATTCTCCCTTAGGTTCCTTGGTCCAGGATCGATCTAGGTCTTTCTGACTAGTCTCAGACTCGCTGGGACTCGCCTTGCTTCTGCCCACGGTTCTTGGGTAGCTTGCGGTTGCGCGCGCCCGCCATCGGCTCGCGGTCGAGAAGGCATGGATCTAACACCTCCCTCACTCACGACGTCACCCTACTCGCCTCAGCGAAAGCACCTTGATTCACCACCTTACATCCATCCGTCTTGCTGTATGCCAGAAACAACGCCCGGGGGCTATCCCTCAACCACAGCTGTGGATAGCCACCCATACAACATTCCTCCACCGTACGGGTCTATGATCGACCCTTCGCTTGACCCTCATGTCGTCAATGGGGGCAGTCCTCTAGCGCCATTGGGATCCATGACTGGCGGAGTATCTTGGAACCACTCGAGTGTATCAGCTGCAGCTTCGCCAGCAGATACGACTACATCGTCCATCATGCCCACTGGCATTTCTTCTGAGTATGAGCAGTTCACATCTTACGATTCCTCTTGTTTGCCGCAGACGTACCCCCAGAGCAACGCATACGGTAGACCCGCATCTCAATCGCCTGCCTTTCTACGAACACCGCCCTCGTCTTCCAGCGATATGGTTGTTAGAGATAGGTCCTCGCTCTCTTCGACGAGCTCGTATGTATTTGCGAGAGAACAGGCCATGGCTTCCAAATCAAAGGTGAATAGCGCACTGTCATATGGGGGTATCGTCAGCACGCCTCAATATGACGCCTCAACACAGCTGCCATCCAGGACATCTTTCAACACAAATACGCCGATGTACTTGGGCGACGGCTTCCAGACACCACACCCTACTCACCTCCAGCCTCCACACAGTGGTCTTCCGCCAGGTCAACTTCCTCTATCAGCACCAGCCACCACCATAGGGGGTCCCTCAAGCGCATCACAGATACTCGTGAACTCCACCGACCGTGGCCAAACATGGACTAGGTTGAGGAGAAAGAAAAGGCCAACAAGGAAGCATACCACAAAGGAGGAGGCCAATTATCAATGCACGATCGATGGATGTGGGAAGTTTTTCAGCCGCAGTTATAACTTTAAGTCGCACTTGGAGACCCATGATGACAAGCGAGAATACCCGTTTCCATGTAAGGAGCCAAATTGCACCAAAAAGTTTGTGCGGAAGACCGATCTACAGAGACACCATCAGAGCGTTCACACCAAGGAACGTAACCACAAGTGTGATTTCTGCGGGCGCATGTTTGCTCGAAAAGACACCCTCCGAAGGTGAGTACAGTTCAACCCCCCGTATTACCAATTGATGGGTTAGGGGGGCCCAGGGTTCTATATCATTCGAATGCTAACATAGGACAGGCATATGGAAGACGGCTGCTCAAAGCGATTTGAAATCGGCATGCTGGATGCAGAGGAATACGAGGAGATTGAATCAGCAAAACTACCGGAAGTGCCGAGGCCAAGGGAGATGCAAAACATGGGCACAACTCTAAGACCTCCTATGTCCGCAAACCCCATCACCACCGGTCCGGATGACAACAGAGGACTAGCTATGCCCAGCCATACGCTCACGTCGCGGGTCGACAATTGGCGTTAAATTTCAAACGATATGTATTTGCGTGCCTTGGGACACAAGAGATCCAGCATTCAGCCTTGAGCATTTCCAACGGCGTTCAGAGGGTCTCGGGAAAGATATCCATCGATATGATGAGGGTATAGATCTTTATTATTATTATTCAGCGATTTGGGGAGCCGGTCTCTCCTCTATATGTGTGACGACCTTGGGAGAGTGAAAATGACATTGCAATGGATGGATGGATGTGGTTTCCCCACACTCTTACACAACTGTCATTTTTGGGTATTATGTCGTGTTTTTCTAGGTTTTGGGTATTGTTATTTGGGGCAGCATTGGGACTTTCCCAGTTCACAAGCAGGCCATTTGGATTACAGCGCGGTTAATCAACGACGTTATCGAAGCGGGCATGAAGGAAACGGATCGGGCAGGCACATATTCTGCCTTGTACATTATTGGGAAGATAGAGAGCGATGGACCTAGAAGGAATCCTCCTACATGGCACTAGATGGATAGCATGGGATGACTTCTACCATAAAATATTATTACACGATTGATTTGGAGCAAAAGAGAAAAGAGAAAGCTGTGCGAAAGAATTTGTGTAGCATCTTGGTATTAGATGCATGGATGAACCCAGCTAGGCTTCTATCCCCCATGCCTACTTAATGCCTGGGAGTTGAAACCGGGGGGTGTGTCTCTCGTATATTAATCATCATGTTTGCAGTTGAATATATGCCGCCCACTACGAGTGCCTAACTATATCTCGTGCCGTCTAAGCCTCCCTCCCGCTACATAGGGGACCCGGGGGGGCCCAGTGTCTCGCGCAATGTTATAATAACAGGGTCGCATCCATCCTATTACGCCGGGTTCAAGTTTGGGGGCCAGAGGCGAGGAAACCCTCTCTCTTGATGACGGGGTGGTCATACAATTGAGCGGTGACTCACAAAGGGGACAAATATGTGTCCGGGAAGTAATAATGGTAGGATTGGTTTTGGGGGCGATTCGCTCAGATTGGCTCAGCGTTGCCGGGAGGCCAGCCAGCAGGAGAATTTGGACAGATCGGGGACCCGAAATCGTTTCATGATACATAATGTCGTTGGGTGATTCCTTGGCGCTGATGGATCCCAGGGGCGGCCGCCACCGAAAGGGCAAGCAAGACTCAAAGGGCCCAATCTTCCCCTTCTACATCTTCTTCAAGCTATTTCGTTCCCATCTCCCGAAGAGTGAGCGTACAAACAAGGGGGGAAAAGCAAGCCGGGGGGGGCTATAATAAGGTTTGTTCCGTTGGATACTGTGGGATGAGGGATGGGATGGGAATAACGAGAAACAAAAATGGCTGCCAAACCCAAGTCCGTCTCCCAGCTCAGCGACCCCAGCGCCGGGCGGACAGGGCAGGCAGGATGACGGCTGGTGGGTGGCAAGGCAGGTCAGAGACCCAAGGGCGTTGCGTTGCACCGCATTAGAGAGCTGGAGGGTTCCCATTCCGTGGGACAAGGGCGTCATGCTTGCAGCAGAAGCACGTTTTGACAGGAGGCAAAACCCAACCGCCACGGGGCCACTACAGCAGCAGCACGACGCACGGCAGGCAGAGAGCTCAATGGCAGGACAGTTCCCAGGGCGTCGGATGGCAGGCATCTGCTTGACTTGGCTAACCCCGTCCACGGTCTGGGGTCTATGTAAATGAGAGGCCGGGGCCGCACGGGCTTGCTGCCATCTTCTCCAATCTCAGAAGCGTTCAGGTATCGTGAAAACCACTCTTCACTACCTGCACTTCGGGTATCCAATGGCAGGCGTGGGAGCGTGCATTGCATCGCATGCGCAATCGTGGAGTGTACTTTGGTGCGGCAGTACATGACAGTCGCCTCGGGCCAAAGTACCGCCAGCGGGCGTACCGTGCGGGAGCACTGTATCTTAATTTGGGTATCTCAATAGCGAGCCAGCCAACAAGAGCAGCCGTAAAAGAGGGCCATGCTGCGAGGCTCGACGGGCTTACATGAGGAGCTGTGTCTGGGGTGTTTGTACCACATGAGGTACGTACAACGCCAAGCAGGTCCGCCAGGTAGGGCTAAGCAGGGGAGGGCGTGGGCCAGCTCCCAGGCAAGGTACCGTGAGGAAGCACTTTGAACAGCCAGCCAGAGCAAGCATTCTTCATCCATCTCGGGGACGCGGGTGATCCTATTCCGTGTCAAGTCCAGAGCTCCACTCCGGCAGCTCGTCTTCAGTTCATTTGACACCTCAGATATAGGTAAACAGCAAACTCGCAAGTTTGCCCTGGTTGCTGCTGCGTTGCTACTGGTGGACATAGAGAGTTGGCGAGTTGACGGCGTCATTAGCTCCACGCCCTACCCTGTACACATTTTCGGCACCGACTGAATAGTATGGTAAGTAGAGGTAGGTCAGGGAGACTAGGAACCTCGTTGTGGTGTGAGAACTTTGGTCACAGGTGCATGCTGGAAAGTATGACAAGACTGAATACCCCTTACTCAGGTGTGTTACTCTCACTGTGTATAGCCTGGGTGAACTTGACTCGAGTCTACTCAGATCGTCCGTGTCAATACACAGCCAAACCCGCTCGTCTCCTCGCTAGTCCTTCGTTTATGCACCCCCCCTTGCAATTGGAACCTCAGTTCGCCAGCCCAGGTAAGATAACAAGGTGAGGAAACTACCCGACGAGGCTGGAGGTTAGCGCCAACGCCCATCGAGTTGGGAGCTACTAGTCCGGACGCGCATCTTGATCATTTCTTCAACGGGAAAAATACGAGTTGTCAAGTCAGACTAGTAGCTGGACAGCGTACATGTGCCGTTGCCTTCTTCCTTCCGAACGGCAATAATCTAAACAGCCCTGCTGGTGTGCACGCGCGCCACTGAGAAAGTAGGCATGAGGGGAGGGGAGACCATACCAACAGTGCGGCTCCAGGAGGCCCGGGTTGCCCTAGTCTTTGGAGATCTCGGATATCCGTTTAGGCCAGCCAGGACCCCAGCCAGCCAGGAATGATCAAATAGCACGCACGTCACTGTTTCTGGAGATCAATTCAGCAGGGCCATGGGGCTGGGTTGAGGATGCTTGCCACGCGTTTGGCTCTGTGGGGAGGAGTGGATATAGCACTATTAATTAGGCAGGTAGGGTTTGGGCCGGGAAAAAGAAACCAGCCGGATCAAACAGGACTCGTCTCGTACGAGTCTTCGGGCTCCCTGCAAGCAAGCATCCAATGGTCTGCGAATGTTGGGAAAACCCCGTGCTTTGTCATTATTATTCATAGTAGCTTCAAACATTCGTTTGTGTTGAGCGGGCCGAGCCACACAGCCTCAACTGCCAGGATCAGATCCACGGCATTCCAGACTGGTAGAACGCCGACCAAGAGAAGGAAGAGGAAAAGATCCGACACTAAAGATGTAAGGTAGGCTTGCATTGTTCCACAACTAACCGGAAGAGACTGGTCATATCTCGTTCCTCCTTCTTGTGTCGGTATGAAACAATCTAATCCGAGCGATGGCAAATCTGTACGAATCGCGGCCAACATTTCTAACGGTGATGAGGGGCCCGGTATCATCGCCTCTTGCCATGGGGAAGCATTTGGCCTCTGGTACTACGCCATTCCTTTGGCCAAAGACCAAAAGTTTTCCATTTTGGCTCGTGAGAGTGTGTCCCGCGCCTCTGCATCCGTCTCACACACCTTGCTGCCCCATTTTCGGAATCCCCGAGTCTTTTGCTCGCCCTCAAACACCAACTTGCACTCGTTGAGTGACATATCCTTGAGTTCTCCTTTCTCGTTCTCTGCTAAAAGCCAATCCCGTACCTTGCCTGAACGGTCTTCCTTGCTCCTGGATGGCGAGTTCTCCGTCCAATCAATGCGATTGAGCATTAACTTCTTGAACTTGTTTACAGCGCGCTCGCCGCCTTCGACCACAACTAGGTTGAACTTGGGGTGCATTATGCACGATCCCGTAAGCGATAGCTGCTCAGCATTAACACCAATTTTGTACCGGTGTTGGCCATTGGCGAGACTGTTGATCTTGAAAACCACCACATGTATTCCCTTGTCGGCATCCCTCTTCTGCTGATCAGCAAGCTTCTCATGTTTCTGGTCTTTCGTAAGCTTTCGCTCTTCGTTCGCGTCAACGTGCTTTTGGTGACGTTCAGCGATTTCTCGGTTAACCCGCAATTCGACGGCCGTGGGGTCCTTGACAGCAACTGGTAGAAAACAACCAATTAGTAAACGTGTATCGAAACAGAAAGAAATCAAACGCAGTGTCAAAAAAGACTGAGGGTATGCCAGCCTAGGAGAAATGAAGTAATAGGTGAACGTATGACTTACCATCTCCAAGAACTCGCATGAGATTGCCTTTCTTGACCTTTGGTGGCGGCGCAGGAACCAGACCAAGACGAATCTTGGCTTGCATCTCCTTGAGCTCTGCCATTCTGCGTTGTCGACGGATCTTGGCTTGTTCCTTTGAAGTTAGGTACATAGCTTTTGGTGGTGGTGCTTGGCGATCTTGTGGCGGTTCGAGGGCGACGGGATGCTGGATGTACTCGGTGATGATGCTGTCCGGGGTTGTGAGTTTGAGCTTCGACGAGTCCTCAATGTCGTTGTAATTGGACCCATCTATTATCCCCTCATCCCACCACTCCAGCTCGGGAGGCGCATCTACTACAAAGTTCTTTTCTACATCCAGGTCGTCCTCGATACCAGCTCGGCGGGTCTGCTCTGCAATCTTCTTCTTCATGGCCTCCATCGCTGCCTGTCGTCGCAAGGCATTGGCCTGCTGAATGTATTTTCCCTTTTGGTTGAAGATCAGCTGGCGTGAATGCCTCTGTCGGCCTCCAGTTTCTTGTGAAGCCGTCGATTCATCAAAGTAGGGGTTGCTCTGCCCATGACGATCGCTCGAAGGAGGACCCCTGGATTGAGAACCAGGAGTAAACCGCTTGGAGTCAGATTGTGCTCGGTTTTGCGACTGTCCAGCGTCTTTGTTTTTGCTAGGAGGTTTCCATGACCCCAGATCTTCTAGGGCAGGATGCAGACCGACATTCAGACCACCCTTTGCCTTGCTGGTTCCGATCGCCGCAGCCACACGTGCCTTGAGGGCAGCCATCTTGTCGGCCGCAGACTCGGGCTTCTGAATGCGCGATGATGAATCATGACGGGGCCCAAGGCCGCTCCCTGAAGAGCGATCCATCTCAAGCTTCTGTAAACTCAAGTTAAAGCTCCCTCATCAAGAAAGCGATGAAACAGGTGATGCTCGTTTTGCTGGAGCTGTCGCCAAACTTTGGTCCTGGCGCAGGCGCTCTAGTATGGTATCGCGTGTGCCGTGAAAGGGAGCCGTCCTGTCGCAGGCGTTCTCGTAAACCGTGAGATTATTATCCTCTTCGTCGCGTGTAGTTGGAGACGCAGTAGTTGTTTTCAATTTTCGTTGGTTGATGCAGCGTTGAGAGAGAGTTCCACACGTAACAACAGGCAGAAGAAGGCCCACCTCGTGACAGTAGTTGCGTCGGGAAGCCGCCTAACTCATGGCGGCGGAAAATTCTGCCATCCCGCACCGCCAAAAATTTGTTCGGCCTCTCTGAGCACGCTGAGAATCTTTGTACTTCTGCCCCCACCATCTTCAATTCGACAGCTTCTTTACGTTTGCGCTTTGTCGAGGTTCCCGATATTATGGGCTCAAGAGAGCTGTGAATACCTTTCACCTCTGAGTAATTACTCACGGTCTTCAATTGGACCGTCGCCGCCGCCATGAATATCGCACAGCCCGTCACCTCTAGCGTTGAAAGCGTTGAGTTCACGTTTCTCTCGCCGAAAGAGATCAAAGCTATCTCAGTCAAGAGGATTGAGAATGACAGCACATTCGATAACCTCTTAAATCCGGTTCCCGGGGGTCTATATGACACCGCTCTTGGTTCTTGGGGCGATTCACCGTGGGTTTTGCTGATCCGGATGTGACCTGGGAATCGCATTGCTAATCAAGACGTGGATCTATAGTTGCACAACCTGCAACCTCACGCAGGCCAATTGCCCGGGCCATCCAGGCCACATTCAGCTGCCTGTTCCCGTATATCACCCTGTCTTCTTAGATCAAGCCTATCGACTCCTCCGAGCTGCATGCGTGTACTGCAAAGGATTCAGACTGCCTCAGAAGGATTTGCACAAGTACGTCTGCAAGCTTCGGCTGTTACAGCATGGCTTCATTCACGAGGCGCACGAAATCGACTCGGTTGGAGAGAACGAATTGGCCATTGAAGGTGTTCCCGGCGATAGCGAGGCCGAGGAGGAAGGTAACGAATCCATCGATGGTGTCACTCGTGCAAGAGAAGCTTTTGTCCGAGACTGCCTTCGCAATGGAAAAACAAAGAGGGGAGAGACCAGAAGAGGGAAGCATGAAGGTGCAACAGAACTGCGAAGAGAAGTGCTCAAAGAATTCTTCAAAGATATTGGTCCAAAGCGGGCATGCGCCAGCTGCGGCGGTATTAGCCCAGCTTACCGAAAAGATCGTTTCGTAAAAATCTTCGAAAACCCCCTCTCAGAAAAGGATAAGGCCAAGATGGCGCAAAAAAGCATGAAGCGGACTGACGCAATGGCACGAGTATACCAAAGGCGCGCAACTACGAAGCCCAACGGATACAGCTCCGACGAGGGCGTCGCGGATATCGGATCGCCCAAGGCGGACAAGTCAGAGTCTCAGGAGGCAACTGAGGATCAGGACATCGAAATGGCTGATGTCGAGGACTACCAGGTCGCATCTTCACAACGCTACATCAGCCCCATGGAGATCCGAGCTCGATTGGAGGAGCTGTTCGAGAAGGAACAAGAGTTACTCTTCCTCGTATACAACTCGAAGCCTGCCACTCGTAGCTCCCCCAAGGTTACTCCCGACATGTTTTTCCTAACATACCTTCTTGTTCCTCCCAACCGATTCCGACCTGAGGCTCGCACCGGCGACTCGTCCATCGCTGAAGCTCAGCAAAACTCGCTCTACAAGAACATCCTCAGAGGCTGCAGCACCATCGCGCGCATCCATAATGGACTTAGCGAAGGCCGAGGCGACATCAACCAGCTGCACCAAGCATGCGCTGACTTGCAAGAGTTCGTCAATTCATTGATCGACAAGGACAAGAACCCCGTACAGGGTGCTGCTGCCGCCCGCAACGAAGACGGCATCAAGCAGAAGCTCGAGAAGAAGGAGGGCCTGTTCCGAAAGAACATGATGGGAAAGCGAGTCAACTACGCAGCCCGCAGTGTCATCTCACCTGATCCAAACATTGAGACTAACGAGATCGGTGTTCCACCGGTTTTCGCCAAGAAATTGACATACCCCGAGCCTGTTACCAGCCACAACTTCCGCGATATGCAGCAGGCAGTTATCAACGGTGTTGACAAGTGGCCTGGTGCCTTCGCCATTGAGAATGAGAATGGCCAAATCGTCAATCTGCGAAACAAGTCCGTTGATGATCGAATTTCACTGGCAAACCAGCTTCTCGCACCATCAAGCAACGTTGCTGCTAAAACGAAGAACAAGAAGGTTCATCGCCATCTCACGAATGGTGATGTTGTGTTGATGAATCGACAGCCGACACTGCATAAGCCTTCGATCATGGGTCACCGCGTCAGGGTTCTTCCTGGTGAAAAGACTATTCGCATGCACTATGCCAACTGTAACACTTACAACGCCGATTTCGATGGTGATGAAATGAACATGCATTTCCCACAAAATGAAGTCGCACGCGCAGAAGCTTTGCAGATTGCCGACACAGATCACCAGTATCTCTCCGCCACCGCCGGCAAGCCACTTCGAGGTTTGATTCAGGATCATATTTCCGTCTCAGTTCACCTGTGCAGTCGTGACACTTTCTTCACTCGTAGCGACTATCAACAACTCGTCTACAGTGCCCTACGCCCTGAAAGCGGACATATTCTAGGGGAAAGGCTTAAATTGGTGCCTCCCGCCGTGATCAGACCTGTTCCTCGATGGACAGGAAAGCAGGTCCTGACAACTATTCTCAAGAACATCCAACCACCTAACTGTGGCGGCCTTTTCATGAAAGGCTCAACTCAACTCAAGGCTGATCAGTGGGCCAAGAATTCAGAGGAGGGAACTGTCCTATTCCAGGATGGCGAGTTAATCACCGGTATTTTGGATAAATCACAAATCGGTCCCAGTTCAGGAGGTCTAACTCACTCGATTCACGAAATCTATGGCCCTGCAATCGCTGGAAAACTCCTGAGCAGTCTCGGCCGCTTACTGACCAGATATCTCAACATGAGGGCTTTCTCTTGTGGCATGGACGATCTGAAACTTACACCGTACGGTGAGAAGGCGCGTCTTGAACAGCTTGCCGGGGCGAAGGGTGTCGGTCTAGAGGTTGCTTCCGAGTATGTTTCTATTGACAGCTGCTCAAGTGACCAGGATCCATTACTGCTAGAGCGCCTTGAGGAAGTAGTTCGTGATGACAGCAAGCAGGAAGGCCTTGATCTCCTTATGAAATCGAGACTCGCTGAGATCACAACCGGCGTTGAGAAAGCCGTCATGTCTAATGGTCTTGAGAAGCCTTTCCCTAAAAACCAGATGCAGGCCATGACTACATCCGGTGCCAAGGGCTCCAGAGTTAATGCATCTTTGATCTCATGTAACCTTGGTCAGCAGGTTTTGGAAGGTCGTCGTGTGCCGTTGATGGTAAGCGGCAAGTCCTTACCTTGCTTCAAGCCTTTCGAGACCTATGCCGTAGCTGGAGGCTACATCATTAGTCGTTTCCTTACAGGTCTCAGACCTCAGGAATATTACTTCCATCACATGGCCGGACGAGAGGGTCTTATCGACACAGCCGTCAAAACTTCTCGTTCTGGTTATCTCCAGCGTTGTGTTATTAAGGGAATGGAAGGACTGACTGTAGGTTACGACACTACGGTTCGAGATGCAGATGGGTCCATTATTCAATTTCTTTACGGAGAGGACGGTCTCGATGTTTCCAAAGAAAAGTATCTGTCAGACTTCAGCTTTGTACTGCAAAACGTCCAGTCCGAGGCGGCGCAGCTCAGGTACTCCCAAGAAATTGGCGACCTCTTGAGCGGCAACCGCAGCGCCATCGCGAAGCAAATGAAGAAGGCTATCAAGCATAGTGATCTTCGTGACCCAAATGTCAGGGATCCTTTGCTCAATATATACAACCCGGCCACAAATGCTTTCGCCACGTCGGAAACATTCTATAAGAGCATGTCAGAGTACTTGGACAAGAATCCAGACGGTCTTGTGAGAGAAAAGGGCAACAAGTCTCAAAAGAGTGCCTCGGCACTGAACAGGAAGAATGCCGAGATGCTATTCTCGATGAAATACCTCCAATCCCTTGTCGAACCAGGAGAGGCCGTGGGTATTGTCGCAGGACAGTCTGTCGGTGAACCTTCTACGCAGATGACGCTAAACACATTCCATTTGGCTGGTCACTCGGCGAAGAACGTTACTCTCGGTATTCCTCGTCTTCGTGAAATCTTGATGACGGCCAGTCGAGCCATTTCAACACCAGCGATGACCCTGTACCCCATCAAAGAGCTCTCCAGGGAAGACTCTGAAATATTTGCTAAATCGATCAGCATTCTTCCTCTGAGCTACATCGTGGATGCCGTGTCTGTCCAAGAGAAGGTGGGACGAGGCAAGATCTACGGCTCAGCCAAGATGTATCAGATCAGTTTCAAATTCTTCCCCTCAGCAGAGTACATGAAGACCTACGCAATTAGTGTCGAGGATGTACTGAGCACTGTTGAGAAGAAGCTTCTGCGTCATATCCTGACCGTCACAAAGAAGGAAATCAAGAAGCGAGTTGACAAAGCCACCATGGCAACACCTGAGATCGGCGTCAAGGTTGGTGTGGTTGAAATGGCAGCCCCGACCAGCAGAAGAGCCCGTGGCGAGGACGACGATGACGAGGACGACGATGATGATGCCACCAATGCCAAGCAGCGCGCCAACAAGGATGAAGCTGTGTCATACGGCCCCAACGATGACGAGGACGATGCCGTTCAGAAATCAATGGACAAGGAAACCGCAGATGACATGGACGAAGACGAGGGTATTGGAGGTAGCCCATCACCTCGGAAGCGCCGGTCCAACCAGGATGAAGATGATAGCGAGGATGACGATGACGAAGACTCGATATCTGCATCGGCACAGGCTCGTTCCGAGCGCGTGATGGACGCATATGCCGAAGTCACAGAGTTTACGTGCGACGACTCGAAGGGTGCTTGGTGCAACGTGACCCTCGAGTTCGACGCTGTCACTCCCAAGATCCTGATGCTCAACATTGTGCAGGAAGCTGTGAAGAAGACAGTGATCCAGCAGATCCCCAATGTCGGAACCTGCACTTTCGAAGTGGGCCAACAAGGTGCATTCATGGTCCATACAGAGGGTGTGAACTTGAACGCCATGCAAAAGTACAGCGACTTTATTGACCCCAACCGCATCTCGACCAACGATATCGGCGCTATGCTCGATGTGTACGGCGTGGAGGCCGGCCGCAGCACCATCGTGGCCGAGTTGTCTGGAGTTTTTGGTGGTCACGGTATCAAGGTAGACAACAGACATCTTAACCTGATTGCCGACTTCATGACTCGCAACGGCGACTTCACTCCGTTCAACCGAATGGGCCTCAATGGCAACGTCAGCCCATTCACGAAGATGAGTTTCGAGACAACCTTGTCCGTCCTCAAGGATTCCGTGCTAGATGGAGACTGGGACGACTTGATCACACCCAGTAGTAGATTGGTTATGGGTAGTCTGGGCAAGGTTGGTACTGGAGGCTTTGACGTGTTAACTCAGCTCCCAACACAGTACAGCGAGGTGTCTGCTTAAGATTGTAGTTTAAGGAAAGGCCGGTGTGTGTATAGGAGCTCTGCACTTGTTTGGGATAAAGGTTAGATATTCATATATTTGTTATAGTTTTTTACTTATATCTTCAGCGCCAAATGAAAAGTTAATTTGCATATTTGCTTGCGTGTGCCAAACAAACACTATGATTTTGTATTCTGGTCTTTAGCACCAGGCCCAAGGTTACATATAAACTTAGGTTAATGCTTGAAGATCTAGATATCAACTCCATAGGGGAAGAAACTTCACGGAAGTAATTACTCTTCGGCTCGGTCAGCTACTCTGAAATGAATATTACAATACGAGCTCTAGCATGATACAATTCTAGTAGTGATTCATACGTGCCATATCAGAAAAGTAGCCACCTCTTGTAAATGGATACGGGAATTAGCAGCGTTGACGATTATCAAGTTTTCAGAAGACTATCCTACCTCCGCTAAAATTTACCTGCAATGTGTGGAAAGCTTTTCTTCAAGATTGCCAAGCATCATGGCCGAAGACTGGATACTACGTGGAGCGAATAATTCCAGTCGTGCTCATTTCGACTCATCCATCATCTTTTCGGCGTGCCGAATCGGGCAAAATGCTCCGCATTACCCTGGAGCTTGGCCTCGCCCTTGAAAATAGGATATGGGAGACAACAAACCTCCACGATCCTTTGCTATTGCGTTCTCTTCTTAAGCGACTTGGAAATTTGTGTGAGAAAAAGAATCATGTCAGCTAACATTGAGCCCTCGGCTTTTCATAAGGAACGAGTCTTCCCGCAGAGTAGACAGAAAGCCGAGATTGCAACACCGTTGTCACTTCTTGATGCAACCACCGTCAACTTTGCCCTCACAAACGCTCTTTGGCTTTTCGAGCCATGGGAAAAGGCAGACCTCAGGGCTGAAGAAGGTACTACAGACTTCTCCCTTCGCGACCATCTCCAGCAGTCCCTCAGTGCCACTCTGGATGCCTATCCCCAGTGGTGTGGCCACCTAAAGATAGTCGGTAACATCGATGGCAAGGTGGAAGATGCGGCCAAGCACTTCCCTCCCCATGCCCGTAGGTTCGGTCGAGTGTATGCACACTATGGCACCGAGGACGATCCTGGCGTCGAGTTCATCTCCTGTAGGAGCCCTGCCACTCTGGACATACTCTACCCGGAATCGCGCCCAGCGAAGCAACCGATCTGGGACCGGCAAGGGGTGTCGCTCAAGGCCTTCATCCCGCAAACCAAGATTGCCAGCCCGTCGAGCAGCCCCAGGAGTCCGGACCAAGGCGGCCTCCTCGAGCCACTGCTGGCCATCCAGCTCACTGAGTTGGCTTGCGGCGGGTTCGTTGTCGCAGCAAAGATCACACATCCGCTCGCAGACATCACTTCGCTTGTCCAACTGATTAAAGACTGGTCCAGAGTCAGCAGCGCGAGACTCGCGGGAAGTCCTGAACCTAGCTTAAACCCAGTGTTTGATCCTGCACTGATTGATTCGCATGCCGCGGGCGATATCGATGCAGATCAACCAGACAACGATCTCGTTGAGCAAACGAGAGAATTGCCCCTTCACAGATATGACTGGTGGGCATCCTCAGAGGGTGCTCCGTGGCCCCTAGAGACACCCAGCGTGTTCCTCGAGAACTCACCTAGTGGGAATAGTCTTCCGCCAGCAGGAAAAGCCATGCCGTGGTCTGAATGGGATGTCAAGCAACACGTCTCCCACTATACGATCCATTTGACCCACGATCAGATCGAACACCTCTGGAAGCAAGCATCAGGCACCAGCGGCCGCTCGTACCCTTCCTCATCGTCACCATCGCCCCGGATCAGTCGCCATGACGCAGTGCTGGCTCATATCTGGTCATGCATCACGCGCGCTCGTAACTTCCAGAACGACGCCGACCCAGTGTACTGCGACCTCGCGTACGGCCTCCGTCCCGCCCTCAAGCTCGGCGAATCGTTCCTGGGCTCACCCATCATCATGGTGAACACCGAGCTATCCGGCGCCGTGGTCTCTGCCTCCTCGAGCGCACCGGATGCAAAGGGAGAAGTGGCGATGGCACTCGCACCCCTCGCCCGGGGCATCCGAACGACGCTCGACAGGATGAGCCAGACGCAGGCCGTCGCGGCGCACCTGCACACGGTGGCGTACGAGAAGTCCCCCCAGCGCATCTGGCAGGCCTTCCTGGGCAGGCGTCACATCCTGGTGACGACGTGGGCGCGCGCGGGACTCTACGACGTCGACTTCGGACTCGGATCCAGGGTGGTGTACGCTGACGGGATCATTCCCGAGCTGGAGGGCGACGTGTTGATCAAGGAGGCTCCGCCATCGTGGCAGGCAGACTCAGACTCGGCCCCGGGCACGAAGGCGGCCGGGCGCAACTCGTGGACTCGTCACGGCGTCGACGTCTCCATCAACATCTGCGACGACGACATGGCGCGCCTCATCAGGGACCCCTTGCTGCTGCCAGAGATCGTGCACGGGGAGGGCGTGTGAGTTGAGTCATACTTTTCGGCCCCTGGCGATTGGGGTGATTCGCTTTAGTTTAGATTGAAGCCTAAAAGCGAACCGAGATGTCGCACAGCCACACAGGCACCAGAACCTACTGTCCCGGCCTCGTGATCTTTTCGGCTTTTTCTCGTCATGAGCTAAAGAAGAAAAAAACTTAATCATCTTCGATTTTCCAAGGCCCTGATCCTCGACTCCCGCTTCTGTGATTGGATCCCCCGCACTCATCCTGCGAGACAGCCAAGCGGCACAAATCTTCGAATGTCACCTGCTGATCTCCAAGCGACGATTACCGTGAGTAAAATAGCTCGCTAGAAATGCAATAGTACCACACGCGTATTGCCTCTGCCGTGCCACCGTAGAAATAAAATTCTTTTACGACCCGTGCATTAAATCGCCAGCGGTGACTATCCAGCTCGTCATCTGATCATAAGCCCAACAAGATGAGTCCGCTCCAGGCTCGTAGAGTTCGCTGAAAGGCCCTCCCCAACAAAATGAGTCACGAGGCACAAAGGGAAGCGGCAGCGACAGCGACAGCGTTGAGGCAGCGCCGCGCGATGCCAACAATCAGTACGCGATGCGCAGTTCACCTAGGCTATCCATCACGATGATGTCGGTCGTCTACGATGGCGGATGACTCGATGCGTGCTCGGCAGCATCTCCAGCCTCCGCACTCTGAAGTCGTGGAAGCACAGTCTCGTACAAGCGGAAGCACAGAGTCACCAGTTCGCACATGGAACGGTCAGATCTTTTAGTGCGACAGTAATAGAAGTCGCCCGACATTGAAGTTGATTCTTTGTTTCCGAGTCTATGACCAGTAGCATTGTACTCGTGAGCGCAAATAACAAATGTCCAAGAGCCAATGCATTCCCATCAATTTGATGTCTCGTTTCTTTGGTACACAGTTATCACCGTCTTAAATCACGTTCTCTTACCACTTGAGGTCCATCAAACGTCATGCAATCACAGCCAAGTCGTGTCTAATCAATATGATCAATTAAAGAGATGCAGCCTGGAGCACGATATGGATCATCAATCACGTCCCCACCTACGGACTCACCGCCATCGCGTCACAAACCACACGTCTTCACTTTAGATCGGTTGCCATTTACGCGACTCGCGGTGATTGTGACTGGGATTCTGATCTATCTATGGTGAACGCGGTCGCGTCCGATGATTACACTTCTGGCCAAGCATGCACTGATGATCTCATGGAAGAAATGTGTTAATAAGGCATTCGCCTGTTGCATTGAATGCAGTCTCGTTTACTGCGGTATAGTACATCCCAACTGTGTAGAGCAAAACCAAGTTTCTCATTGTAACGCCATAATTAACCCCCTAAACCATGAGTTCCATCGTGTCAAAGCAAATGTCATGAACCGCCAGAAAGTGTCAACCCTGCCAAGTGGCAGCCAGCTTAGTTGCGCTCACCGCGGAGGCGGCGGGCGAGCTGGATGTCCTTGGACTGGATGGTGACACGCTTGGCGTGGATGGCGCACAGGTTGGTGTCTTCGAAGAGAGAGACGAGGTAAGACTCGACGGACTCCTGAAGAGCACCGATGGCGGAGGACTGGAAGCGAAGGTCGCTCTTGAAGTCCTGGGCAATCTCACGGACCTGTTGATGATGTGTTAGAATGATGTTGATGAGAAGATGATGCTGGTGATGATGTAATGACTTACGAGACGCTGGAAGGGGAGCTTGCGGATGAGAAGCTCAGTCGACTTCTGGTAGCGACGAATCTCACGGAGAGCGACGGTACCGGGCTTATAACGGTGAGGCTTCTTGACACCACCGGTGGAGGGGGCACTCTTGCGAGCTGTGAAGCACGTTAGTGATGATCATGAGACGCGACGAGGATGAGGATGCGATGACTTACCAGCCTTGGAGGCCAGCTGCTTACGAGGGGCCTTGCCACCAGTGGACTTGCGGGCAGTCTGCTTTGTGCGAGCCATTGCTGCGAATGTTGTTGATGGATTGATGGAAGTGTGGTTGTTGTTGATGGAAGTGGGGTGTGTGAGAGATGTGGGTGTGTGATGCAGGAGAGAAGTTGGCTGAGAGGGGAGGGCGGGGGACGGCTTTAATACCTCTCGTGCTAGGCTGTGTGATTTGGGGTGCAACTGATCTGGGCGCGCGCGTTGGGTCCGTGCGTCAAATCAGTAATTGATTTCGAGCGCGTAAGCCTACCAGAAAAAAGGGAGGAAGGTGCAGGGGTGGATCGCGTTGAGAGAGGCGGGGCGCCCCTCCGAGTCTCAGGCGCTGCCAGAAAAAACTTACGCCCACTAAGGCTGTGAATTTTGGTGCGCTACAGGCTTTGCATTTTCCCCTGCAGCCCGCGCCAGCTGAACCCAAAATCTCATTGATCCGAAAATGGCAAAATGTGGTGCACGTCAGATCCCGATTTTTGATTGGCTGCATCAATGCCTCCCACTGCCGAATTTCTGTACCAACCCAACAGCCGTGATGATAATGGCAATGTCCAAATCTCTGATCGCCACCCAACTAAGCTTGTGCATGCGATGCAATGACATAATTTTGAAAGCTTCTACGTAGCGGAACTTTATGGTGCTAGTAAATCTGGTGGTTTCACCTTAGTTTGTCTCTTGGGCATCTACTTGTCACAAAGTTACTGAAGATGCTGTTGTGCATGTGATTGTTTTATGTTGACGCATGGCGGTGAACTATTCCATTACACGACCAACTCAACAATGGAATGTAATTCAACCAACAAAGTGGAAAAATACAAACACTACAGATGACTACATTATCATGCACAAAAAATATTTATCGTCGGGACATTATATACGAGTTGGAATGGGCAAAGAGAATCACATCATCGGCGATCTAGGGTAGGCGAGACTGGCATGGAACAACTTAATCTGTTGTGTCGAGGTGAGTCACACCAGATACGAAAATAACAAGCGCATGGGGCCGAGAACACCAAGCCACAGGCGGGAACTATGCAGACTCCGGATATCTGGGTGGACATGTGCCAGGTAGATCCAGTCAGGCTGCCTGGCAGACTCATGATGTTTGGTCTAGAGCACATACAAAGGCAGAAACGTCAAACTCCAGACGGAAACTGGGGCCTACCGTTTCTTGCGGAGCGCAAATGCGTAAAGTGTTTGGGCTGCAAACCCACCCTGGTTCGAGGATCAATTTTCTGATTCGCTGAAAAATAACCAGCCGCGATTGTTTTTTTGGTGATTGCAGTTTCTCTCCACTATTTCCCAAAGCGGATGATCGCGTCTGGCGCCGCGCGTGAGGAAAGGCCCCCACCTTTGCATCTGCCTTGCCTTCCAGCTTCCTTGCCGAAGCTCTGTGAACTGATCTGATATTTTGGCCCACTTCTACTTAAGCCCGCCCGCACCCCCAACTTCTCTCTCCTGCATCTCACTACAACTACAACGTCTCTCTGCTTCATTGCATCACACATCACAACAACCTTCACAACTTCAATACCACCACACCTATCATCATGACTGGACGTAAGTCTTACCATACCCACCAAGCCATTGATTGCCTCGAAGGCGCACCTCACCTTCGATGCCTTCGATGAGCTCACCCGAGACGTGACAAGACGCGTTGCTAACATGCATCAACAGGCGGCAAGGGCGGAAAGGGTCTCGGCAAGGGCGGCGCCAAGCGTCACCGCAAGATTCTTCGTGACAACATCCAGGGTATCACCAAGCCCGCTATCCGACGTCTCGCTCGTCGTGGTGGTGTCAAGCGTATCTCTGCCAGTATGTTATCCACTCCCTGATGATCAAATTGAAACAAGAGCTAACCCAGACGCAGTGATCTACGAGGAGACCCGTGGTGTCCTGAAGACCTTCCTCGAGGGTGTCATCCGTGATGCCGTCACATACACTGAGCACGCCAAGCGCAAGACCGTCACCTCTCTCGACGTTGTCTACGCCCTGAAGCGACAGGGCCGCACCCTGTACGGTTTCGGTGGTTAAGCGTGTTTGCTCTTTTATTGCATGCCTTTTTATGAACTCGTCGCCTCGCACACGCGTGCTCACCAACGCGACATGGACCGCGCACACGCGATCCTGGATGCGATGGTGTCGGCGGCCTTAGTAGGGTGTTACTTCATGATGACTATGGGATTTGGTCTTGCTTTAGGGTGTTCTGTACCATAAGGGAAACGGGTGGTCTGCATTTAGGGGTAATTGAAATGGCCAAACGGCATAAATGATCAACTTGAACGTTCACCATCGTATTGTGAAGCAGTCGCGTTTTCTTGCAGTGCATGTCAGCCGCGAAGTCTCCACGCGGTTTATTGCCGAGTTTCACGTGTTGTGATGGCTTGTTCCCGACCTTTCCGAGGCCAGTTTCACATGAGTAATGACTTCTTCTGCCAGCTCTATGGTCTGACTTGCCGTGGGGTTTGTTCTCTGCGATCCCGTTCATAATGGTGTTTCTATTGGTTGCGTCTACTTTGGTACCCTTCACACATTTAGAACGTGGACGTGAGTAAGTTCATTAGGTAAGTAGTTCTCATTTTGACTCATTCAGTAAACTCAACGCATGACTCGACGTGCAATCACTTGCCATTTCTGGTGGGCATCTGGGCCGCGCCGCCGGTGGTCCACGAGCCAATCCCTTCAGACAATGGCATCTTGAGCCAACGAAGCAACAACTATTTGGCTCATTTTCGGGGGCCGAACAAAGCCGAGCGGCAGTAGACCCCGAAGAACTATACTGATCACGTTTCCCTATGTTTCGCAACAGGCAGCCACAATGCGCATGTGTCTTACCTTATCTAGTCTGCATGTGTGAGACCGGTGGCGGTCAGGTTGCGACTCGTGGCCCATGCCTACGAACCCCAGCGACTGTCAGAAAAACAGGAAACTGCAAATGCCAGACAGCGAGTAACAGTGGTATCGTCTCTAATGTTGCTGCCCGTATTGAAAAGTTGAGTTGTGGAAACACCTTTGCGGTGCCCAGTTTCCCGACATCCACTTGGTACCATTTGCCTTCATCTCCCCGGCTTTCTTCAGCAACAGGTTCAGATGTGCCACTGTGGCTTTTCGGATCCGATGTCAGCCACCAATATTGTATTGGGAAAGTGAATTGGGGTTATCACTATTGGTCTTTGCCCATGTCTCTAAATGCCTGTGGGTGATAGTTGATGGTGGCGAAGCTCCTGCCAATCTGCCTTCAAGGTTTGGATCTACCAGCCGGGTGGGTGGGCTCTGATTCTAGGCACACGCCCTCAGGAGCACAGAGGCTCAATACGGAAGAATATTCGTCAAAGGCGTACGCAAGCCCGGCACCCTGGGAAACCAACTAAACTGCGGCTCTTTACCAGAAACAAGTCGAGGCTATCGAAGCTTACATGGATGGCTAGTCCAGGGTAAGCTCGTATCGTGGACGGTGATTGGCAAAGTGGGTGGCACCTCGAGTCTGAAGATGGTAATTCGATCATCACCCCTTACGCAAGCAATGGAGAAACGGCCGAAGCGACGGAGATTCCCATTATTAAAAATCATGACCAAGCTTTCCGCGATTCCGCCTGCTCGGGTCCCAGAAGTGCAAAGTCCGCCACACTTCGCGGACGGGACTCAGCCTACATCCGAACCAAGCAGCGGTTCCCGCGGGGGTGGCAAGGGCTTGCGATAGGCTCGCTCGCATCCAAGCCACACGCGGCCCATGCTTAGATTGAAGGCGGCAGATCAGCCGCCCTTCCAGGGTTCAAATAAGGCTGGATTACTGTGGCTCTTCCATCTTTAACGATGGGTAGAAGCAATACGTTGGTGCTACGATGCAAGAATACGGTACGGATTGATCAGGCAAATCTGCAGAACATCGGGCTCCAATGTCAGATCCCTAATGTGCAGAATGCTATTTCTGCCCAAAGATTTACGCAAGATATCGTAAAAAGGGGCATCCCCTTGAGATCTCAGAGGGTTGTATTGCCACTCCAGCGGGCCAGGAAGTGTGTGGGGGTGGGAAAAAATTGAACCGGTGGGAAAGGTAGTACGAGGTGGATGAATGACGAAGCAATACATAGTAAGAAATGATTTTCCCTTTGCAGCCTTTACAGGGTCCTCGAATTGAGAAGATACGAATCCGAACCCAGGCTCGGCAAGCATGGAAGTATTGCAAGTTCAGCCCTGCTCACTAACTACCTACTTGGTGCTGGGTCATCATGATGCTTGCGTAAGCGCTGAGAAACAAGGCGCTCTTCGCTGTTTCTTCGGTGCGTGTTCGGGTATGCTATTGCCCGGGCGGAAGCTGACTTCCAGCTTTCAAACAACCGTGTTGGTGTTATGAAGCTGAGGCTTTGTAACCAGGGCGCGGCGGCTCCGAAGTCGAGAATTTTTCTACGGCGAACCGCCGAGAAAGAGGGGGGGGTGGAATACGGGACGGGTCACGCAGGGAGGGAGGGTGATCTACTAGGTGCATTATAGCGAGATAGATTACCGACCGACCTGCCCATACACCCGGCAGTAGTACAGCAGGAGAATAATCAATGCTAAATCATTGTCCGCTGGCACATTGGACCATTGGCAAGCGACCATGCACAGCCAGTTGAGATGGGGTAAAGTGGCACTGCATGGGGGGAGGTCGAGCTGGCAAAGGCCTAGAATTCCCGTTTCCGGTCCATTGTCCGACCCTAGGGGCCAGAGCATGCCGAGCTTCAGCTGGTCTTGATTGTTTGCTGGTGCTTGTCCGCAATGCGATTGTTGCTTGTGGCGGGGGAGAGCATGGCACGGCCGGCAGGTGGGCCCAAGCTGAGCAGAGACCTCGTGCGTGCTTCCAACAACGTGGTTACGGCGCCCACCGTTGCGGTTTGTGCGACTAACTAGACTGCAAGAAAGATAGACAAGACAAGAGACAGGTGCAAAGCACAGCCCGGCTGTTACCATCTGACAGAGCCGGGAATGCAGAGGAGATGTGATATTCCGATGCACAGGGGTTGATGCACCCAAGAGTCCTTACTAGC